CAAAAATTTGTCTGTAAGCAAATAAAATTAGATTATACGCCACAGGCTCGCATAATATAATTTTATTCAACTCGTGCAATAAATTCAGTATTGAACTCACACTCATTTAATATCCTCTATATAGATTTTTTCTTTTGTTTGTACACAGATGGAATGTTGCGTTTAAAGGATTTCGTCACGAAGAAGATCTTGATCTTATTCATATACTTCCTCTCAGTGGAAGGGTGTACAATCCAGGCACTGATACATCGAAATGGTATGCCTACGACTTCCATTACTTGAACCAAGGTCCATACAACACATCAACAGACTTAATGAATGCATACATGTCCAACAATATCAGAAAGGTCAAGTTGGAAGCCGGATTTAGGAACACCCTATGGGATCGTGTCTTTCCGAAAAGGGACAGCAGCCTTCCACTACGCGACAATGCCGATATACATGGACCACGTACGTATTATCCAGCTGGGCCTAGGTATACAATAGAAGGCACGCACGTGAAATGGATGGGGTGGAGTTTTGATATTAGCGGGAGCCAAATTCGAGGACCGGCTTTGTTCAATATCAACTTTAAGGACGAGAGAATTATATATGAGTTGGCTGTAAATGATATCGCCTTAAACTACGCCATGGATTCACATGCTCAAAATAATATTATTTATGCAGATGCTACATATGGTATAATGGGCGGGGATTCGCCAACAACGATAATGCCCGGTGTAGACTGTCCGGAACATGCGACAATACTTAACACAACATTTTGGTGGCATACAACACAGACAGCGTATGATATGCGTTCAATTTGTATATTTGAAGCAGACGGACAGGATGCTTTATGGAGACATGCCGGGCATAACTTTGAGGCGGGATTGAGAAATAGGCATCTTATAGTCAGGTCACCTGTAGTCATAGGTAACTATGACTACACATTCGAATTCCATTTCTACCTTGACGGCAAAGTGTATACCCACGCCAAGGCCAGCGGTTATATACAATCCAGCTTCTGGGACGAGGGTAACCCGCACTCCCCCGATAACACCAGAGATGCATTCGGTTATAGGATAGGTGAATACATGACAGGTCCCATCCATGATCACATGTTTGGCTTTAAAGTAGATTTTGATCTTGTTGACAAGAATAATTCGTTCCAAATCGTAAAGTGGAAAGCTGGGCCAGTTCTTGAAGCGCTCAAAACTCAAAAACATGATATCACAAAAGCTCCAGAATATTTCATTTACAACGAAACACGTTATATTGAGTGGGAAAGGATTGAAAAAGAAATGGGAATACAGGATCCGAGTGAACAGCAATTTTGGTTGGTTATCAATGAACGAGAAAAGAACAAATGGGGTGTTGAAAGAGGGTACCAAATAGCACCATTAGCTACAGGTATGTCTGTTATGTTTTCATGATTGAGAAATGGACTCTTAAAGATGTTTGGCAATATACCCGGAATTTCTGATAATTAAAGTTAAATGCTATTTTATAAGCTACTGTACATTTATACGTAAGCATACGTACATAACCTAAACAACTTAAACTTATGAACATCTTATGGACATAATTATATTTCCATGTTTTCTATGGCGTGTATGCGGTCCATATTCTAAAATTCTTTCATTAGTTTTTAAACGGTAAGATTTATAAGATATATTCTCATGTTCAAATCAAGCGCATCAAAATTCTTTATTCTGATATTCCTTTGGCCAACTTTGGAATTTACTTTTTTGATGCCGAAGATGAAGGTAACACAAACATGTGTGTTTACCTCGACATCAGTGTATATAAACTACATAGACAATTCAATGTACAACTAGCACTCTTGAAATATATTTCAGGCGACCAGGCATTAAAGACTCATCCACTATTAAACGCACTTTCTTTCACGAAATTTCACTGTGCTGTGACGAAGCGCAAAGAAGAGGAGTCAACGTTGACGTCAATTTATGACGTCAATAGAATGGAGCATGCGCAAGAATATTTGGCAAAGCACATCGACGGAGAAAGCATCGTTGACGATGACATTGTTAACTGGGTTACAGTCGGATTTCTCCATGTCCCTACTACAGAAGATATGCCGATGACAGTGAAAGTTGAAACTGGTTTTATGTTAAGGCCGTTTAATTTTTTTGACAGGACCGCTTCCTTTGATATGCCGGAACATGCTGAGACAAAGGATGGGATAATAAGAGAGTCCGAACCTTCATATGAACAATGTTCCGAGCCCAAAAAAGAATATTGTCGTTTTTGTTAATTGTCAACTCTAAGTCATGTTTCTTTTAATCCTATACGAAGATGGTCGACAGTTTTAACTGATACTTGTTATTCATAGTGAGTAATACAAATAAAGTTATAACATACAGGTACATTTATAAATATATGTATATGTATAAATTCTGCTACAAAACATCAACATCTCAGTTATTTGAATATTTTTATTAAGCCCAATATTTAGTGGTAAAAATCTTAATATACTATTAAATTGAATATATGCTTAGTGACTTGTTTTGCCTTTGTCTGTGCTTATTATGTATTTATTCTGTCCCAGTATAGACATTGTTTAACAGGGGAAGAAAATGTGTTAACAGGCGGTCTGGGGAAGATCAGTCTGCAGAGCTAGGCCTCATATTTTTCTCATTTTGTAAGACTCCTGTCGACTTTGGTAAGTGTGATTGAGGTGGTACCAATTCCACTAGTATAATGGGTTTCTCTTTGGGTGCAATGACTGGCTATTTTACGCAGGAAGCAGTCAACTGGTGTATCTTAATTAAAGCGCATGTCTAGGTCCTCTAAATGGGATTTGACATGGACAGGAAAACATAAAATATTTATATGTAATTATTGCTTTTCATAATCAATTAAAGTTCGGAGCAAGGTTCTTCATTATTGTTATATTTAGTATAAATTGGCAATATATACATGTATAAATACATTGCATATGAAAAAAAATATTTACAAGATATGAAAAAGAGAAGTGTAAACGAAAAGAATGCTGAATAAGGTGAATTATCAAATTATTTTCAAAATGTGAAGAAAAAATATATTATTGTAACACCAATATCGGAATGGATTTTAATACACGATAACGTAATCATAATTGTAAGAGGTTTTTCTAGTACATAATGAAAATGATCCTAAAAGGAGAAGCCCCTGTGAGATTTTTGTATGTTGTTTAGAAAGCTTTTTTTCTTAAAGTCGTAAGCATGTCATTCTGGTATAACTCAAACTTTTTCTAACTATGAAAGATGTGTGATTTTCTTCATTAAAGGGAGGCAAATCTTAGGTACTATAAATAGTAAGATTATATACTCATAATAAGTTGTCCCTCGTGGCTGTTGTCACCTGTTCAGTGCGATGTGATATTCATATAACATTACACACATGTGATATTTATAATATCTGGTAAATAGAGTGTCATTTTATTTTATGTTGTTCACGTTACAGCTGTTCCAAATATTTAGGTCATTGTGCCTTACCTAGTTTACAAATGTTAGTAATGTCATCTCAAAGTAGAAATGTATGTTTAATTTTGCAAAAAAAAAATAGTTTAACCCATTATTTCATATAGACGTCTGTGCATGCCTTTTCACCCCCCCCCCATTGAGGCCTTAAAAAGTAGAAAAAAATGCCCTATTTAGACCCCAAACACTTGTTTTCGTTTAAGAGATGCTGTTGAAAAAGTAAACACTTTTCTGAAGCCGTACCCTATCAAAAAGCAGGGGCTGTCAGAGGGGTAATGTGCCCCCTTCTGCTGAGGGGTTTGAAGGGGGCAGCAGCCCTCATTGCCTAAAAGATTTTGGACTTGTGAGCTGCTTAAATTGGCTTTTAGATCAATCTTAAGGTAACGTGTAACCAACTCTGAAAGGCCTTTGCCATTGAGAAGTTGCAGCGCTTTGAAATCAGATTTGATGGAAAAAAATACGTATATTTGTAATATGCAAAAAAGGCGATCTTCATTGCTAAAGGGTTATTTTCCATTGACTGGTGATACTTAACGACCAGTTTGGACTCGTTTCTTCTTTTCATTTTCTTTTTTTTCTTCTTCTTTTTTCAGCGGGTTAGAAATTGCAGCTTCAGTGAAATGGTTGTTTTTTTATTGAAAATATCTAAAGTTTGTAATATATGAAGGGATTTCGTGTTATACACATGGAACATATACACATGAACACTTTTTATTTAAAATCACACATGCAAAAAATCAACCCAGTGTGTCTTTTCTGATAATTTTACAGGCGTCGAAACTAGCCCAATCAAGTGAAAATGTTGCCGTTTTTGGCTGGCTGCGATAGAAGCGCTCTGAAAGTAGCTATCATTATGACAGAAAATCAAGATCACTCTTTTATTAATTTCTTTATTCGCATCGTATTTTTCCCACAAGTTAGACTTTAAACTATCATTTGTAATATTTTTCTAATAAAATAATATATATTAATGCGGTAGGTGCATCGAAAAGGCATTTTATTGGCAGGCAAGACCAGAATGCACTATTTATAAAGCAATTAACATGAAAACATTAAATTTCTTATGAATGTAAGTGAGCCTTTATCTGAACTTATATCACTCACTGTTGGGTTCATGGACATAGAGTTATCATCTAAAATCGCATCGAAATGTTGGACTTCGTTTGATTTTAAATAACGGTTTCTGCGTGCCATTAGAAAGTGTTTATCCGATGCATTTATCGTATTGATAATGTTTCCATCTCGAGAAAATATTACAAATGAAAGTTTAATTAAGGCTTATGCTATACAAATGAAAGTTTAATTAAGGCTTATGCTACAGTTAAATAGACATATAGGCAGTTTGAAAACTGTGTAATACACTGTAGAGTTTGTTAAAACTTTGAATGAGCTTAAAATAGCAGAACATTTTAAAGTAATAGTATTATACGGAGCTATTACTTAGCAATGAGTATAAAGTTTCTTCTTAAGGAAACCATGTTGTCTTGCGCTAACGATGTACGCCAAACAGCGCGTTGTCGTGCGGCGTGTTGTCGCGATGTCACATTGTCGCTCGGCTCAAATCGAATGATTGACTGTTTGTACATATATAAGCCAAGGGACATCGCGACAACGCGCCGCAAAACAACGCGCCATTTAGCATGCTTCACTAGTGACAGGACGACTAGCGACAGGGCGACAGTGCGACAACGCCAAACTCCTTACAGTGATTACCTCCCTTGGCAGAATTGTAATCACTGCCTTCAAAGACGTCACATGATGATGAAAGTCACATGACGTAACGTCGAAATTCAAATGTAAATATCGACCGTTACAAAGAAAATCTAACGTTATTTTTCTCTTTCTGTTTTATTTTTTACTTTTAGTGCCTACGTTCCATATAGTTTATTAAAAAATTATCGAAAGTATACAAAATAACGGAAAATAAATTCAAAAGCTAAAAAATATAAAATATCAAAATATCGTCTCGGTAGAAAATAATCACATAATTTTTAAAATTATTTCTAAATATTCATATTATTTATTTATTTATTCATAAACATTGTTAAATAAATGAGAGAAAACTTATCTGATAGATAAAAGCAGTAGATAAAACAATTTTTGAAAAAATATAGTATATCAGAAATTCTGATATATTGGGACCTTGGTGGCAGAGATCGACGCCGAAGAATTAAGGGGAGATCACTGTGTGGAGATTGCGACAACGCACTGTTCAGCGCGTTTCGGTAGCGACAAGACGAAAAGGGGCTAAACGATATAAGTTGTGTTGTCGCTTTGGTTTAAAGCTCGATTGCGAAACAAGTTCTTGCTACTGATATTCCGCTTCCTGGAATCAATTAACCAGTACTGGTGTCATATGAAGAAACATGGTCGTGACCCGAGTAGGGCTCGAACCCATGTTCTCTGGGTTGAGAGGCAGACACCTTAACCACTAGACCACCGCTCCCTTCTCCCCACGTTCGACAACGCAACGCGCAATTTGCCAAAGTGTACCAAATCAGCCACCATAGATAATACGAGCTTGATCCTATGGCCATGGCTTTAATTAAAGTTAAATGTTTAAGCCTTGCTATGGTGTAACCCAAGTCTTTTATTAAATGAAAACTTATAATTTTAGCGAACATTTTCCCCAAATCGAGCGGCTAAATTAATGCCTCTTCCCAATAAAGAAAAAGAGAACCCGGGAACTCCGTAAGTCATGAGACATTCTTGCAACACTGTGAAACTCCGTGTTATAGTTATACTCCGTGGTCGATTGTTCACGTGACACAGTAAAAACAGAACAAGTCCGCATGCGCAAACGCGACAACGGAGACGAAGCGAAGCCATTTTGTCCATCAAATAATCTTCACGCTTTTTGGATAATATTGGTGAGATTCCATGTGTTTAAATAGCAAATTTATATTCGAACTGTTTCAGTGAAAGACATGCTTGAAAAACCTGCGAAAAAATAAGTCAAATTTCGTCATATTCAACCGTCTGCAATGACCGAGGTGTTCCGTTTTAAAGACAACTTTGGAACATCTTTGATTTCTCAGATTAAAACTGAAATGCCGAATATACTTGGTTCAGAAAACTTACTTTCGGTTTTGTGAACACTTAACTATGGGAAAATTTTCAAGTTTTACTCGTTTGGTATCCCTGGTTGTAGACCAGACTTCCTTTGAAGGTCAAATTTATTCTAGACCTAGACGATACACAGTAATAAATTAGCTGATTAGGCTACTGTACTGACTATACACTGTAGACTTTTAGAAATATGTCCGTTTCATAGATTTTTAAATTATTTCTTCAACTCTATACAAAATCACTCAGATAAATGACAGATTACTTCTAGGGGTAGGGGTTAGGATTTGAGCTGTATAGGTTTAGGATTTGAAAATATGGATTTTGCTGCAGTATAACAATTATAACTTGAATTCATCATTCTGTTCATTTTTAAAAAAATTGTTAACCAGTGATTTTTTTTACTTTTTTTGCAACAACCCATACCATGTGAATTTGTATGAGGATAATTTGTCAAATTGTGAAAAAAGGAAGTGGCTAGCCGTTCTATAGCCCAGGGCTCTCGATTGACACGGGGATCCGGGTTTTGACTCGTGAAAATCGGGAAATGCACATATTTGACACGTGATAAAATCTGCTCAAGAGTCAATTTTCCACATGGGATTTTCAGCTATGCAATAATAATTACCTTAAATCCACCCCTAATTATCTATCAAATCCTACATGTGTTCAAATCACACTCATAAAAAATGTCAACAGGCAGTATAAGATGTGTATAAAATGCTTTACACACGGCAATTGTTTATACCCTGTGCACTGAAGCGCGACAATTCAGTGGCTGCAATTTGACAGCGCTAAAAATAGCTCTACACAACTGATAAGAATTACATACTTGAGGTGTCAATTATTGATTGCTTCTGAAGGTTTATAATAGGTCTTTCATTTACTTGGAGTACCTGTGCATTTCTTATAAATATTCCTGGTACATTTTGGTATTTAAAATTAATATGATATAGCATACCAGTAAAGATATTTTTTTAGATTTTATACATTTAATCAGAAAAGCTGCTGCTTATTTTATTCTTTCACAGCAATTCATGTTTTTGTTTTATTTGTTTTTTGTTTTGTTTTTTAGGTGGTGGGGGTATAGACATTTATAATTAGGCATTTTTTTCTGTCAATTTAGACTTTGGAATCTCCAAAAATGACCTCCAATACAGTTATTTTTGTAACATAAAAATGATACATGTAGTCAAATGACACTAGAAAAAAATTATTTGACTCATGAAAATTTTAGCCAAAGAGTCTTTGACTCATGCAATTCTGACCCTACTGAGAGCCCTGCTATAGCCTAAATTTCTAGCCGTACGTGAGTCACTTACAACCATAGGTGTTTGGCGCGTTGATTGGTCGAATTAGTAACGATTCGCCACACTAACGATTCGCCACATAACGATTCGCCACAGAGTAATAACGATTCGCCACAGTTAAATAACGATTCGCCACAGTATGATTATAACGATGATTTTTTAGTAATCATCAAAAATTTTCCTTTTGTTTTAATAATTTGACAATGACAATAATTTAATAATGTTTCTTAATACAAGTAATATGAAGTTAAGGCCCCCATCGCGGATTTTCAATTTATCAAAGTAACATTATTACAGGAGTACATTAACAAGAAAGTAATTATATGTTGAAATAATTATTGAATTACTCATAAACATAATTATATGTCAATTAATATTAATATATAAATATATAGTTCATATATTATAATATATGGCAAATGTTTAAACAAAGTATTGCAAAAACATGTGTTCATACGAAAAGTGATTTACGATAATTGATTAAAGAACGCATATGTAAAACATTTGTCACACCTTTAATTTAAACAAGCCAATCACCTTAGGATTGTTGTAGAAATATTTAATTGACGCCGAAATAATCCTTTAATTATCTGACAATGTATTCAGATTTCAAAACAATGCGGCAATTAAGCTTATGTTTGTTTACAAATTAATTTGAGCGAGCCGATATATGCCGATTAAGAGGGTTTAAATAGCTTAAACACATACATAAAATAGTATACAAACGAAAAATAACGAAATCAGAATCATCTTTTAAGTTGAATTGATTTATGTCACATAAAACAGAAAGGCTGCCAAAAATGTTCTCGGCTAATTATCCATTGTTTAGTAGTCTTTGAGACCACATTTATTTCGTAGACCATATGCATCTATGACATTTGAAATTTTATTTCCAGTACATTATTAAATGACATTAAAACAATAATATAAATAAATAAAGATAAAATACCCACATAAATTTGTAGACATTTTTTTATCTATTTTTATAACTTTAGCCATTACAATTTAATACCTTCAAATTGATTCAATGTCTAGAAAAAGAAAGCTGTAGACGCAAACGGGATTAGTTAGCTTTCAAATCCTTTAGAATGCTGGAAAAATCTATCAAGATTTTTTTTCATGAAATTCAAAAGATGGTCAAATTCAAATTCCTTCCAAAAGTTCGCAATAATAATATTTATGTTGTATTGCGCTTTACACGTTCTGTTTGTATTCGTAAGAAGTTCTTCTAATTGTAGGTATGGCTATAACTTAAGTAGGCAATGAAAACATCTACTAGAAAAGACCTTAAAGGTAGTAGAAGGTATGACTTATCCATTTAAAAAATGTCATATTTAAAGATTGTCCGTGTACAAAACATTACAAACATAATGGCATTTAAATATATTCAGAAATTCAAAGACAAATTACAAGACAAACTAAATATACGTACACGTATATTTTTCCAGTTTATATAAATAACGAAGTTATAAAATGTGTTATGTAATTTTGTTAATAAAATATTTGGTTTTCGTGTGTTTTATTCAATAAAATGTGTATTTAGTGTAATTAATTTATGTAATTAACAAATGAAATATAAAATGGAAAAAAGTTTTCCATCAACAGTTTGAAAACAGATGTGAAAAAAATTTGTATTTGAACACGTGGCGAATCGTTATTTAACTGTGGCGAATCGTTATTACTCTGTGTCGAATCGTTATGAGGCGAATCGTTAGTGTGGCGAATCGTTACATTACCGATTGGTCACTACCCCCGCACTCACCCCCACATCCACTCTACAGCCCTCCTACCTCTCAAAACCATGTAAAATACAGTATTTTTCATTTGAAACATGTTTTAATATTTGGCTCATGCTTTTAATTCAATTACCTTCATGTCCTACAAAAAATAAAAAATTGATACATCAGGGTTCCAGATAAGATGCGTATACGCGTAAATTACGCATGGAAATAACACGTTTACGCATTCAAAACAAAATTTAAGCGTATGAAAACGCACACAAAATTCAGGTTACGCATTGAGCAACATTTCTTTCGCGTAAACGTAACCGAAAGTAAACTCGGTGATTATCTTATCAAATTCAAAATTTTGAACAAAACCCAGCGGTCAGGTCTCTGTCGAGTTACACTTGCGGTGACTTTGAGATTACACATCTTCTGAAAACTTGAAATGATCGTAATGACAGCTTAATTTCCTTTAAGAGTAATCAAATCCTTACCATTTGGTACCAAGATATTGAAAATTGGTGAAAAAATGTTGAAGTTATGGAGTTCATATTAAGATGAGTGCTGAAAATTGAGCGGCGAGTTACATACCTTTACTAAATATATATGTATCAATTTATTGTTTTTTGTAGGACATGAAGGTAATTGAATTAAAAGCATAAGCCAAATATTAAAACATGTTTCAAATGAAAAATACTGTATTTTACATGGTTTTGAGAGGTGAAATTGCTAATTTGGGAAGTAAAAAAGTAGGTTTAACTTTAAGTTCAGATTTTTGGGAAAACTGCATGATTTTAAAGAAAATTTCAATTGGGAAGAGGCCCTTTTTCGAAGTCTGTTATATAAGCAGAAAAATCACTGGGTACTGAAAAGCAATCCTGCTAATTGTGAATTTTTTACACATTTTTGTGAATATTTTATGTTTTTCTGGCATTGTGAAGAGACCTTATTTCCGGGTCAAAATCAACCGAAAAAATCACTGTTAACTGTTAGATTCTTCGAGGTCTTTCCTATGGCTGCTTCTTGGGTTTCATAACCACCTACATGGATTGTAAAAGTCTGAAGAGAATCTCACTACTAGTGGGATTCAACCTCATGGCTCCTATTTGGTGTCCAATGCTCTACCCTTACACCACTCTTCCCAAAACTGGGCAAAATGCCTTATAAAGAGGGGCATTAGCTTTTAATTGCAGCACCCAAAAATGGCAGGGAAAAAAAATTTGAATATGCATGCAAACAGATAATTAATTGACTTGAATTTTTGATTCAGGTTCCAAGACTTGGTTACCATGGAGACGGAAAGTTTGGAGACCATTCATTTATCATTGGATGATTTTGAAGGGGACTCGAATGAGCCTTACCTTGTAACAGTTGGGGTAACATCTGAGCAAGAGTCTGCCATGGAAGCTTTCTTTCAAATAAATAGTTGGCAGCTCATTAAAGGTAAGTTCATAGTGATTAATATAAAGTTCAGAGAGCATTATTATAGCATGAAAACAATTTCCTGTATTATAAGTCATTTACCTTTTTCTGTTTGTCTTGAGAATGGCATTTTTTGTATTAGGGGCATAATTTAAAACATTTATTGTATTAAACAGAGAGAAATCAATTTCTTAATGATTAATCTTTGTAACCATGTTTTGATTTTTTAAAAAATGTTTCCTTGTTGTTTGCAGTTAATAACACTCTGACTCATTACCACAAATTCTTTAAAAAGGATTGAATTTTATCATTTGACGTTCTTATTGGGGCAAATATAAAACTGGAAACACTCAATGATAATATTCAAGTTTATGAAACTAATGTAACACAATATTTTTATATTGATTAGAGTGTAAAAGTGAGAATATAAACGAGGATGGAAGTCAGGAATTGACGATACATGTGACAGGTGAACAAGAGGCTGCCCTTCATGCTTTCTTCCAGATCAATTGTTGGGATGTATCTTGCAGGAAACAGGGTAAATATTGTTGAAACTATCTCATATGAAATATTTGTTAATCTTGTAAATAATTTTGATCGCTTAGCCACATGCCTTTAAGATTATCTTGATAGATATAAAGTACAAATAAAAGCATCTTTTTCTCTGTTTATAATAACATATGATATATATATATATATATATATATCATAAGTTTACTTTTTTCAGCAAATCTTTAAAATCTTTGTTCTAAAAGTAATCTTCTGTCAAGTTCAGAGACTTCACAAATGACCTAATAAGTTTTCTATTCATTTATTTGAAACAGAACCAGTTGATGAACCGACGGTAACTGTAAGTAATGATAATATTGCTGATGACGGGACTATGGAAACTATGGAGGAACACACTGAAATACAACATGAAGATGAGTTAGAAGGGAGTGTGCAGACTCTACAGACAATGGAGAATCCAGAGGTATTAAAATTTTGACTTAATTTCAGATTACAGTTTCCTCTCTGCTGCAGTTTAGATTTTTACTGTAGTTGCTAACTCTTTACTCCCTTAGCCTGTTGAATGTATGTAATGGATTTGCCCTGTTTTTGAATTTGGAACAGTTCATTTTAACTCATTCAGCCCAGATGTGTGTCTCCCATTAATCTTCTACTGATAACTGATAAGCATTAATTAATCAAACTCCTGTTTACTGTATTGATATTATCTAATTTCTAATATCAATCTCATATCTCTGAGAGATATTCAACACTAGCCAAACAGATATCAATATGGAGTATGTTGTTGTAATTCAAGTAGGTATGTTATCTTGAAGACCTTTAGGCCAGAATGATAAATGTCAAAGCATTTGAACAATAAACTGTTCATTAATATACTATAACACAAAATGAATTAATATCTTTTATAAATTCCATACATTTGTTGGCTATATACATGTAATATCTACATATGTTAACAACAGTGTAATTTCCATCACCATGATGACATGTTGGGCATATAAATGTATAAAAGGGGATGAAATTGAATGGATTAATTTATTTACATATTTTCACATGACATGAAATAACTTATAAACTGTCATACAAATATGTACAAAATATATTGAATATTTATACTATTTATGTGTATTTTTTGTTGTTGATTGTGTTTAAAGTATTTTAGAATAATTAATATTCATTAGTTATTTTGCTGACTTCACATATTCTGCTGCTTTAAATTGTGATTTGATGTATACAAAGTTGATATATTAATTATTTTAAAATTCAAATTACTCTGCAGTATATCAAAACTGATTTCACATTCTGAACAAACACTTTTCTCATTGCCTGTATGAAACATAAAAAGCCAGTTTTCTCCATTCATATATGCATGCTTGTCTTGCTTTAGTGGTAAAGGCTAATAATAAAATCACTTCTGGTTTCCAGTCGTATAAAGGGTTGTATTGTTTCATTTGAGTCAGCTCTCCAACTAGCTAAATGAAAACTAGTGTTTCTTACCAGATGCTAACTAATGTCTGAAACAATGCATGTAAAAGGCATTCCTTCGCCCGTAAAGCATGTTACCTTTTCATGTGATTATAACGACTTAAAACATAAAAACCAGTAAAAACAGAAAATTAGTTTAAAAGATGTCAAATGTTAACTTACTATTTTAATTAATTATTTATTTGCTTAAAGGAAGACATATTTTTGATGAAGCTAAGTATATATCAGGTTCAACCCAGATTAATTTGATTATTTGTACAGTAGAAGTCTTTAAATAGAAAAGATCAAGAACTTAAGAGAAGAAGAAAAAAATCTGCATTTGTACAATGTGTATTGAAACATTTTCATGTGTTCAACTCAAACTGGTGGTTTGATGTACTAAATTTATAATTTGAAGATGATAAATGATGTGACATGTGTGTTACTGAGGGACAAATGATTATTTTTTTTATTGAATCATTAAAGATCAACACTGGTCTCTCCTACTTCAATATTGTGTCCTAATTTTAATGCTAGAGTAGCCATTCATCACATGAAGCATTTGCTATAGATTTAGGTGAGGACATCTATAACTTGTATAAATATATCTATCAGGTAACACATGAGACAACAGTTGAGGAAGTTTCTGGTCTACAAATGATCAAAGTGAGTACAACTGACACAGATGGTAAACCACAGGTTATTACTGTGTTTGCCGAGGGTGGTGGCACTAGAGAAATACCCTCCTCTCTTCTCACAGATTTGGGCGGGACCGGAGAAGGTGGGCAGGATATGCCACATGTAATTATCCAAGAGATTACACTGCCAGAGGGGATGACTCTAGATCAGGGACTAGTTATAGCTAACCCTGGAATGAATGTGGTGAAGAGAATAACTCCAAGAGGAAGTAGTAAGTTACTTCAACAACTTTAAACTATGTTATCTATTTCTCACTTAACATCATCAGTGATTTTCAAATTTTAATCTGTGTTTTTTTTTTATCTGAAATTCATGTATAAAAAAATGATGCGATTAGATTTTAGCAGCCATATGAAGTTCATAATTGTGATTTCTCTCTTTCAAATATTATTAAACAGTGTGAAGCTTTTTACTTTTACGATTTCAATCAAAATGTTACACATTCCTGTTATAAGAGGCAATATCTTTCCCCTCATCACTGTCAAGTTAGAATCCTTACGGGTACTTACCAGTATGATGAGTACTTCATGTGAGAAAGTTGTGCCACTAACTAATTCTACTTTACATTAAAGACAGGGCTCTCGTTAGCATTTTGAGACTGGGGCCAGGGTCCATGCAAGTGGGGAATTTGCATGATTTTCAAATATTTTTTATTCAAGGGGGAACTTTTTTTTTTGTAAGACTTGAAATTATGCGACATTTTGGAATGCTAAAAACTGTCCGGAATGTCTTAATTATATATACGTACTGATTTCCGGTTGCCGTTCGCGGAACATATATTGGCCAATTGGCGTTTTCTATGCCCGTTAAATATTAATTTCAAGGGGGATTTTTTTCGGTTTTAGGGGGGGAAAAACACACTTTTTTGGTGGGGGAATGGGGCCGATATTTGGCCCCAAATTTTACCAAATGAGAGCCCTGAAAGATATCCACTTGTACATGAAATAATGCAGACAAAGACATGTGAAGTCTTGTTTCATCATTAAAACTGTCAATGTCAGTGTGACATCAATTTAAACCTAACCAAAAACCAAGAACACAAGTACTTTCTTGGAAACACTCTGATAGCTCCATGCTCTATTACTTACTTTATTACTTGCATACAGAATAAAATCTACATCGCTGTTTTCTATTTTTCAGTTCGACCCGGGGATAAAGTACATAAATGTCATGTATGTGGTAAAGTGTTCAAACAACTTCAGAGTTTCAATGGTCACTACCAGTCACATTTTGGTGCCAAACCATTTAAATGTGACATCTGTGATAAAGGTAAGGTTGAAAGTTAAACTTTCATAATCTTTACTATTTTGTTGTACATTTGATTTTAACTAACTGAATATAAAGCATGCTGTGAAATGGCTTTCAACTGGAGTTCATTTAGAATTTACATTATGGCATTTTGAAACATGTAATTTATATAAGTAGTTTATTGTCATTTGTCAAAGAAATGTGTACTATGTGAGGTAACTACCACTATATTTGAGTTGGATTCACTTAAATTGGTCTGGCTTAAAAGAATAATGATATTTTAAGAAAACTGAAATAGTAGAGTTCACTCTATATAAATGGTATTAAAGTGGTCAACAATATGGGTTGAATATTTATTTTTGTCACTTTACAGGTTTTACGTTGAAGGCAGCTTTAATGTCTCATCATACTATACATACTGGAGCTAAACCATTTACATGTTCACTATGCAATAAAGGTTTCCGACGAAAAGATGACATGGTGTGTCATCTAAGGACTCATACAGGTAAGAACTATCATTACACAGAGCAACTCTTTATCTTTACAATATGAAAGCATGATATGAGGCGCGTCACGACAAAACCAACATAGTGCGTTTGCAACCAGCATGGATCCAGACCAGCCTGCGCATCCGCGCAGTCTGATCAGGATCCTTGGGGACGCACAGGCTGGTCTGGATCATGCTGGTTGCAAACCACTATGTTGGTTTTGTCATGACGCGGCTCATATTTGTTAAATCATGATTGGGTTTATCACAATGTATATTTAGATATTAAAGTGAATTTGAAAGATATATAATACTGTCTGTAAACATCCATGGCAAACATTTTATATATCTTACTTTTTCCTTATTCAAATATATTTACCCTAACTTTGTTAATTTTTTAATAATTTAATTTTTCTATAGGCAGTAGTCAACTATGAAGCTATAATGTAAAAAGTTTGTTTGTAGCTTGGATATGAAGTTATAATGTAAAAAGTTTGTTTGTAGCCTGGATATGAAGTTATAATGTAAAGTTTGTTTGCAGCCTGGATAATGAAGTTATAATGTAAAAAGTTTGTTTGTAGCTTGGATAATGAAGTTATAATGTAAAGTTTGTTTGCAGCCTGGATAATGAAGTTATAATGTAAAAAGTTTGTTTGCAGCCTGGATAATGAAGTTATAATGTAAAAAGTTTGTTTGTAGCCTGGATATGAAGTTATAATGTAAAGTTTGTTTGTAGCCTGGATATGAAGTTATAATGTAAAAAGTTTGTTTGTAGCCTGAATATGAAGTTATAATGTAAAATGTTTGTATGAAGTTATAATACAGTGCATGAAATTCATACATTTCAATGTATTGCCTAGTATATTTATTAGTCCCCTACCGGTTTAACCGGAGGGGACTTTAGGTTTACCCTCCGTCCGTCTGTCTGTCCATCCGTCAGTCCGTTCTTCCACAAATCTGGATCCTGCGATAACGCAAAAAGTACTGAAAATATTTTTATGAAACTCGATATATGGATAGATAGCAGTATGGAGATTATGCACGTCTTTTTTTTATGCCCCCACAGAGTGGGAGCATATAGCGTTGCACTTGTCCGTCCGAGTGTCCCGAAATCTTGTGAACGCAACTCCTCTTAAACCGGATGGCAGATTTTGCTTAAACTTACAAGGATGAACAACCTTAATGTGTAGATGGTAGTAAAGGAAGGAATTTTCGCTGCGACCAAATTTAACAGAATTATGGCCCTTTGTTGATTTTTTCACTAGATACTATGTAGAAATTTTGTGAACGCAACTCCTCTTAAACCGCATAGCAGATTTTGCTTAAACTTACAGGGATGAACAACCTTAATGTGTAGATGGTAGTAAAGGAAGGAATTTTTGCTGCGACCAAATTTAACAGAATTATGGCCCTTTGTTGATTTTTTCACTATATACTATGAAGAAATTTTGTGAACGCAACTCCTCTTAAACCGCATGGCAGATTTTGCTTAAACTTACAGGGATGAACAACCTTAATGTGTAGATGGTAGTAAAGGAAGGAATTTTTGCTGCGACCAAAGTTAACAGAATTATGGCCCTTTGTTGCTTTTTTCACTATATACTATGTAGAAATTTTGTGAATGCAACTCCTCTTAAACAGCATGGCAGATTTTGCTTAAACTTACAGGGATTAACAACCTTAAGGTGAAGATGGTAGTAAAGGAAGGAATTTTCGCTGCGACCAAATTTTACAGAATTATGGCCCTTTGTTGATTTTTTCACTATATACTATATAGAAATTTTGTGAATGCAACTCCTCTTAAACCGGATGGCAGATTTCGCTTAAACTTCCAAGGATGAACAACCTTTATGTGTAGATGGCAGTAAAGGAAGGAATTTTCGCTGCAACCAAATTTAACAGAATTATGGCCCTTTGTTGTTTTTTTCATTATATACTATGTAGAAATTTTGTGAACGCAACTCCGGATGGCAGATTTTGCTTAAACTGCCAGGGATTAACAACCTTATGTGTAGATGGTAGTAAAGGTAGGAATTTTTGCTGCGACCAAATTTAACAGAATTATGGCCCTTTGTTGATTTTTAGTTTTCAACTTGTGGCACATGTAGTCCAAAAAATATTTGACCTAGAGTCATAAGATTGACAGAACAGTGGCGTGTGGGGGCATCCGTGTCCTATGGACACATTTCTAGTTTCTTCCTATGTTGAAAATTCTGGTTGCTATGGCAACAAATAGGCAGAAAATAGTGCAAATTTAACACATAAACTGGATCCAGTGATAACTCAAAAAGTACTGATATTATTTTTATGAAACTTGAAATATGGGTAGATGGCAGTCTGGAAATTATGCACATCTTTTTCTTTTCTTCCTTTGTTGAAAATTATGGTTGCTATGGCAACAAATAGTCTGAAAATATGGCAAATTTAACACATAAACTGGATCCAGTGATAACTCAAAAAGTACTGAAAATATTTTTTTGAAACTTGAAATATGGGTAGATGGCAGTCTGGAGATTATGCACATCTTTTTCTTTACTTCCTATGTTGAAAAATCTGGTTGCTATGGCAACAAATAGCCTGAATTTCAAGATTTCTGATTCAAATTTTTCAGCTTTTTCACTATAAGTTCTTTATTTCTTATGGTGTTTACTTCAAACTTTAGATATAAGTTTCTGTTCATCAACCACATCATATGTGACAAGGTTTACAACTCTAGCACAAAAATTATCAGTATTACCTCCCTTGAACTTAGAATTTTTATGAAAAAAATGTTGTCTTTTTTAAACAACTTCTTTATTTCCTAATGTATCTACTTCAAACTTCATATATATGTTTCTTATTATCACTCAACATTTTTGAGAAGGTTAAATACTCTAGCAAGACTATTTCCAGAATTATGTCCCCCTTGAACTTAGATTTTTTTCGAGAAATTGGTATTTTTCACTCCAACTTCTTCATTCCTTATAGGATTTACTTTAAAATCCCACATTATAATAATAGACATGGTTGTATAAACATAATTTCCTTACTAGGCAGGGAAACTTAACACATTACTGTGATATAGAAAACTTAGAACTCAAAAGATTTAAGTTCATTCATGTCATGCATTCACTGGTAAAATTGAATGTTGCTGGGGTTCTAACCGGTAGGGGACTTATGGATTGTTTGCAATACTATGATAATTGCTTGTTTTATATGCTAACAATCATAGACATAGTTAACATTGTTTAATTGGTATATTTAAAGTAAAATCATGTAACCGTCGTGTTAAAATCTGTGTTTTGTAATTTATTTCAGGAGAAAAACCCTATGAGTGTGATATTTGTGGGAAGAAGTTCAAATATCGTAATCAGATTCCTAAACATAGACGAGCCCACACTGGGGAAAAACCATACGAGTGCACAACCTGTGACAAGAAATTTACCTCCAATATACATTTGTCTAGACACATACGTACCCACACTGGAGAACGTCCTTATAAGTGTACTTATTGTGAAAAAGCCTTCACACAGTATGGACATCTTCAGGTAAGTTTAAAAAAAGATAGTGCTGGTAGTATTTTCTGCATTTTATTCTACACCACTACGAACCCACAGTTAAACCATTTAGACATGAATGCTTAGTATCTATGTTTGGCTATTTTGCAATGAATGAAACAAACTTTTTTGTTTGTTATGAATTTACTTTAAAATGGAACAAATGATACACATGATTTAGATCATAAATAAACCAAATCCTTTTGCTTATAAATGAATCAATGTTTTTTGCTTTCAATTATAATAAATGATATAAATGATATAGCTCATAAATGGAATAAAGCTTCACAAAATGTGTATGATTTAAACATGTTCATCATTGTATATACAGGCTCATACTCGTATCCACACGGATGAAAGACCATTTCCTTGTGATGTATGTGGACGTAGATTTAGAGAGAAGAAAGTCATGAAGGTAAATAAATTCATGGTGACTTACTATTTTTTATTGCTTGAAGAAGGCCTTTGGTTAAAGTTTTGTGTGAAATATCATGTGCAACTCAATACCTTATCAGCTACTCAAATTATTTGCTTGTTACATCATGGCTTTAAGATCATAATTCAAATTGGATATCACTATCAAAGGTCCATTACTCTGGCACAGATTTTAAATGAATCATGGCTTTTAGTAAACTTTCTAATGGAAGGTTTGCGTACAACATCAATCTTCAAATCTACTGATTGTTTTCACTTGAAACTTAATGCAATCATGTCTTTGGTATGAAATTTGAAGGTCACTTTCCATGATTGTTAACATAGAAAGTACTTGTAAATGCAACATTAGTCTTTAAAACTACTGATGGTTTTCACTTCAAGCTTAACTTATGCCATTTGGCTTTTAATTGAAGATTAAAATCCAGGCATTGACTTTGACTGAATTATGGCCCATTGTGAAGCACAGTCATTTTTTACAACTATTGAAGGTACATGTATTCATTTAAAGCTTCACCACACGATTTTTTGTGATCATAATCAAACGTCACTATACATGACCAAAAACACAGGAATGAATTTTGACTTGAATACATTTTAGTACTTTGTAAGCTTAGAAAATTTCTCTAGTTTTCAAAACTACTAAAGTTATTCACTTGAATCTTCACACATAAATCATAATTATAGGTCACATTTCATGACTCATAATTGTGTTGTGTGCATGTAATTTGAATGAAAACTTTCTCTTTGGTTATTATAACATTACCCAGGTTCTTGTTTTACTATCTGCCTTATGATACCTCTTGTTCTACTTTTTTCCCTGCATTTTAAGTCAGACTTTCAATATTTCTTTTTTACCTACACAGCGTCATGAGCTTTTACACACAACAGAACGGAAGTTCAAGTGTGATGTTTGTGGTCGTGGATTCTTGCGGCAGAGTAACCTTGATCTACACGCTGTCATGCATCAGAAAGGTCCTAAGGAAGGAGGGTTGAGAAGGGGACGACCAAAACCAAAGAAAAAACAGCCAGATGCTGAGATGAGAGAATTTGTAGCGAACGTTTTATCTACAGTTAAGAAAGTGGACTCTGGTATGCAGACAGATTCTTATGTGAATGGTATACCGGAGAGTACAGATAGTGTATCAGGGGCAGATAATCTGTCAGCGTTTGTTAATTTTGCTGTAGAGCAGGATAACAAAGCTGGAAGAGTACAGAATCTGGCCGAGTTAGATAATGTGAGTGAACAGCAATATACATTAGTGATGCAGGATGACGGTAGTGGAGGTTATCTTATATCTAACTATGATGGTGAGGGTATTCCCGAGGAGATTGTAAATACTTTACCTTCAGAGCAGATTGAAGTATCTTCAGGAAGTAATAATGTAGGAGGTGCTGGGGAAGGAAGGGTTATTAAAGTTGAAGTAGGCTCAGAAATGATTGAAAAAGTAGTTTATTCAAATACAGTGACTGGAAATACGAAAGTAAGTGGAGAAGTGGAATTAAAAAATGATGGTAATGTATCACAGGAAAATGTTCTGGTTTAAGAAGTAAGGGAAAAAAATCAGAGCAAAGGGAGATTATTTCCAGGTGGTTTTAACAGATCAAGGGCAAAAACTTGTCCATGTACTGCATGTTTTACATGATTACCTCCCTCCCTGTAATCTGAATCAGTATTTGAAATTCACATTATGTTTTAGTAATGTAAATATCGAATTGTAAACTTTGTTTGGACTGTTGCTGGGTTGTTATGGTTACATTTTTATTTTTTTCCTGACTTCACTGCCAATTTGTGTTTTTCTTTTATACAATATTATACAATATATTTATTGATTCGTGAGCCACCAGCCTGAATCAATATATATCTATACAGCAATAAATACTAAATTGAAGTTTTTGTTTGATAATTGTAAAACAGTACTGTAATGAATTATTCAACCAAATATAATTTTTTCTGTAACATAGGTTATAAATCTATAGTCATAATATTTTAGTCTTTTTTATGCCACGGCAGCATCTGCGATGCGGTGGCATATAGGGATTCACCTGTTGTGTGTGTGTGTGTGTTCTATAGATTGTATTGAAAAATTTTCTTGTGAAAAACCACTAGTCCAATTTCAACCAAACTTGGCAGGATTGATCCTTGGGTGAAGGGCTTCCAAAGTTGTTCAAAGAATTTCGTTTCATGCAGAAATCTGGTTGCGCTATGGCAACCAATAGCAATTATAAGAATAAATTTAAAAAATCTTGTAAAGACCCAACATGTCTAGAGCTTAGATATTTTGCATAAGGCATTGTCTGGTAGACCTTTACCCAGATTGTTCATAGCCCTGGGGTCAAAATCGGCCCCTCCGCAGGGGTCATTGATTTTCACTATATGTACATTTAGTAAAAACTTAAAAATACCTTCTCGTAAAGACCCAAAAGGCCTAGAGCTTAGATATTTTGCATAAGGCATTGTCTGGTAGACCCTTACCAAGAATGTTCAAATTATAGCCCTGGGGTCAAAATCGGCCCCGCCACGGGGGTCATTGATTTTCACTATTTGTACATTTAGTAAAAACTTAAAAATACCTTCTTGTAAAGACCCAAAAGGCCTAGAGCTTAGATATTTTGCATAAGGCATTGTCTGGTAGACCCTTACCAAGAATGTTCAAATTAAAGCCCTGGGGTCAAAATCGGCCCCGCCCCGGGGTCATTGTTTTTCACTTTATGTACATATAGTAAAAACTTAAAATACCTTCTTGTAAAGACCCAAAAGGCTTAGCACTAAGATATTTTGCATAAGGCATCGTCTGGTAGACCTCTACCCAGATTATTCAAATTATAGCCCTGGGGTCAAAATCGGGCCCGCCCGGGGGGTCATTGGTTTTCCTTTTATGTATATCATAGTGAGTAAAAACTTAAAGTAAAAACTTTAAAAAAAATCTTCAAAAAAAATTCTTCTATCAATTGACAAATGCAAGAGGTTAGATATTTTGCATGAAACATTGTGTAGTGAAGCTCTAGCAAGATTGTTCAAATTATAGCCCTGGGGTCAAAATTTCCCCCGCCATGGGGGTAATTGATTTTCAATAAATATGTATTATAAGAAAAAATCTAAAAAACTTATTGTCTAAAGGTACAAGGCTTAGTGTTGTATTTATGCGGTGGCAAAGCATTTTTCTCAAATGCAATCTTGTTAAACTTTAAGACTGATTTTTATTTTTGTTCCTCTAAACAAATTTGTATGTATATTGTAAGGTTTAATTATTACTTTTGTATATTTTTGGGTATGTTTAAAAAAATTCATTAACTTATTTTTGTATTTCCCATTATTTAAAATTAGGGACAAATCATTTACATGTTTGTCTGCAGAAAACTTTATTCAGGACCATAACTACTTTGTTGTTAGATCAGATAGAGCCTTCATTATAGAACACAAAGCTTATTTTAGCATCGGAGCTGGACTTTTAATTGATAACTGCATGTATCAAGAAATTTTTTGCTGCTTAACATATTTTCAGGTAAATTAAACATATACTGTGAGGTGTAACTATATTTGAAAGGCATTTTTATGTACTAAATCAGTAAATGTCTACATTGCCTGATTAGAAGTTAACTAATTACAACTGTAATTGATAAAAAAACGTTTTATTACAGAAATTTCTTTATTTATTTTAGTGAAACAATGTATAGTCAAGTTTGTTATGAAATAATTGAGTTTTGTGTTCTAAACATTGTATTTCATAGAAAACTTTCTTGTTGAAGTAAGTACTAAGTATTCTTTTGTTGCTATTATATTCTGCTCAATATTTGTTACCTTTAGCTCTTTTTCATTGTTCTAATATTCTATATGAATGAAATATATGCAATTTAAAATGAAGCCAGTTTGCTTGTTTTATTTTATCTTTCATTGAAATAATAAAGGATACTTGCAGTGAAATGTTATGCAGTTACATAAGTAGTCTTTGATGTCATATTTCAGTGAATAATGAAATTCTGTATCCTAATGTGTTTAAAGGTAACTATAACAGTTGATGCAAACAAAAGACAGATATCTAATATTTTTATTGTCCTCGTCATATGATGCCAAAGTGTCGAGGGCATCCCAAACAGCATCTTATAATTTTATTTTATATTTAATTATTGATTGTATACAATGACGTGAAACAAAAATAGAAAATACATGTATATAGTAAATTAAATGTTAACAAATTTGATATCTAAATGGCCGTAAAACATTTAACTATACTCATGATGATATTACTCAATATTGCTCTAGTGTTTTATTTATTCACTAAAAGTACATTTGATCAAAACCAGTATTTATTACATGTATATTATATGTACACAAACACAACTTGACCCAAACAAAATTCATAATTTATATTCTAATATGAGCTGGAATGATGTTGCTGACGTCACGCTATTACGTTATGGTTGAAAATATAGTTTAAATTGGAGGAATTATATAATAAAAGAATCATTGTAGGAATAAATAGGTACTGTGATCTGTTCTTATGGTTTTTAGCTCACATGAGCACAACGAGCTCCTGGTGAGCTATTGTGATCCCCCAACGTCCGTTCGTCGTGCGTCGTCAACAATTTCTTTTAACAACATCATCTCTAAAACCAATAACTGCACAGTAACCAAACTACGGGAATGATCCTTGAGTGGTCTCCTGCCAGAGTTGTTCAAATGGTTCCGGTCTGTTGCATAAGTAGGTCGGGCCAGAAAAGGAGTTTCAAAAATGCAAACTTGAAAATCTTGTCTGAAAGTACAAGGCCCAGAGCTTTGATATTAATTTTGGTGTATGATATGATCTTTAGGTCCTCTACCAAAGATATTCAGATTTTGTCCCTAGTGTCAAAAGTGGCACTGCCCGGGAGGTGTTATAGGTTTTCCTTATATGTACATAGTAAATCTTTTTAAAATCTTCTCTGAATTTACAAAGGCTAGAGGTAAGACATTTGGCATAAAGCATTGTGTATTGGAACTCTACCATCATAATTCAAATTATAGCCCTGGTCAAAATTTGCTCCGTCCCAGGGTCATAGTTTTTCCTTACATGTATATAGTAAAGTCTTAAAAAACTTCTTGTCTGATGATACAATGCTGAGAGGTAAGATATTTGGTATATGATATCATCTGTAGGTCCTGTATCAGTTGTACAAAGTTTTCCCCTTTTGTTAAAATTGGCCCTTACACAAATAACAGGATGTCTCCAGGTGAGCGCTTTGGGGCTAATGGCCCGCTCATTTCCTAGAATTGAGTGTATTTGACAATTTATAGCGAAATGAGAGACAGGCCTTGTAAATCCAACTCGAGTCAAACTAAGACACTTTTATGATAATCCTATTTGAATAATGACAAAGGATACAGGAAATAATATTTTCCATTATCATTCTATCTAATGACATAACTTCAGCCGGAATGATAGAGTAATAGATAGCTTTCAAGAAAACACAGACTGAAGATAAAATTGTGACAAGCACTTTTTTTGAAAATTCCAAATGACACAGCTGTATATAACATTTAGAGAAATTTTTTGCAGAAAATTGAATGAACGAACGTTTCTGATTAAAGACAATTTTAACAATGGAGACAATTTGGTCATTTTGCTGATTTACTTCAATGTAATTATAAAGTCACCCAGCTGATGTTACTTAGATCATTCAGATATATTTCACCATATGTGATACAAATCTCGGCATAGTTACAACTGTCCCGTTTCTATAGCAACATATATCGAGGCAATAGATAATTCAATAAGAAACCCAGTCAAGGCTCAAATTAAAAAGTATTTATGCCATTATTAGTCCCCTACCGGTTTACCGGAGGGGACTTTAGGTTTACCGTCCGTCTGTCCGTCCGTCAGTCCGTCCGTCCACAAAACTAGATCCCGCAATAACGCCAAAAGTACTGAACATATTTTAATGAAACTTGATATATGGATAGATGGCAGTATGGACATTATGCACGTCTTTTTCTTTTCTTCCTATGTTGAAAATTCTGGTTGCTATGGCAACAAATAGACTGAAAATATGGCAAATTTTACACATAACCTGGATCCCGCGATAACGCAAAAAGTACTGAAAATATTTTTATGAAACTTGATATATGGATAGATGGCAGTATGGACATTATGCACGTCTCTTTCTTTTTTTCCTATGCTGAAAATTCTGGTTGCTATGGCAACAAATAGACTGAAAATATGGCATTTTTTTAAACATAACCTGGATCCCGCGATAACGCAAAAAGTACTGAAAATATTTTTATGAAACTTAACATATAGGTAGATGGCAGTATGGAAATTATGCACATCCTTTTCTTATCTTCCTATGTTGAAAATTCTGGTTGCTATGGCAACAAATAGACTGATTTTCAAGATTTCTGATTCTAGTTTTTAAGTTTTTTCACTATAAGTTCTTTATTTCTTAAGGTATTTTCTTCAAACTTTAAATATAAGTTTCTAGTCAGCAACCACATCATATGTGACAATTTTACAACTCTAGCACAAAATTTATCAGAATTACCTCCCTTGAACTTAAAATTTTCATGAACAAAATATTGTTTTTTTAATAACTTTTTTTTCTGAATGTATCTACTTCAAACTTCATATAAATGTTTCTTATTATCACTCAACATTTGTGAGAAAGTTCAATACTCTAACAAGACTATTTCCAGAATTATGCCCCTTTTGAACTTAGACACTTTTCGAGAAATTGGTAATTTTTACTCCAACTTTTTCAATCATTATAGGATTTTCTTCAAACTCCCACATCATAATAATATGACAAGGTTTATAAATCTAGCATCCATATTTTAGAGTGTCCTCCAGTCCGTCTGTCTGTCTGTACATAAAAACTGTTTCCTGTGATCACTTTTAAAGAACTTTTTCAACAAATTTACTTGAAATAGAAACATAAGTGAATGGCCAATGGCCCTTCAGAATGTTGCTGGGGTTCTAACCGGTAGGGGACTTATGGATTGCTTGCAATACTATGATAATTGCTTGTTACTATTAAAATAACTTCAATGCTATTTACTGTTGATAATCATGCTATTCACTGTTAACAATAACTCTAGCGAACAGCAGATTGTTTATTGATATACAGTTATCTTGGTATCAGCAAAACAAGTAAACGATCCGATTTGAAAGTTATGGTTACAGTTCTGGTCAGCCAATCTGACGATCAATCAAAATACACTGTTAAACAACTCGCATACAAATGATATACATGTATTATCTCACTATTGCGAACGTAATACTTTGTTATACAGACGGATATGAAAACAATTCATCAAGCTTCGTTAAAACATTTACACGTTAAACATTTGTGATAGTTTTCTCTGTATTTTGAGTTACTGTACGCATACAGGAACGGATTAACGGCGGATTTTACCCACAACCACCAATATAAGAATTCATACACAATGGCATTTATACAGGCCTGTCCGCAGAACGATAAAACAACTGTCAGAATCGTGTACGGTGCCCAAAATATAAAGAAAACTGCCACCAAAAATGCAAGATTGCGGGCTGCTTTTAGAAAATTTCTGTTTTGTGTTCTTGTCTGTAAAGCTTTGTTTTTATTCCTTTGGCACCAGCTATCGCCTATATGTCTTAAGTGAAAATTTTCTGGAAGGGACGCTAGCCGGAGACGTTTGTCGGTTGGATTTACTATTGGTGTACCTTCTGTCTGCTGAAAGCTATATGAATGACGATGCCGAAAAGGCTTTTTTCTAATTGTCCGGGAATTGTAGGACCAATGCGACACGTGACTTCCACTTGGTCCGACAGTAGCGTCGTTACTTCCATATTCGGGTGATTTGGGAGCAACTCTCTTCCGGCGTTTTATAATCGCTCTGATATCTTTATAGATAAGTCCGTTTATGATAACTAAAGCAAGAGAAGGTACGAAAAACTCTATAACAGCCGTTGTAATAGTAAAACCGAAGTCATAAGCAAATTCCACGTGACATTCATTATAGGGAACAGATGAATATCCCACCCAGTTATCCCACCATAAGATAGCTGGGGCGTATAGAAGTGATGCGAGTATCCATGATACGAGTATGTTGATTTTCGCGACTCGCGGCGTTATTTTTGTTATATACTGTATACCAAGTCTAATATACAGCAATCGATCAATACTTATAATTGTTATCATCAGCACAGTTTCCAGACAAAAGGTAAAATCAGCTGCAAGCCATATCTTGCAAAGCACGCGTCCAAAATCCCAGCCGCCATTAAGATAATAAACGACGTACAATGGAATACTTATACACGCAATACAGAGATCAGTGATGGCAAGGTTTAGAATATAAATGTTATACACTGTCCTCAGTCGATCGTCTGTTATATATGCAATTATTGTCAGTACGTTCCCCACAATGGCTACACAACTTAGAATGATCACGGCAACAGCCGACGGAATTTGTATCTCGGGTGGCATTCGATCGAGTGTCTCCTCATAGATTCCCGACAACGTTACATTTTGCGCTATTGTTGATAGGTTCTGAGCGGCAACGGGGTCACTGGTCTGGCAAATGACGAAATTTACCAACAAGAAACCTGTAACGATATTATATTCTGCATTTATAATCATTCCGTGCATAACATTAGACCTTTTTAATTTTATTACTTAAATAATTATAGCACAGAAGGCGCTGAATATGTTTGGGTCTCAGAATGTCAGAAAGGTGAAGGTTGTGATATTATAAACCAATTTGTTTTTGTATAGTGCCAACAATGCTTCCCAGCGTTTTAATTGTAGTAAATTGGCTATAAGACTAATTGCAACACTGATATTCAATTCAATGTTTATTTGACTTAAACAATTTGAAAAAAAAAAAGAGTAGTCTAAACTGGGATTTGAAGTCCAGACCGCTCGCTTCTTAAGCGAGCGAGCAAACTCCTCGGCCACGGTGAAGTTATATATTAACGGCCTGAAGAAAACCGATATTATTTTAAATAAGGGTTAATTAACCCTTATTATTTTGACGCTAACTGTTGTTTAACACAGATGTAAATAATCATGGAGCTTAATATAATCATGTATATCTATAAAGAATAAAACAATATTAGAAATCTTCGACCATTCGGGAACTATTTTGCTTGAAAATTAATGAGCCTGTCATTTGACCATCTTTACGCAGTGATCTCCCCTGAATTTTTCGGCGTTAGTGTACATATAAAGGGAAGTAACCGCTCCAAAAAGCGTACTACTTTTGGCATTTGCAATTAACAGCATCAGAGTCTGAAATTTCGCTACCATTATTTGTTTGGTCTGACGACCAAAACTGAAAAAAGAAAAAACTATTTCAAAATTTGATGACAGTCTAACATTTTGATGATTCAAAATGAATTGCGTATGTCTTTAAAGTATTGATTTGTTTTTTGTGTGTTTGTTGTTGTTGTTGTTTTTTGTTTGTTTTTTTTTAGTGTGTGTGTGTGTGTGTGTTTTTATTTGTTTGTTTTCTCAGTAACAAAAATATTTCAATAAAGTGAGAAAATGAGATACATTTAATAATTCGACGACTATATAAAGCTACATATAATCGCTTTAATTTTTAATATTCGACAATGACTTTAAAAATTTGAAATTTAACGACACGTTTTCATATTCGCTCTATAACTGACAACTCTACAAAATATGTTACGGTTATGTTCTATATGATGTCATTTCTGTTTATAAAAGTATAAAATATATATATAAAGATTTACAAACCAGCTAGTAAAACAAATGAATCCATTCCACACTGTACTATTCCAAATAGTTTACAGAATATTAAAGTTATTGTCGACAGTAACACACGCGTGACCAGATTCAATTAGAGAAATTGTTTCATATTTGTACGTTCCGTTCAAAGTTTTAACTGTTGATTTTATAGACGTCTTGTTGACAATGTGCTAGTCAACATTTCTGTATTAATTGTTGAAATAGACGAAATGGACGTTGCTAAGAAACGTAAATTCTCAAGATTTGAATATTTTTTTATCCAATACCAATGGATATTTTGTCATTACCATTCCAGCCATGTGATATATATCGAAGTAAAATAATCTTCAAATAGAAATTGTAGTCGTTCACCTGGTAACAAAAAAAAAAAAGAAAAAAAGAAACAACAGTGGGAGAAATTTATTTAATAAAGTTAATACTATATAGTGTTGAGCGCTAGATTTAATTGTGTTTGACGTCAATTATCTATCGGTTTTAATATAAAGTTTCATCCGAGTTTCTTTATTAATATATTAAGGTTGTTTTTTACTTCTCACATTTATGGGTTCATCTAGGAAACACTGGTAGTCATTAAACAGTACGCCCACTGTTCCAAATCTGCTGATACGTAGTGTATTACACTAAATATCTCTAAATGAATATTTTGAACTGGGCAATACCATTAATATTCAAGGCATTCTTATTCGGAGTAAATTTTCAAAACATGTACATGTACTGACTTAAAATAGTTAACAGAGCAGACCATGATAAGACGGTTCATGCCGGTTGATTTTGGTCTGCTCTTGTCGCATGGTTAAAGTCAGTCGCTTCCAGCAGACAATGTGTTAATACTAAACAACTATTCTAAGTCGTAAACAAATAAATTATTAAAGTTTTGTGTTTCAGAAATGAACTATAAAATAAAGTCTAACAAATACTGTTATTTTTTAAGTCGAAAGGGGGACATAAATGTGGCAAAATGATTTTTTGTGTTATTGAAATTAGTTCTCCTGAAAGTGAGCAAATATTTCATTTTGAAATAAATGCCTTACCATAACACTAGAAAAACATCGAGAATTTTCTTAATGAAAATGGGAAAACTGTTAAAGAAAATGTTCGAGGTTCCTTACTATATTGGTGATGTACAAAATTTCAAGATAGTGAATAATTGTATAGTACTTATCGGTAAAAAGGCGTAAATTTGCTGGTGGGTTTAGGGGGTAAGGGCGTAATATCCCGGGTTTTAAGTTATATTTGGACCTTTCAAGTGTTTTCATTTTTATGCATTATAGATGACTGTCTATCTGATTAATTCCCTGGAATAATACATTGGCACAAGTTTACCTGATTTTGATACGATCTGTGAGCAATTGACGTGGAAATAAATAAATAAAAAAGCGGCGGTATAAATTAAGTGTGGTCAATAGTTAAGGTGTAAATGTAATAAACAAAAATCAGGTACAACATAATATAACAATGGCTGTATATCTGAGAATATAAATGTTCAATGAACAACAGACTGTTTAGATAAATGTCGCTTCCAAGAACCACATTGTCATACAGAATACATCTCAATAAAGTGTTCGTAATAATTTTGTAACCATGGGTGGTGTGTAATTTTGTCAGGTTACAAGCTCGTTACAACGTCTGGCATATCTTTTATTTAAAATTCCTCCAGATATACAAATGTGAATACATGTATAGTAATTCATTAAGTAGAGAGTCGCAAATTACAGGAAGGTAATTTTCTTCTGCATGCAGAGTATTAATTATGCTATAAAAGTGTAGATAGTTTGTTCACACGGTACCTATACGCTCTTAAAGTGCATTTTAAAAATCAATTACAGGTGTTTGCAACTTTGTACGATGACAACTGAAATAAATGCTAAAAGCGTGCCATGCTGAATACTCAGACTGGGTATTTCAAAATGTACAAAGATAATAAAGACAGTTTGGAGACAGGATATATGTCTCCTGTTTAAAACTCATTTTGTTTAACTAAATGATCCAAGCATGTTTCAAAAATAAAAACATATTGATCTGTTAATTATTACACAATTTCAAAGCGAGAGAATTTAAAGAAAATAAATCGCTTTGTATTGACTTTGGTCGATAGGTAGTCTATGCTTAATGAGGGTCCATCCGCCCGTCAAGGCACAAATGCAGGTTTAGCTGATAAGCACAAACTAGTCACCAGTCACGCCTTTAAAGGATTACTTTTGAAGCACAAGGAGTTGATAATTTACCACAGAGTAATATCAAAAGATGAATTTTGAGTCGAAAGTAGTTCACTATCAGGCGGTCAATGAGAACCTAAATGTACAATAATCCTAGACAATATGATTAGGTAGTCCTGATGCCATGCAAAGGGCCTATATACCATTCAAGCTGACAGTGCTTATTAGTGGCTAACGCACCCAAGCACCCTTCCTCTTTGTTCCTACCTACAAAGTTTTTATATGCAAAAATGCTGAATAGAATATCCAGTCTGCTGTAATGTGAAATGATCGATTGAACTCCAAAGCCATAGTTCTTGATGGAATAATTGTCATATGTACACATTGTATTGCGGGGTTATTTAATCTGGATGCAATTTAGTTTAATGTACAAATATTACATTTCAGAACGATATTCTCCTCGTGTTGTTATGATATTGTTAATGTTTGAACTTCATGAATTTTGTAATGGAGGTTACATGATTACAGACAGACACATGGGTATTAAACTTATTTAATGTTCTCATATTTCTAATGGTAATAAATCACGCATGTCAGTTATAGAATACTTAAATTAATTAACAAATTGTTTCATTTGGACTTAAATACAAGTTTATAAATTTCATTTGGTAAAATTTTGCCATTAAATGAAAGGCGCGTCGTTAAAAAAGGCAAATGACCAATAATTAACGTTTACATGCAAATGTATTATTTAAGTCAATTTGTTTTCAGAACAAAATACTTTAGATTAAATTTTTCATCTTAAATTTAATGTTGGTAATTGGGCCCTGGCAAAAAATCTTAAATGTTAAAGATGCCTAGACACAAGAAAGGACGTTTACCCTAGCAAAGTCAAAATAAGAAAATCAGACCGGGTCCTTTTCCAACATGCTGACCGAACATACATATTGAGCTCTATCACAATTTTACAGTGCATGCACAGTTATGACATGATCATGGCTTAGATAAATTCCATGATACCAAACGTTTGCATCAAAGAACGGTCAAATAAATCAAAGTAAAGTTGAACAAAATGTACACGTTTATTACATTATCATTCATCTGTAGTTTATAAGACATGTAACAGCTTATCATCATTGCATAACATATATCATAAAACTGTAAACACCGTTAAAATCACAGCAATATTATCCTTGATTATATCTTTAGAAAGAAGGCATGCCTTATTAAATGCCATAAATAATTATAAGAAAAGTAAACCATTTCACACAAGCAATATATTTATAAGCTTGCCGAAAACAAATTAAACATTCATATTAATAGCTTATTATACAGAAAAATTAGCTTTAAAGACAAAACACACTGATAAGATTAAATTCTCGGATATATGTGTGGGTCACTCAGACCCACAAAAACCGGCCGGCGATTGTCCTTCTGAATTGCAACTTCTGTCAACATGGCGCAAGTTTGATTTCCACGTTCTAATTAATGCATATAAAGCTATTTTGCGGATTCAATAAGTTTGATGACGTCAATATCAGCACATGGTGACGCACTGACGTTAACTGCCAGGGTAAATGTCCATAACGTGTTCCCTGGAATCGACAACAAATGTTTTCATGTAATGTTAGAGATAAATTATAACAAAGTTACACTGGAAGGTATGGCTGGCAATACGAATGCCCGGGAATAAAATCAAACACTTATCTTTAATATACTTGTAAAATGTACAGAAATATTTATATTTATATATTAATATATATGGTGTATGTTTAAATATGCTAAAATATCATTATACCATAAAGAATAATATAATGCCAAAATCAATATTATTCTTCAATACGTTATATATGACTATAAGTTTCCGTCTATTACCTTTCATCTTATATATTACTAACATTCATGGTTTGTTTGATTGGGTTTTACGTCACACCGACACAGTATAGGTCATTTGGCGAAGTTCCAGCTTTACTGGTGGAGGAAGACCTCAGGTGCCCTTCCGTGCATTATTTCAGGCACGAATGGGCACCTGAGTAGAACCACCGACGTTCCTTAAGCTAGCTGGATAGCTTTCTCACATGAAAGAATCCAAAGTCCCTGTCGGGATTCGAACCCACAGCGGTGAGGGGCAAGTGGTTTGAAGTCAACGACCTTAACCACTCGGCCACGGAGGCCCCAACATTTATGGTTAACGTAAGCTGAAATGAATGAAAACATATGGCGTTTAGTAAAGCTTTCTTTTGACCATGAGTGGCCATGTACAAGAGCTATAATTTGTGTTATTTTATATACCTTTTTCGTTGTTTGCCTCGACAGCAAACATGCCGGAATCTGTTGCTATAGCTGCCGGTATGGTGAAAGTGCTTTCATTGTCACATCTGGTAATTCTAAACCGACCTAAATCATCCAAAATCTGTGTACCTCTCATCCAGGTAACTACAATGTAAGCGTGATAATTCAAGAATAATATTTGCTTAATGTTTGGTTGACAAAATAGATAAAATATTCTATTTAACCACAAACACCTGAAACGCCTGTTCACCTTATTCCCTTGCACTTACTATAAATAACACTGTGTGATACTATATTCTATTTTAGTGGTGTCTTTGATTACAAAGTTTAATAGATATTGATAAAAATATAACACAGACTTGTACAAATTTATAGAAAAAAACAATGTGTACCTGTCTCTACTCTATCCAGCTTGCACGTGAATGAAACTGGTGCCCCTTCTTCAACATTTTGTGATTTTGGAATCTCAAGGAACACAGGTCCAGATGGTTCTTCTTCAGGGACTGCATTTGAAACAAATTACAAATTACTATGCCATGTATTTCGAAAAACTGTTAGGACTGTTAATACGTGTGAAAAAAAAATAGAAATTGGTATTATAAAAAATATATATCGCATATACCTTTTACAAAGATGGTGAAAAAGCTAGAACTAGTTCCTGTTTGGTTAGATGCCTCTGCGCAATAATTTCCGCTATCCTCCGGAAATACCTCCGCTATCGCCAAACGGTGTGTTTCGCCGGAAGTCTCATATTTGAAATCGTCATTGTCTTGGATAACTTCGTTCCCTTTGTACCATGTAACCTCTGCGTTTCCTAAAATGTTCCATGTCATAGATGTTGTTAGGAAACCACATATTATTTGAAAACAAAAAATCGACATTATGAACAACGACTGGAGATCTACAACATTTCCCCATATACATTTCTACAATAAACAAAACAATATCTTTTTATAAAGCATTAGAGAAAAGAACTTAAAAAACTTTTAAACCAAATAAGAATATATGAAGGCCTACCTCTGACAATACATTCAACTACAGCAGCATCACCGTCATTTAGCGTCATTCCTTGTGGGTGCTTGGTAAACCAGGGTAGATCCATAGGTGGGGCTTTACTAAATGGAATTGTGTTAGTCTTCTCTACACCGTATATAGAAGCAGAAAGAAAATATTGAAAATAATAGTTTGCATTACATGACAAGCCAACACAAGTATTTGGGTACATGTATACTGTTTTGGACAATTGTGCCGAATCAATGAAATTCAGCAGTAATTTAATCTAAACGATCTTAGATCTAATTGTTAAGGAAAATATTTATTTTCTAATTTTACAGGTAGATCTACATTCTACAGATTGATACTAATGGTGTTAAATTATCAAAAAGGTCTAGATTGCTAAACCCTACTTTTGACCATTGAGACAGCGCATAAATCTTATACAAATGTATATGAATAAAATGGAATGGAAAATATTGTTATGCAATACGTTATATTAACTAACCTGATACAGTCAGAGAATTCTGTGATATAATTGTTATAGTGGTTCGTATTTCAGCCTCTCCATCTTCGTTGATAGCTCTACATAGATATTCACCAGAATCTGATGACGTCACTTCCGGAATCGTAAGAGTACAAAGTCCAGCTCGATTTTTCATTTTTGCATTCTCATTAAACTTTAAATTCTGAAAATATGGAGCCATGTATATATCTGTATATATTTTCTTATTAAAATGTTTGTCTCTGATGATTTTTATTGAGCTCTTATATTCACGAGTGTCAGTGGGAAATATCGAAACCTTAGTTCAAATTTTAAAAAAATGTAGGCCTATCATAGGCTGAAATTGACGGTAAAGTCTAATTACTTTTAAATAATATAAGGTTCACTAACAAGGTTTTGGTTTTGGTGGCCAAAGACACTGTGCTCTTGACCGACTGACAGAATCAATAATGGTCATCTACTAGTTTCATACCAAATATCTAAGCTATATTCCTTGGACTTGCAGAGATTGCCCTCCTACATAAAACGAAAACTCGTGACCAATTGAAACTTTTGGTACAGATCCATCAGATGATGTTTTCTGCCAAATATCCTCCTTCGGCGTTTCAGAGAAAAGTTGTTGTTTAAGTTATTTACTATAAACATATTTTTTAAAAGTCCATGATCCCCGGGGCGGACCAATTTTAAACCTAGAGATATGATTTTAAGAACATTGGTAGAGGACCTCTACATGATGTTATATATCATATACCAAACCTCTAGGCCATGTACTTTCAGACAACGGAGGAAGGTAGTCTAGTACTGGTGTAACTCTCCAGGAACGATGGTTAGGAAACTACCGCCTATATGACTGAAATACTGTTGGGAAAAGGCGTAAAATTAAACAAACAAACAAACAAACAAACTTTCAGACAAAAAGATTTTTACATTTGCATTTTAATCCCTTTTATGGTCATGTGACCTATTTATGCAATCGACCGGAACCATTTGTACAACCACGGATTTATATTACATATAAATCCGTGGTACAACTGTGACAGAGGACCACCCAAAAACCAATCAAGTGTCTAGTTGACGACGGACGACGCACATCGACGGACAGAAGAGAATCACAATAGCTCACCATGAACACGTTGCGCTCGATAGAGCTAATCAAATTCCTTTGTCCTTTTTATGAAAATTTAAAAAATCGGACTTTACAGTAATTATTGATACACGACATCTTACTTGCTGAAGATCTACAATTCTATACAATTCATCCATCTTACAATAGTTAATATTAAACTAAATAAGACAGCGAGCTCCACTTTTCTTAGTGGTGGATAGTTTAAAAAATGGCAACACAGAAAAGAGGGCATAATTCTACTTTTTTCTTTGAAAAGTGAAGCTAAAATAAATATCTTTAAATAAAACCTTTCCGTCATGGAACCAGTCGACTTCAGGATCGGGATTTCCAGATACATTACATTTGAGCATCAACTTTTCACCTTCATTCAATGTCAAGGTCGCCAGTTCATCTGTGAATGTTGGTGGTGCAGCATCATCGTCTACGGAACAAAAACACAAACGTCCTGATGTTATATTTGTTTTACAAATTGATATAAATATTCGTTTTGGATAAATCGCAATTTTCGTATATATCTATTTAGCATATGTGTGTAACACGAAAGAAAGGGCATCCGTAACGTGCAATTGCCCATATTTTTAATACCCTGTTGTTGCGATGGTTTTACAAAGGGTAACATTCTAATAATTGCATAATATTGCCAAGCCCAAACATTCGGATTTGTTGCAGATAGCTGCACGATTGAGATGAAGAATTCTCGATGACTACAACTTTCTTTTAACACACGTTTTTTTAATCAAATATTGAAAATAAAACTTTTTTATTATTTCACCAAAATTTCATTATTATTGTCTGAAAACATTGTTCTCTCGGGCAATTTTATTTTATGATATGATATTAAACTTTGAGCAAAAAAGTAATTACAAAGAGATCAGTGGCAGGCATAAGAACTCGAAATAAACCACTTATATAAAATTAATTAAGATTTTTTTCTACTTCATATGTCATACAACAATGTATAACAATAAGTTGTTCTATTTTCTGATTCTATACACGGCCATTCTTTAAAGTTGAAAGCGATTTTACAGGAGAAATATCTGATGATTATATATACTGAGGGATGGTCTAGTAATTAATTCATGAGAATTGTTTGTTCAGTGTCGTATTTACAAGTTTAGCTTCAGTGACATTTAAGGATAATGAACATACTAATTAGTACATGAGATGTCATTAAATTGCTTAACTAGCATATGCGTCATTGTTACTGGGTAATAACACCATAGAATACTGTGTACAAAATATTGACGATCCATCCTTTAAATCTAACAAATGTATCAAAAAAATACACGATTTTTATAGTTAATGAATCTAATAAGAAATGTTTTCACCTCTTTTAACCCTAAAAATCAATTCCAGGGAACAAAGTTACTGAGAAATGTTATCTATGACTAAATTTTACCAACTTTGGTTAATGTTCATTGATGATTAATGAGAAGGTTCCCATCTCTCGCTTTTTTTGCCCTTAAATGGGGCTAAAATAACTTGAGACAAGAAAGCATTTGTGAAAAAAATGCTATGATACCGCATAAATATAAAAAAGTAGATTTCTTTTTTGTTTCTATACAATTGAACATTGTCATAATGCAGTAGTAACTGGTGTATTTGGGGTGAAGGTCATATTTCAGCATGTTAAATGAATGACAATGTGCAGCTATTGTTAAGATATAAAGGCCATAGTGCAATAATTGATTAAAAAATAAAAGAATTTGTACTTAATAAAAAAATACGTTTTAATAGGTTGAAATTGGTGCAGTTAGTTTGGTTGAAATTGGACCAGTGTTTTTTAACAAGATTCTTTTTAAGTTCACTATATAATCTATATAACAGACAAACACATACACACAAGTGAGTCGCTATATGCCACCGCAGCATCTGCAACGATAAAGAATTACTTTTTTGTTGGATTTTAGGTCGCACCAACACAGTAGATGTCATATGACGACTTTCCAGCTTTATTGGTGGAGGACGATCTCAGGTACACCTACGTGAATTATTTCAGGAACGAAGAACCTCCGATGATCCGTAAGCAAGCTAGATAGCTTCCTCACAGGAAAGAATCCAAAGTCCTTGATTCCATGTATTATATATTCATAGTGGCGTATCGATATAAGATGCAAAGATTTTACAGACTATAACCATTCAAGACTGCTACATAACAAGTATGAGTAGATGAGTTGGAAGCAAGTGTGATCAGTATTTTTTAGATAATTTAGTAACTGATGACACTTGTCATTTCCTGCACTAAATCCAATTGCCAATTTTTTATTCAGATCCACTTAATCATTTCTTACATGTAGCGTTTATTAGTAGGTGATTTTAATCAGACTGAATATTTTGAGTCTTCGTCCGTTCTTTCTAATCATTCTATATCGGTCATCACCAATTATATAACTTTGCAATAATTGTTAAGATTTCTACAAGGTGTGAAATGTATTGTGTCAGCGGATCACAAGGAAGAATAATGTCCAATTGGTCTTCTAGTCCAGTAAAACAATTTATATTAAAATATAACCAATGAGCATAAGATACCAGACCATCAGCTGGTCTAATCTAATTTATCTGCAAGTTCCAATTGCTGAAACTGTCCATTGATGTATAGTCATTATCAAAAATGAAACAAGTAAATTCCTAGAACTGATATCCCCCACCACCAGTATGATAAAACTAACATGATGGAAGCTTCTTAGCATTATGTACCTTAGAATATAAGTGAACATTTATTTGGTATATTACTTAATATGTACCAGTGACAAAGCCAGCACTTTGATTATGAATCATTTCCATACTGACATACTCGTTTGAGCCGTAAGTATTGAGTATAATTATAGGCTAAAAATTTTCATGAAAAACTTCAAAACCTCTTGAGTGTATTTCAATGTAACTTCTTGAACAATAAACTAATATCTATATAAATAAACATTCTTGTAAAACTTCAAGAAAATTTGACCTAGAGGTTCTGGATAAAATAGACTGACAGACAACGCCATTTCAATATCCAAATACCAAATAATTCAGCAATGGATAATAAATAAACTTTTAGAATCGGATAATATTAGATTAGATCATAAACGGGTGCCATATGATTATGTTGTATGATTATAAAAGAATTAACATGTCCCCGGGACAGTGTGACAGACTGCTATGTAGAAGTCGATAAAGTCAATTATCTGAACTAGAAATCTTCACTTTACATCACAGATAAGAAACAAATGTTGTTTACTTTTTTTTGTTTATTTTTTTCAATTTTCTTAAAACAATGTGTCAAACACTGCAAACAATGTTTCATCTTTACAGACTAAAATAAATAGAATGAATTGCACCTGTTAGAGGAGAGGGGACACCTCATGTTGACTAGGGAGGAAGGGGGGACCTGGTCTGAGACTAGGGCGACTATGAACTACTTGGTGACTCTGAATAGAAAATACTATGTTTATCTATCAAATCACCAAGTAATGTTACTATAGCAACATTATATTTTGGAAAAGTACAAAAAGCAAATATGTCAATGCATAAAAAGGTATAGTCCTATATAAATACAAACATTCAATCATGAAGCCATCAAATTCTCTACATCTAGTTAAATAAAAAAAACAGCTTTTTACATTTCGGAGATTCGTATGATCTGATTAATGACACATTTTATCATTGTCAACCTTCTGTACAATATAACCACATATTCTTTGAATTATTTGACCTATTTTACTTCTTCACAGCTATAGTTATTTTCAAATGTAAAGATTTGAAAATGTTAAATTAATTAAACTCCTATGTAAAAGAACACAATATAAAGTTTGTAAACATAACAAAAATAGTTCTTTGTCATACATTATTAATAAACTATTATGCAATACAAATGTTAAAAACGTGTACAAATAAGCAGTAATTAGATAATTAAATAAATAATGTATATTATATAATAAAGATGAAATTCATTCCGATCTAAGCACAGGGGCGATATCACAGTGAAATGTAGTAATGACAAAACACATATTCTTATATACAATAATCACTCGCATGATTAACTCCCTTGAATACTCTTCAAGGTAAAGGTTAAAATTTGCAAAATACTCTTCATTAAGAAGGTAAATCTAATTCTATAATTTACAGAAATACCTGTATTAGCAATGATTATATAATTTCAAGCACATGCCTTAAATTTCCATCAAGAAACATTTTTAATGCGTTTAATACATTAAATTTCATATCCTTGAGTGAAAACTTCCATTTGAACTGCTGGCTTTGAGTCAAATAAATTATAAAATAAATAAAAATCAGGTTTTTAAGAAATATACACAACACCATTTATACAAATAAAATATAAAACATACTCAATTAAACATAACAGAATGTAAATAAAGTCATAAATTAAAATTTGAGACTGTTTCCATAAAACATAAGGCAAAATCTTTGTTTTTACTAGACTTCAACAGTAAGTCTAGTATAATACTCCACGAAAAGTAAATATTGCATGCAGTTTATATAAACCAATCAATAAACTGTTATCAAATAAATGAAAATTCTATGAAAGTTAGCTGTATTTATAATAAATATTCATACAATATGTGACACAGGTATCTCACTGAAATTTCTGACTTTGATTTCTTATGAACAATGATTCTCTTTCATGATATAAAAGTTCATTATTTAAAAAAAAGAGAAAAAGTTCCGAAAGTCAAAAACTCCCGCCTGTCGCACCACCAGAAAATTTCAGTGTTTGATTGCACGAATATATAAAATTTTGTTAAATGCACAAAATGCAGCTAAATTAATGGTGTTATATCTATCCATATCTGTGCATTGAATTTTGTGATCTTGAACATTTTTCTAAAATGCAGCTGTGACTTCCATAGAATTTTTTACAATTCATATAAATATCGAAATTCTTAAAATGTCTCTGTCAGATATAACCAACAAAAAAACAAAACAGGTAACAATCATAAAATTTAGTCTTCTATAAAAAAAATAACAGCCCATCTTCAACAGAAGACTGTTGTTTTATTTTTAACAATATTTAAAAATAAACATTGTCCATTTAATCTAAACTCTAAACACGTCATAACATTTTAAGTATAGAAAAAAAAAAGAGAAGAAACAAATTGCTAAAAATGTCCTCCAGAAAAAAAACCCAACAACACATTGCATCATTGCACAGTCTTTTCCGATACAATAAAATAAAGCACTTATATCGTATATAGACAACAGTATGGTTGCGATGTGTTAGTCACGGTACTGTATCTAGTATTACAACATACACTAGAGGTTACATGTCACGTTATGATACAGACTCACTCCTATATGAGCGTCGGGTCGTTCCGCTGTATGAACTATCCGCAAATTTCCTGGAAGTACGAGACGAACTGCCATAGCCGGATGTACCGTATTTACTACTATAGCCGCTACTGAAGTCGCCATAGTCTCTGCTGCTATAATTCCTACCGCTACTATAATTTCTACTACTACTATAATCTCGGTTGCTACTATAATCTCGGCTGGTGCTATAATCTCGGCTGGTGCTAAAATCTCGGCTAGTGCTATAGTCTTTACTGCTACTATAGTCTGAAGTTGTGCCGTAGTCTCTACCTGTGCCGTAGTCACTACTGTACTGGCTACGTGAGTACGATGATCGACCCAACATTGGCGAGTAGCTACCGGAGTAAGCAGAGCTGCTTATAGCTGATACTGAACCAGCTCTCTTTTTAAATGGGGTATGTACACGATCTGTAAAATATATAATCATACATAAGAGCATATACATTTTTTACAAAACCGGAACTAATTCTTACGCTGCGAATCAAATGAAATAAAAAAAAAAAAAGATGTGTATCTTTATGCTGATATAATATAAAACAAACGCGGTCGGCTGGACAGACTGCAAAACTATTCTCAGTGCTTGGTTTTGAAACTATAACCTTGATATATAGAATTTTATTAAGTTTATTAAGAGCATAATTCTGTCAAAATCCTTGTTAGAGACCTCCTTTTATGCTCTACAAGAAGAATGTGACATTTCAACCTATTCTCTTCAGTAATTTTGAGATACCAACTTACATGCTAAAACTAAATCAAAGTGTGACAGCCATGTCAACACAAGTACCATAGATTTTCCTATGCTTTGAATATTTAAGTTAAAAACCAAGTATGAAACAAGAATAGAAACTGAAAAAATATTGTAAAACTATGCGAAAAAGAAGAATTAAACTACCAACAACTTTGACTACATAAAGTTTTTTTGTGTATCAAATGGTAGATGTCTACCAGATTGGTAAAAAAATCCTATAAGAAAGTTCTACGAGAAAAAATTAAAAAATCAATATCAGATCTAGCCCTTGACCCCTTCAACTTTAACTACCTTTCAAATGTAGAATGCCAAATATCTAAGACGTCAAACAATAAATATTTATCTAATGGACAGGTAAGCAAACCTGTGACTTAATATCACCTATAATAACTATACACATACCTTCAACAATGACTTTACTAGATGTCTCAAAGTCTCCAAGGTCATTGACAGCTAAACATCTGTAGATACCAGTATCTGCTACTTCAGATTGTGACACTTCTAGTGAACATACACCATGTGAATAACTGATAGAGTAATGATCATTCTTCTTTAACTCCTTACCATCCTTGAACCAGGTCACCTGAAGGTCACAAAAAAGGTCAATGTTTAAAGGTCAAACTCATTTAGCTATAAGGTCAATCTTGTTATCATTATCTATAAACAGACTATGGATGGGTGGGTAGAAAGCAACAAATTACTTTAGTACAAGGAATTTCATTTTCAACCATTATTTGGTTTTATTTTGAACCTTTAATAGGATGGTCTGTCTATAAATAGCAAAATCTATATGTGATAAGCCTACAAACGCATACTAAAATTATTACTTAGGCAAACTTAAATATTCCTTATGCATACTGAAATATTGTTCACAAGTTGGCATTTTAAAAAAAAATCCAAAAGTGAAAAAAAAGTAATAGAAAGTATTACATGTATCTAAAAATTATTTAAAAATTAATCTTACAAATATTTGTTACAATTCTTTGTAATTCTTCATTAATTTAAGTAACAAGCATCATTATCAGTTGATTGAATTTTCATTTATATCAAAAGTAAATAATATCAATATCTTACCTTTGGTGGTGGAATACTCTCCACAATAGTGGTAAGCTTAAACTCACATCCAGCTTGGATAAATCTAGGTCGGAGGTCAAAGCCACCTTCTGGCTTATGGTCTAACTTCGGTGCTTCAAACTCCCTGACTTCTGACCTTGACCTTTAGAACGGAAAGTGAAATATTTGGTATACAATCATCATAATTTAGTTGCAATGACAGAATTAATTTCAGATATAAATTTGATATCATAACATATCAATACATGCAGGTGCTATTGATTTTGAAAATTAAAGAAAATTACATAACTTTTAAACACAAAGAAAGACACATATTGGCTTTCATAAAACAACATATAATGAATGCGGATTGAAACAGCTTTAATTCGTCATAGTGTAGGAACTACAAAAGGAAGTAAAACATTATTTCTAAGATACATACCTTCTCAATGGAGTAGTGTCTCTGCTTACAATTGGCTTCTCACCAGCTATAAATATATCAAGATTATTTTAATCATTTAATATTGTATCAGTAAGGACATAGTTATCATGTAAGAATACATGAAAATAAATGTACAATGTACTCTATAGATGAACACAAGAGCGATCAGTAATCACATGTGTCGCCTCATGATGGCAAATTTCATGTTGGGACAAAGTTTGTGACAGACGGACAGACAGACGGACAGTGCACAACTAGACTTGGTACTGATCATTCCTGTAAAGTTTGGATAAAATTGCACGAGTAGTTTATGAGAAGTAGTCCGGACAAGCTTTTGCGTATCTGGCAACACACAGAAAAAACACCTTTTTATCAAAGGGCCATAACTCGGCCAAAATTCATTCAACTGGAAAACCCGTGCAATATGCGCAAGGACTTGAGCTACAGATCAATCCTGTAAAGTTTCACTGAAATTGCTTTAGTGGTATAAGAGAAGTAGTCCGGACAAACTTTAAAAATAAAAATTATTAAAGGGCCATAACTCTGACAAAAATCATTGAACCGGAAAATGCTGATAATATGCACAACTACCCTTGGTACTGATCATTCCTGTAAAGTTTAGATGAAATTGCACCAGTAGTTTATGAGGAGTAGTCCGGACAAGCTTTTGTGTATCTGGCAACACACAGAAAAATACACCTTTTTTATCAAAGGGCCATAACTCGGCCAAAAATCATTCAACCTAAAAACCCTTGCAATATGCGCAAGGACTTGAGCTACAGATCAATCCTGTAAAGTTTCATTGAAATTGCTTTAGTGGTATAAGAGAAGTAGTCCGGACAAACTTTAAATTAAAAATTATTAAAGGGCCATAACTCTGCCAAAAATCATTGAACCGGAAAATGCTGACAATATGCACACCAGACTTGGTACTGATCATTCTTGTAAAGTTTGGATGAAATTGCACCAGTAGTTTATGAGGAGTAGTCCGGACAAGTTTTGTGACGGACAGATGGACAGACAGACGGACAAACAGACGACGGAGAAGTGATCCCTATATGTCGCCACTACTCCGTAGAGGCGACACAAAAATGATAAATAATAGTTTACTTTATATACTTATTGTCTGTAAATAGTTAAATCTATATCTTATCTTCATGTACACATTGAATTGTTTAATATAATCAGATTGATTAGAAATGCAAATACTATGAAAATATGTATTAAAACTACATGTATATGAATTAACATCACAAATTTTTAAGGAAACATGGCACAATTTCAATTTCGATGTTTATTTGGCTTTAACATATAAGCCATGTTTATTGCCAATACATATAGTATTATGGCGGCAATATGATAATAGTTTTATCAAAATTAAATTTTTCAGAATAAAATGTTCAGTCATATTTAAGGGTATTGCTTACCTTCGACTTTGAGAATTCCGAGTTCTTCACGTTTACCGAAGGAGTTTTCTGCTTTGACCACATATTCTCCCTTGTCCTCCATTTTAACACGGCTAATCTTCAACTCGTACTCTTTACCGCGGTATTTCTGCATGTGTTTAACACTCTGTGACAGTTGTACTTGATCAAAGTACCTGAAATATATATATATTGTATACTGTGAATACAGCGGACAATCATCACTCTATCTCTACAACATAAACATGTATTCATTCACTTATCATGAACTTCTCCTACCACTCTGCTAACAGTCTGGTCGTTAAGAGAAACAGTAAATGTTGAAATAAAATCAAAACTTACTTAGTAACAAAATCAACTAGAAATGTGTCCATAGGACACGGATGCCCCCACACGCCACTGTTCTGTCAATCTTATGACTCTAGGTCAAATATTTTTTGGACTTACATATGCCACAAGTTGAAAACTAAAAATCAACAAAGGGCCATAATTCTGTTAAATTTGGTCGCAGCAAAAATTCCTTCCTTTACTACCATCTACATATTAAGGTTGTTCATCCCTGGAAGTTTAAGCAAAATCTGCCATCCGGTTTAAGAGGAGTTGCGTTCACAAAATTTCTACATAGTATATAGTGAAAAAATCAACAAAGGGCCATAATTCTGTTAAATTTGGTCGCAGCAAAAATTCCTTCCTTAACTACCATCTACACATTAAAATCTGCCATCCGGTTTAAGAGGAGTTGCGTTCACAAGATTTCTGGACGTACGGACAGACGTACGTACGGACGGACGGACGGACACATGCAACGCTATATGCTCCCACTCTGTGGGGGCATAAAAATTTACCATGTATCAAACTCAGGACTTACCATGTAACAATTGGTGGTGATGCAGCAATAATTTTACAATCAAATTTAGCGCCTTGTCCCTCAGTGACTGTACAGGTGCGAGGTTTACGAATGAATTTCGGAATGGCTTCACGACGATCTAAAATATAAAACATATCACACATTATTCTCTTTATGTATATACAATGTACATTTTTGTATTCAATAATTAATTATACATTTTTACCAAATATTTTCTTGATTAGTATAGCACAACTAAGTAATTTCTGTTTGAAATGGCTAAATTGTAAAATGCTACCTTTTCTTCATTTTTGATTGAGATATAACTTATAAGAAAATAGTTCAGTAGCATATTCAGCAATTGATTTAATAAGCTTCAAACTTAAATTATCCTACTACAACATTTCTTCCAGACATGTATTCTGGCAAAAGAATAACTGAAGTGTTTTGATAAAGATTAACTGAAGATAAAATTTCATTAAAACAGTTTTCACTGGTGATTAAAACAATGGACAATTAAATGACATGTATATCTATCTATCAAAAATGATCCTAATTCTGATATTTACTTACCGAAATATGCATCATAGATATTATATTCTTTGGGTCTAAGTTTTCTAAGAGAGCTGTAGTTTGCAATACGACCAATAGCAGGGTCTGGCATTGGCCAATCAGCCTATACAAAAATAAATTACAACATAAATTAATAATTAACAAAAGTTTCATATAAATTATATTCAATTAATAAACAATTAACTTACTTATAGTATGTTGTTTTAATTTTCAAAAGTGTGTTTCTACAATGTAAATTTTATAAATTAATTAAAATTTTGAATTGTTAACAAGTATGAACAATTCTGCAATATTCAGTGAAAACATATTCATAATAAAGATAACAAAATTATAGAGTGGCAAAAAAAAAAGTTATAAATTCACAGAACTGCAATGGATCAAAACTGCGCTCGCAAATTTGATGATGATTGTTGTCATGAAATGCCTGAAAAATCTAGACAGGTTACAAATATATATCAATCATAACAAGCATAATGTAATGGTCAACACCAGAAACTGAATCATGGGTGACAATTTAACTTACATATCTTGCTTTAATCTTTGCTCGTATCTTGTCATATCTGCTTGATGGAATTCTATGAGTTCTGTTAGAGTGATCTCCCTTTAACCAGGCATGTTCCAAACACTGGTGTACAGTCATACGGGCCCTGGAAAATAAACATTTTATTTTTTAACCATAAAAAAAACACATGAAACAATTCAATGATCTGAGATAAAGGAAACTGATGCTTTCATTTTATAATAATTTTACTTTATCACAGCTTGTATTTCAAAACTTTCAGTATGAAATTAATTTTCTTCCCTGTCACTACAAACCAAACAGGATATTGAGTCTGCTCATAATGAACAATAACATTTTACAACAATTTTTACTGATATTTACCTTTTCTACCTTATTTCAGTTTTATTACCTGGAATATGCTGTCTAAAATGGCATATATGTAACAAGATATAGATAACTTACTTTATGTGTATGTTTACTTAATTAAAACATGCTTTTCTCTGTAAGTCATAAAATTTATTCTCATAAAACTTCTTTAGTATGTCTATTGATATATCAATTTTAATGAACACCAATCAAATATTATAGGCAGATAAACAAATGCTACTTAAGTTAATTGAATGAATTGGATAATTTCTTTAAAACATGTTTTATTAACAAATTGCACAAAAACTTACTGGGGTGTTTTCACAAGAAGCTTTTTAATAAAGTCTTTGCCTTCCTCCGAAACATTCGAGAAGGCATCGGCATCGAAATCCCAGTCTCCCGTCTTGACGTTCTGGAGGGTTTCAAGATCGTCCTCGCCAGCAAAGGGGGACAAACCACTCAATCTACAATATCCATGTTACATGTTATACTTTAAATAATGTAAAAATGGTGACCATCTGAAAAATAAACTATGACACCTTTTTTCTATTTATAAAAATCTTCGCCAAATATTTGGTTACAACAGAATATTTTCATTTATTTATTTGTACCCTTTTCTTTAAATGATATTTCTGTTCACTATTAAGAAATTAATATTTAAAATTAATAATACAGATATTCAAACCTATGGCATTTGCAGGTAACAGTTACTTTTTTTATCCAATCACTACTGTATACAAATGTATATATATTTCATTACTTACAGTACGTAGGCGAGGACCCCGGCAGCCCACATGTCTGTGTAGAAGCCCACAGGCTCATGGTCAACTATCTCGGGGGCGGCAAATTCAGCAGTTGCCGTGGTTACCTTCACTATCTCATCAGGATTTAATTTTGTTGCTAAACCAAAGTCTATAAGTTTTACATTATTGCTTTTCTTTGTTTCACACATAACATTTTCCGGCTGAAATGGAAAATAAAATGAAAATGATGGTCTTGTTTTTTAACTGCATGGGAATAAATTCATATTCATTCTCCAAAGGTCATACGAAGTTCTATGCTAATTTCCTTGCATTTTTTCATATATTTATAGATTTATACCCATACTGCCAGTATACTGCCAGGCCAACCTCCACATCTGTATGGCCTTACAAGGCCCTTTACTGTCGTCTGCTAAATTTCATAATTTTGATGCTGAAATCCTTTGAAATAACAATAGACTGTTCCTTACTCAAAGCAGGACAATTTCATTTCATATTTTATGAAGGAAAAGGTTAAATAAGAAATTATAAGCTACCTTAATATCGAGGTGGACTATACTGTTCTCATGCATATGTTCTAGACCGTGGCACACTTGTGTCATGTAATGTATAACCTCAGCCTCCGACATCTTGTAATCTTCTGCTGCAATACGGTCAAACAACTCGCCACCAGACAAACTGTAATCAAAATTCAACATTATATTATAAACATTAACAGACAATTTAGAGATATGTAATTGGCATAAATGTCAGCATCATAAACTGATCTTTTTGATGACTATAACAATATGAAAACCAGTAGTAAATTCAGGTATTATGTAAGAATTTTAACAATACATTTGAGTACTAATTTACATGATTAAAGTAATAAGGGTTTAATTTAAAGTACATAATTATAAAGTTTTTGCATGTATATGTATATAATCTAACTTCAAATTAAATCAAAGGACTTCATACAACAAACTACATTTATTTAACATTGTGACTTTTACAAAAAAAAATCAAACAAATTCTTTAACTAAAAGGTGTAAAAGTTTATAAGTGAAGTACTCACAATTCGAGGATAAGGACCATTTCTTGTTTATCTTCAAAGGCATCTTTGAGATTGAGCAGTTTAGGATGATGTAACTGATTCATCATATTTATCTCATTCTTCACTGTATGTTTATCTAGTGGGTATGGTGTGTTTATAAACTTGGCAACAAACACACGACCAGTCGCCTTCTCTATACATCGGTGTACCACACCAAAAGCACCACTGAAAAGACAATTACAGAGATATCTGTGACTGTACAAGCCAAACGCTTATTCAAAAAGACTACATCAATTTCACCATTTTTTTATTCAAATGTAGGTAAAATAGGTTTATGATAAAGGCTTGATATGAAATGAAATACAAAATTATAAATACTTATTAAAATCAAAAGGGACTCACTGTTTTAGTTCCAAAGTGGAAAATTTGCCATCTTAAACCATATAAGTACAAGAATAGCCATAAAAACTGACTTTTACTACATAAACTTCACTGTATTTAAAACATGCTGGCTTTAGTTTATACTGCAAATACAGTACTTCTGAGTGTACACATAACCATGGCAACAAGGTTTTTACCTGCTTTTATTTTTCATTGAAATAAAAAAAATTCAAGACAGAACATTGAAAAACCAATCTGAAAAAAAACACTTCAATACTTCAACATTTCAATATTTTGAAATCATTATAAGATAAGAGAATAAAGCAAACCTTCCAAGTTCTTCAAGTATATCATAATAGTCATATACACTTTCTTGTTTAACTTCAACAGGTTGTGGTACATATTTCTTCCACAAGTCATAGTCTGAAATACACAAATAACATCACTAGCTCAACATTTATTATAACACTCTCAAAAATTAGAGAAACAAGATTTGTCAACATTTATTTTTTCTATTCTTACAATAGATAGTACTAAACAATTTGTTATGAGAGACAAACTTTCAAAGCCTCAGGAAAACTGGTAGTTCTATATTTAAAACATCCTTATCTCCACTGGTATAGCTTAAATGTTTCAATTATTAAACTTTTGCCAAAAAATTCAAGCAATAAGACAAAATATCAAATTATGCACTTCTCCAGACAATGTTTGACTGTAATAAGCTTAAATAAACATTATGACAACATATATTTAACATGTAAAAGTTGCATCTACATTGTTATATAAGTTGAAGTTTACTTACATAGTTTATCATAATCGGCAATCTTTGGTCCATCGTATTTTCCTCTGATTTTGCGTCCAAATTCGTCTGAAATAAAACCAAACATAGAAATAAGTTTTGTTATAAAAACAAATTTCAATTAAAAAGACACAGATTTCTTAATTGTGCTTTTTCACATTTCAATACAAACCCGAAAGTCATTCTTTCATACTGCTAAGTGCTTCTTATTACCAGATTTAATTGATAATTTTAAACTGTTATAATGTTATAATATTAGGCCTAAGGCATCAGTATATGGACAGGCCAGTTTTGAAGGTACAAACTAACTGTTACTGTTATAGCTTCAAGGTGCACTACCTGTCACAATAGTTTAGTTAATCTGTTTCACTTATTTTCTTAGCTATAACTGTAAAACTTTGTTTGTACCTAGGTTAATAGCTGGGAAAAACCAAATATTCTGTATTCTGGAGTAACTCTGTTAAAGTATTTTGATAATGAAATCATTTTAACTGTCAATATACTATGTCAAGTTCACAGCAGGGAAAGATTATAATATGTTCCATTTAGGTGAAAGTTAAAAAACCGCTATAGTTATAGTCAAATATGTGAACAAGACCTTCTCTAATTAAAGATCACCCTGTTAATAAAGTCCACTTTTTGACAAACCTTCACGATATATATTAAAAGAGTAAACTCAAAGACCACTTTTCTATAAAGAGTTCAATTATCATATTATTTAGTCTCTCTGTATGATGGACTTCACAGGTTTGACTGTTAATATATTATCATTAAATTCTTAAACACACAGGGAACCACCTACCCAATTTGCCTTTCTTGCTTTCTGGAACCTTCTCCGTGGTGATTGGTTTGGTGGGCTCACATGGTTCACTACGACCATAGAAGTTTTCAGCTGATACCCTGAACTGATATTGTTTACCGGGGGAAAGTCCTGTCACATTTTGTACAGTTAATCTGAAATGTTTACATTTGAAAATATTTGTTAAATTTCACAGAGACTATATCTATATTTCATTGTAATTTTGTTTCAGCTGGTATAGTAATTAAAGAGGTAATATAAACTATCTCATATCAAACCAATAAACTGTAAGCTTTTACAATCAAGTATCATTTAAATGTATACTTTGTTTGCTTGTTTGGTTTTATGGTGCACCAACACAGTATATGGTCATATAACGCTGAAACAGGAAATATGATTTGTGTTACAACTTTCAAAGCAGCACTAGGGGTCAGAACCAAAAATTAATTTACCAATAAAGATACAGGAATTCTAAAATCTCAAAATCACATAAATTGTAATAAAGCACTAATTTTTACAATTGAAACCACGTTGACCCAAGTATATCTAACATGTATGAAGTTGGTCATTATCAAATATTGTTTGGGCTGTTTCCTTTATGTGCAGTAATATATCTTGCTACTGAGGTGACAATGTTATTAGATACATACAATGTAATGTTATTTCATATGATTCTGTGTTACAGGAATGTTACTATAGAAACTATAAGTTTACCTATTAGTTCCTACTCTAGACCAGCTGGAAGATGGAAGTTCACATTTTTCAATGAAATATTCTGTAATAAAACTGCCGCCATCATTCAATGGTGGTTTCCATGTTAATGTACATGACTCATCTGTGATATTCTCAACAGTTGGGAACCTAGGTGCTTCTGGACGATCTGAAAAAAGACAACCCATGCATTTGATAAAAGCCTCTTTAACCACAAAATAAAAGAATACTATATACCAACCATTATTATTTTCTTCACATGGATGAGTGGTAGAACTGTATATGACAAAGCAAATGTACGATGGTGACTTTTTAGCTAAATTGGGTGAGGAAGACCTCAGGTGCCCCTTTGAGCATTTTTTTTCAGTCACAAGCAGACTCAAGAGTAGAACTGCTGACCTTCTATGCCAGTTAGAAAGCAATCTCACACAGAAGAATTGTAAGATGAATGGATCCAAACCCAAAATGGCCAGGACAAGTGAATCGAAATCACAAACCCTAATCACTCAGCCACTGAATAATTTTCATACTGATTAAATCTGTTTTACATACCATTGACTTGTATTTTGATGAGAGCAGAATCAGTTCCGAGGTCATTGTCAAGTTGAAGTCTCCATGGACCATCGTCATCCTTCACGGCAGATTTGATGGTGAGGAAGGCGTGGCGATCTGTGACATCAATATGATATCTGTGTCCAGAGATCTCCTTGCCGTCCCTGATCCACTTGATAGTTGGTTTTGGGTTTCCAGTAAATGGAATCTTAAGGACTATATCTTCTCCCTTCTCATATGTAGACACGTCACGGAATCTTGGTGGAACGTTAATCTTTGGTGGTGCTGAAAATATAATAAATTGTGATAAAATGTAATATTATTCTTATTGTATTTATTGAAAAGGTTGAATAAAACAGTATGAAGTGTGCCTCTGGCCCTCTGCAAACATACTCAGGTTTGACCTAAAAGTGACAAATACGTAATTTTGCTCATTTGCATTATTGTTATCCATATTGTTTCTACAGAGGGGTAAAACTGCCAAAGGTAAAATGTATGTAATAAAATTCTGTTTACTCTTAAAATATCATCAATTTATTGCAAGCAAATTTTTATATAAACCTATAGATAAAAGACCCATTAAGTATTACTATAAAACTTACAGCTTATTTCAAGGTCAGCTCTACTTGTCTTGGTGCCGCCACGGTTGGTTGCTTTACAAAGATATTCGTCCTGGTCTTCACCAAATACTTCTTTTATGATCAGAGAATATGTGTCACCATCGGAAACAATCTCATGTTTATTATCATCAAAGAGTTCTCTACTGCCCTTAAACCTGTGTTATTATAAGAGAATGGAGAAAATTAAAAATTATAATTTCTGAATAAAATAGATAATTTCTGAATTATTATATATAGCTTCCTAAGACTCATAGAGAAGAGGTAGTCACTGCTAGGTAAGATGGATAACTGCTTTAAATGCAAAACATACAATGTACACATTTTTATGGATTTAGAAGGAAAATAAAATAACCAGAAAAATGAGTACATTGACATAGTTTCTCGATTCCTTTGCAATCATTCAATATCATAACAATATTTTTATATATTTTACTTCTTTCTTTCCATCTTACTTGAAATTAATTACAATGGGAAGGAATGGGTATGAACAAATGTGCTATATATAACTTACCAAGCAATGTCTGGTTTTGGTGTTCCGGTAACTTCACACTCAAACCTGGCAGTTCTTCCCTCAGTGGCATGTACCTTCCTGAGATGGCTGGCAAACTCGGGTGCAACAGCAGCTGGTATAAAATTTAAAAAAGAATTGATTTAATTCTTATATCTATATCGCTACAATCATACTTAAATATTCGTTAATTATGTTCAATGTTCTATGCAATAAGTCACCAATGAATAAAAATATTTTCATGAAATTAAGTATCTGTTTAAAGCAAAACTTTCAGTCTTATGAAAAATTTTCATAATATTTCTGAGAGAATTGTAAATCACCATTTGGATCCTTGATTTTGATGCTGTTAGAAGCTACTGATGGTTTACTCAAGCCGGCACCATTTTCAGCAAACACACGGAACTCGTATCTCCTGTCTTCAATCAAGTTTGGAATATTAATCATGTTTGTGATACATGGATGTGTATTAACTCGACTCCAATCTTCCTTGCCGTGTTCGCGTTTGTCGACCCAGTAAGAAGTAATTTTACCGCCACCATCAGAAGAAGGTTTGGCCCAGTTGAGGCTGACAAAATCGCTGCCTACTTCCTCAACCTCTGGTATACCAGGAGAATTTGGTACATCTTTAAAAATCAGAAATAATTTATTAATGTTATTTAATTATTAGTGTTATTTATTTGATTTTACTATCAGTAATCATGGTTATTTTCAGTAGAAAAAATATTCTATATGACAAAATTTTAAAAGTTGAAAATTTTTCTTATTTTCAGAATATAGTCCTGTGACTTTTCTGACATTACAATTTTATTTAAGAATACATGAATAAAAAAGGATATATATACATGTATATATCGTTGTAAGAATCAATAAACATACCGTATGGCATCTTAGCAATGATTGGGTTTTCTGCTGTCAGTGGTTCAGATTGTCCGTTGTCGTTGATGGCGGAGACACGGAACAGGTATTTACCATTCTCCATCAGACCTTGTACATCTATAGCTGTGTCCTGTAATAAAATATATGTCCTTTATTACAGGATAGTTACATAATAAATGATATACAATATATTGTAAGTTTTAACAAATCTCTACTCATCTTTGATGTTGTCAGATATTGTGGCAATTTCTGATAATTAAAACCCTCTCAACATCTTAGCGTTATGAAAGCATTATGAATGTTGTTTGTAGTAATTTTTGACGTATTTCACATATATATTAGCATGAGCAAATGCAATCTATTTATTACAAAATATTCACTTGAAAAAAATACTCAAATCTTTTTGTAAAATGGTCTACTAAGCAAGTTTTTCTTAGTTTTTCAGTGGAGCGAGTAAATATACAGTGATTGATAAAGGTAATAAAAAATAGTAATCAATAAATTATTTACATAATATAACACAAACCATTTCATAAATGAATTTGTGTGAAAAAGTAAAGACTGTTTAACAATTAATTCATTATTTTCATTCAATCATATGTATAGTTCAGCATACCTTGCATCTAGAGGAGACAGTTGTCCAGTATGGTTTACCAACTTCTTGTCTCTCCACCATGTAACCAAGGACCTTACATCCACCATCGTCCTTTGGTGGTTTCCATGACAGATGACAAGTGTTCTTTGTGATCTCAGCTACATCCAGAGGTCCTACTGGTGGGCTTGGAATATCTGAAAGTTTATAAAACATTCAAAGATTTTGTAAATACTGCAGTTGAAAAACGTGTACATAGCCAATCCCATTAACATATACATGTACATGTATAGCTTAAATCGTAGGTGCATTTCAATGTCTCTGTCTTTCAATCATTATTTTTTCTCACTGGTTTAGACCAAATGTTAACTTTAACCTGATAATGATGAATGCTTGAAACTTATTTTAACCACTTTTATAATCCACTTCCTGGAACTAACCAGTACAGGTGTCATATTAGGAAACAATCATTTTCCAAGAAAAAAGGCTTGAACCCAAAATCCCTGGTTTTTGAGGTGGACCCCTGAACATCCAGCAATCCTTTAAATTACTTTAGTATGGCAAATAAATTTACTATGTAAAAAATATTGAATTTTCTTGACCACTTACTGACAACATTCATCCTGAATCCACAGCTGGCCGTACCACTGTCATTAGATACTTCAATCCTATACTGACCAGAGTCACCCATCTCTAAATCTGTTACAAATAATGGTATACATTGATATATAATACACAGCTGCAGAAGATGGTGATTTTTTCATGCAAAAAAAGTTGCAAATGAATTAAAAGAAAAGTAGATAAATTTATTAAATTATACTACTAGAAGGCAACAAAATGCCTTGAATATAAAAATCTAGAATTTCTTTTTGAAATATACAGCAATTCAAAACATTCAACTGAAATATCAATATTAACATTATTTTGTTTCATTCAGAATGAAAAGGCAATTATTTCCCATCCAAATATGCAATTTTGAATGGTGAAATATTCTTACAAAGAAAAATCCAGAGGAAGGAAGTCAACAATGGTTACCTTTAAGTTGTATGGTACAGAAATCATCGAATGGAGAGATCTTCATACGTGAAGACTCAGTGACTGGCAACTCTTTATTGTTTTTCTTGATGACAACATCAAATGGACCATCTCCACTGAGTGGAAGTTTGATTTTCCATGGTTCACCGCACATCAGAGTCTGATCCTTGATCTCCTTCTCAATCTTAGGAGGAGCTGTCAAATGTATACAATAAAATATGTTTAGACAAATACTATATCTCCGTCCAAAAAAATATATCAGCTCAAGTTTGATACTGAGAATATAATATCAGTTCTAGACAGTACTCTAGTATTCTATTATAGAGGCTCATAGGGAAGACTGTGCATGTCTAACTATGTTGCCTCTTTAAATAAAGTCTTTATTATTATTATTATTATTATTCTACATAGGTTATAGATTCTGCGGTTATGCCAGTGCTAGGGGGATTGGATGGTAAGCTTGCAATTTCTAGTACTGTCTATGAACAGGCTCAATCAAATCGCACTGACAACATTTTCAATTTTATCGTTTTGGACGTTCTATAAGGATTCAGTTTTTCTCTAAATTAAACTTAAGTTTTGTTTCAAATGCATTTCTTCTATAATATCAAATGATCAGCAACCAAATAAATAAACATACAAACAAACAACAAATTCAAAAGAATTGTTTAAGTTAAAACAAAATTAAATCACATACACATTCCCCAATTTTATTTATTCTAACCAACACCTTGTACATTTTAAATTATGAGTACACAAACAAAAAATAAACTTTTTATTTGCCATTTTCTACTTACAGACAACTTTAAGATTGCAGTAACTGGAGTCAGTTCCGAGAGGGTTACGGAGTTCACAAGAGATTTTCCCGGCGTCAGATGGAGACAGGTCCGACATTGTCAGTACATAAACATCGCCATCCTGCTTCATGCGGCTACGAGATGTGTTTCCAATAGGTATACCATTCTTGTACCTGTATACAATACAATAATACAATACATTCAATACAATAATTCAATAAAAACTAATGAGGACAAAAGTATAGAAAAAATTAAGATTTTTTTCAGCAAAATAAAAAAACTATAAAACTTCAATATCTTGAAATTGAAAACATATTTTTAGTGTGTGTTGACTGTAATACATGTAGCATCAAATTCTACAAAGAAAAGAAAGAGACGAAACTCCTGAATCACTCTTACTTATCCTTAAGTAAATTGGTTGTAAGATTTTAATAAACAAGATGTTCTTCACTTGAAAGTTTAAAGATTATTATCTTAAGTTAGTTAAATATTTGTAAACGTTAGTTATAAATTGTATATTGTTTTTTCTATATATCAAAAAACAACAAAATCATCAACTAAGACAGTATCAAGTTGCTGAAAATAGAAAACTTACCAAAAGATTTCTGGTTGAGGTTTGCCTTCAGCTTGTACAGAGAAAACAGCTTCTCCTCCAGCTGGTCCACTTACATTGTGCAACTTCTTCACAATATCTGGTGCATAACCAACTAAAAACAAAATACTATATTTAAATTCTTTTTCTTCTCACATCACATTCACTCCCTTTAAATCAAGTGAATTAATACAGTAAGATTTCCATTCCTTTAACTTCATTCATGATTAAATAATGCTTGAATCTTTTCTTTTGATTTGTAAATATAACATAACAAATACTAATTCTATAGTTTGCAACATTAATACATTAAGTGTCAAATAACTAAAATGGTTATGACCATCCTAGAGATGTCCAAGTCACTATCCCTGGGTTGAAGCTACCAATTGACAGTGGTTTCCATCAAATCCTTTACTGACTGTTAAGTGTCTATGGCCCTTGAAGTATTTGTTACATCCAAACATAGACCAATTGTCAAAATATAACAAACTACATACCAATCTTTTCTTTGACCTTGACAGGGCTGCTGGCTCCACTTGGTTCACCTTGACCGGCAGCATTGATAGCAGACACACGGAATTCCATGTCTGAACCTTCCACGAGGTCACCAACAAGGTAGTTCCTGTCAATACATGGGACAGATGAGACTCTCTGCCAGTTGTCACTATCTGTGGGTTTCTTCTCAACAATGTATCCTGAAAATATATGTTAAAATTTTAAAGAAACAAGTTTTGAAAATTTATTGAATCATTATTTTCTAGCTTGTTTTTTAAATTTTTACATACCGTGAATGTAACAAAAATCTGAAGCATTTAATTCTGGCATTTTCTGTGTTGAGGACTGATATTCAACAATTTTATATTTAAGTTACATGTATCTTGGTACCTGTAACTTTGCTGCCTCCATCTTTGAGTGGTTTGTCCCAAGTGAGCTCGACAAAGTTTCTGCCAACATTGGAAATGTTTGGTATTCCTGGTGGATGTGGCTTGGCTAAAAAATAGAAATAAATCATGTAATGAAAACATCAGACCTAAATTTTGTCTAAGAAATTTCCGCAAAGAAAATTTAACAAAGTAGATTCAATGGCTGCCCATTTATTATACAAATACATTATTAGTTATAAAGATTTTTGACAGGTTATATGGCGCTATATAAACTTTTTTTTGAAAAATAACCTGAGCTGCAAGGTGAAGGTTATATTGCAAACAACCATTCATATATGTCCATATAATCTGTCAGGAATATTTATAACCAATTTAAAATACAGCAAACTTCCTTTTTAAAAGTAAAAAGTGAGATTTTTTCATAAATTGACAGCAGCTGTGTATATAAATTTATATAAATGTCACGATTATCAAATGAAAAGCCATGATACAAACATGCAGTATTATAAATCTGTAACTTACAGTATTTTGGACGTGTAAGGATGGGTCCAGTAGCATGGCTCGGTTCACTAAGACCAGCTTCATTCTTGGCTCGAACACGGAACTCGTACTCCTGACCTTTCTCAAGATCATCAACCTTGAAGTTGGTACCCTGTACAGGTGCAGCGTTGGCTTGTTTCCACCTGTTAGAGGTCGGTTCCTTGTATTCAACAATGTAACCTTGTATCTTTTTACCACCGTCATTCTTTGGTTTCTGCCAGGTGAGAGCAACTGATGTGGCATCAATATCATCAGGTGATAGACCAGTAGGAGCATCAGGACGAGCTGAAATACAGAATATCATATCATTTAATTTAACAGGCCAGTAGGAGCATCGGGACGAGCTAAAATACAGAAATATATCAGTTAATTTAACAGGCCAGTAGGAGCATCGGGACGAGCTAAAATACAGAAATATATCAGTTAATTTAACAGGCCAGTAGGAGCATCGGGACGAGCTAAAATACAGAAATATATCAGTTAATTTAACAGGCCAGTAGGAGCATCGGGACGAGCTAAAATACAGAAATATATCAGTTAATTTAACAGGCCAGTAGGAGCATCGGGACGAGCTAAAATACAGAAATATATCTGTTAATTTAAGTGGTTAGTTAGTATATAAGAATAAAACTGAGTCTCAATTGTTGGATTTGTTTTCAAGTCAAATCAATGCTTTAATTGCTTAAATCAATGATCAAAGTCAATTATACTTAGGTCAATTTGCCATGTTTATAGGTGGCACTGTAATGTTTGCATGTTAGCATGCATTCAAGTAACCATGATGTTTGCAAGAACATACAGACAAGAGGGAGTGCTATAAAACAAAAAAGAAGCACAAATTCAGCAGAAGGATTTGAGTCCTTCCTAGGACAAAGCTACTTTTTTTATAAAGTTCAATAACATGTGTAAAGACTTAATTGTGATCTAATAAACAAAGTGAGAACAAAGGTATATGCTTACTCCATGGATTTTGTGCAGTGATGGGACTGTCTAGCATGATAGGTTCACTAACACCATGTTCATTCTCTGCCTTGACACGGAACTGGTATTCATGACCTTCATCGAGATTGAGAACCTCGTAGCTGGTTCCCCTACAGTATTTGCTGCATGGTATCCAGTCACCTGAGCGCATGTCCTTCTTCTCGATGATGTAGTTCTGGATTGGACTTCCACCATCATCCTGATGTTATATATAGAGAGGTTAATTTTATAAGCAAATGATCAAACAGACTAAACTAAATCAAACAGCTAATAAAATTACCCAAAATAATTAGTCTTTGCAAACTATGAATGAAAAAAAAAACAACACATACCGTAACTTTTAATTCATTTGGCAAATTATTCATCTGTAAAAAGTTGTGAAATATATCTTTATTGCTCAAATTATTATATTTTTTTTTATTTTCCAATTTTTAAAATCTACATGTATATTAAAAATCTGATAATCATACATGTTTCAGAAACTCAAAATAATCATACACAATTATGCGGTATTTCCTCTTATTATCTACCGGTATTAAAAAATTAATCTTTGTTACAACTGGCGACCATTTTTAAATATAATAACCTTTGGTGGGTTCCATTTAAGCATACAGCTGTCATTTGTAATATCGGCTGCTGTAAGACCATCAGGTTTACCGGGTGCGTCGACTACGATCACGTTGATTGGTACAGAGTCCATACCAAGGTCGTTCCTCATCACCAAGTTGTATTTACCAGCGTCACCTTTCTCAGCACTCTTACATTTAAACACGATGTTGTTCAAGTCATTCTCAAATGCTACACGGCCTGGCTCTTCATTTATTCTCATACCATTCTGCAATTATGATTATAATGTTTATGTTAATATACCAAATATCTACACTAATCTTGCTTTATTGTGTGTATTAAGCCAAAGAAATATACCACAAAGTTAAGTTACAAATTTCCTGTATTTTACAATTGATTGTGTATTTGACTAGATTTTAGAATGTGATTTTTTCTAACTTTCAAGTTTACTTGTAACTTGCACAAACAGATGCAATATATACTTACATTGGACCATTCCACTGTTGGTACAGGTCTGCCAGTGTAAGGAATGCTAATTTTGAAGGGCTCACCCCTCTTGGCAATAATGTCTCTACCCATGAACTCTGGGCTGACCTTTGGAGCAACTGAAATATGAAAATGTAAAATATACATAATTGTTTATTTCATAATAAGAAATCTCATTGTTACAGTCTAGTAATTGTTAAGAAATTGACTAATGAATGATTTATAGTTGTTCCACCTTTTATTCCTCAAATAAGACTTATCATCAAATGTACTTTATTAAATTTTGACTTAGATAAGTAGGGAAAGTTGCTCTAAAAATGAGTAAATTCACATTTACAAATTTTCTATATTCTAAATGATGGAAGAATTACACAACACTATGCACCGACTACTTTAAATAATATTGCCAAAATATCCTTTTAATATGGTGAAATTTTAAAATCTGTAAATTAATGAAATATATCGTACTTGGAGGAGGTTGAGCCTTGATAGGTTCGGTACAGCTACTGAACTCTCCGGTGCCAGCATTGTTGACAGCTGCTACACGGAACTCACACTCTTTACCCTCCGTCAAACCCTTGGCCGTGAACTCTGTGTCTGGGATGTCAGAATAACTACATCTGTGTAACAGAGGACACAAGATATACATTAGAACAGATAAAAGGGGATGTGCAAATTACAAACTTCCATTTTTACATGGTTGAATTTTAGTGTCATACATGATATGACTGAAAAATAACCGTAGTTACAAAGTACCAGGGATTTTAATTTACAACTAGTTTTAAATCAATCAAACTCAAGAAAACAGTCTGATCTAACAACGTGTATTTCCCCAGAACGACTGTATTAATATTCCCACAAGCAAATTAAGAAATAATTCAATACTTGAATAATCCAACAACCATTTTACATAAAAGCACAGTTAAATAAACACCAAACATCTTACAAGTCTTTAAGTGGCGGCATGGCCGAGTGGTTAACGCTTCGGACTAGTATTCTAATGATCGCTAGCCGCATGGGTTCAAACCCTGACAGGGGCAAGTCGTTGTTTCCTTGAGCAAGAAACTTTACACTCATTGCTCAGTACTGGTTGGTTCCAGGAACGGATTCGAAAGTGCGTTTATAAGCTTATAGCTTCCTGCACAATCAAACTAAAAAAAATTCTGTATAAACACCAAACATCTTACATAAAAACCAACTATTTATCTAATACATTATAAGGTCAAGCAAAGAATAAAATAACATAAGTTTAAAGATATGATAAAGTCAAAGTGAATGTCTATATTTTGTGTTTTATGCTTAACCAACAATAAAACTTACTTTATCCATTTATCATCACCCTTCTCTCTTTTCTCCATGACATATCCAGTGATGGGGTTACCTCCATCTCTCTTGGGTGGTGACCATGTTAGAGTTATACTGTCCTCTGTTGTTGTCTTACATTTAGGTACACCTGGTGCTCCAGGCTTGTCTGAAATAAAAACATTCAAATATACATACCTGGTAAAGTTGTGTTTTGATGGACTTAAGTTGTACCTTTTCTTTAACATTTGTAAGAAAACTTTCAAGCCTTAAAAAAGATATATCTAAAATTCTTCTATTATTGTTAAATCTATGTATTTTTTTGAACACATTAGACATGAGAAAAGGTTCATTTGAAGGAAGCTGTTAGATTCAGTAATCAAATCCTCCTATATATTTACATTTAATAAGCACCTTTTCTTTCCATTCATACAATCATAATAACTGTATAGTTAATATATCCATGAGTCATAAAACCTTAAATTTTCAAAAGAATAATTATATAGGACAAAACATGAACTTCTTGTGGCGTAGAATGATAATCAAACAGTATATCAATCAGATCTCTTCTTCATTCCCAATGCCAATATCTAACACTTGAAACATTTCTTAATATATTGTTCACACAATCTTACCATATGGATATTTCGCCAGTACAGGTTCTGTGGTCATCAATGGTTCACTAACACCGTTAGAGTTCTCTGCCATGACACGGAACTCATACTCGGTACCTGGTTCCAGATTGCGTACATCACATGTAGGTGATGATACAAATCCTCCAGCCTATAACAATATAGGTATATATAACAAGAATAACAACATAAAACATTACAATTAAATGTAAACCTGTAAGTTATTGGGACCATTTAAATGGACAGTCAATCTGAAAATAAACCTCACATTTTATCTTCCTAAACTATATGATAATGAGGGAAATTCAATGTCTATAAATCACCTATAATTATGCTCAACAAATAAAGTATAAATCATACCTTAGACCATTTGTCTGTTCCTTTCTTTTTCTTCTCCACAACATATCTGGTGATTCTTTCTCCACCATCATCAAGTGGAGGTTTCCAGTTGAGTGTTAGAGACTCTCCCTTAAAGTCTGTGGCTTCAAGTGGTCCTTCTGGTTTACCAGGCTTGTCTGGTTATAGAGAATAAAAAAACCCATTTACAAGCAATTGACAAAATTATCATTCTTTGTATTGTTTAACTTTGATACAAAGTAAACTGCTAAACAAATGGTTTGTACAAAATGCATAATATACATTATATTTCTTCAAAATCTAATCATTACATGAAGCTGTTAAAGTATGAAAGCGTAAAAAAACATGCAAGTTGTTTCCATTGAGAAATACATGTATACAGTAACATTATTATAATGTCAATCTAAATTTAGAATGTTTCATAAAAAGAAATTTTAACACAAGATGACTGACACATTTATTTTGTGAAACATGATAGGGGACCAATATTTGCATTCACTACAAAATGACAAATTTTTAATGAAACATGGCAATTAAAGATTTCCTCTACAATACAAAATGACTCACCAAGTACGGTTACATTAAGGAAACCTTCAGCAGTACCGGATGGGTTCTTGAGTTGTAACTTGTATCTACCAGTGTCAGATCTCTCTGATTTTCTCACATTCAGGACAACCTCATCCTTCTCAAGCTGAAAATCAATCAATCAATCAATCACTCAGTTAATCAATCAACAAAACAATAAACTGATCCCTCTGATTAACTATTATATGAAGCAAAATATAGAACATAAAATAGCAACTTATTCTAAACAATCTATGTAGCAAAAAGAAACATTAAGAACAAAAATATTTAAAATAGTTAAATATCACTTATAATAGAAAGCATTTGCTTTTTATCTTTTAAAAAAATAAAAAAAAAACAATGATAATAATATTAGTAATGTTTTGGTTCATTAATAATGTTCCAACAGGGATACTAATGACATTTACATTTTTGGAGTGAAAATGATTCTTTAATTTCAATACCGGTAAGCGTAACTAATTTCTATATTTTGTATTATTTCTAAGATTATTAAATTAGCATTAAGCTCATTTTGCATAAAAAGTGAAAGGTTTTTTTTAAACAGTATGTGGACGCTGATATTGTAAAAACAAATAGTAAGTGCTGCCTACATAAATGGTAGATGTATATTACATGCTATGAATCTTCATACATGGTTGAGAAGTATTGACATAATGATAATGGTACTATCAGAGTACAATTGTATAATAATTTCAACAAAACAAAGGACAATGTAAATATGTATGATATATCACACAATATGGAGAGAATGAACTTTTGAGCTTTCTAGAAATACAGGAATGTTTGGAAAGAATGATGCTGTTAATATGTAACATGTTATCAAGATAACAAGCAATATAAATGTATAAATTGGGGTGGTCGGGTTTATTTAGCTTTTGTTCATACATGTATCATAAAAAAAAAATCAAACTAACTGGTAAATTATACGGTACTGTGTCACCCTACCTCAAATAATTTTCAAAATAAAATACCAAGGACAGATGTGCATTTTTAAAATTACTTTAAACTGTTGTGAATTTTGTCATATTCAAAAGTCTAGAGGGACTTGATAGAATATAGATTTATTTATAAAAGATTCTTAATCAACTTTGTAGTTTGTATTTTGGTTTGGTCTGAATCGGATGGGGGTTGTATATATGTATGGGGTAATATATAGTGTGTGGTCAAGGACAGTACAGGTGGGTAAATGTACCTGTCTTTCACCCATATTCATCCCTTCTACCAAGTACTGTAACATAATATCACACAGTTTAAATACTTGATCACCAGTTTTAATTCCTTGTAAACCTATATTTTTCGTTCATTAACTATACTATACGATAATTCTTAAAAAACACAATGTGAAATAAATTTTCGTTATTTTACAGTTCTTATCTATTTTATGACTAAGGCAAACATGTTGTTGCTTTCCCATTTTAAACAGATCAATGTATCTTTTCTACAGACCAAGAATTTATGTCATTATGCCCTATAACTTAGGCATATGTTTAAGTTCTGTATAAGTCATCTCTCTGATCAATTAACATAAATTTCATTAATTTTACAAGTGGTAATGCAAAATCTCTGTACTTACAGCACATGTAGATCTTGGATGATCAATTTCATTGTCTCCATTGAACCATTTGGCTGTAGGTTTAGGTACACCTTTGAATGGCACACTGATTCTGATCTCCTGGCCAGCGTGCACTGTGACATCCTTGACACCTGACAGGTCAAGTGTTGGCTTGCATGGTTGATCTTCAGCTGTGATAACATCAGTAGGCTTGCTGGCCTCACCTGGTCCGAGGGAGTTGATAGCGCGAACCCTGAACTGGTACTTCTCGCCTTCCTTGAGGTTTGGCACAGTGGCTTGTGTCTGATGTTCTGGCACTTCCATACATTCTACCCAATCTTCACCAGGCATCTTCTTCTCAATGACGTATCCCTGCAGTTTACTGCCTCCATCATTCTTTGGTCTTGTCCATGAGATGGTGGCAGATTTTTTAGTGATTTCATCAACATTGGGGGTGCCTGGGGCGCCTGCTTCAACTGTAGGGAATTATCATAAAATATTGATAAAAAATCCAAGTATTTGGTTAGATAAATGACTGATAAAAGCATTGATTTTAAATCATAAAAGATATAATGACATTCTCGATTAAATAAATATAAGTACTTGTCATCGGCACAAATATGTACAAAGGAAACAGTTTTAAACCAAAAGTATTTAAGTAGATGATTAAAAAACTTTTAGTTTTATTAAGTAAAATGGTTATGCAAATATTCTAAGAAAAGTACAAACTATATTTTACCTTGATAAATTTATAATTTACAGTCTGTTAAAAAAAGATTGGCACAGTGAACATAAGTAAGCCCGAAGACTTTGATTCCCTTCATAAACAAATAACAATTCAGTATTAATCAGTTGCTAAGGTAACTTACAGACAGGATCTCTGACAGTATGTGGAGCTGTAGGTTTACTTGGTGCACCGGGGCCGCCATCATTCACGGCCTTCACACGGAACTCAACAACCTGTCCTTCACGAAGGTTCATTACTGGGAACTTAGTGTCAGCTACAGGGAAATTATTACATGGTGTCCAGTCTCCCCTCTTGTCCTTCTTCTCAACAATGTAGCCTTAAATAGATTGTAAATTAATCAGAAAATTTGAAATCATTAAAAAAAAACAGATTTGGTAATTACATATTTTATCATATGATTTACTTATTATGATTAATTTCACTGCACTATGATTGTGGTGAGTTGAACTTTCCATATGATTTCCTATTAAGAAGCAATTTTTTAAAATAAGCAATTCATGTTTAACCCTTTCGCTGCCTGAGGGTTATTGTTTTATTGATCACCTATTTGCCAGAGGGTTTTCTAAGAAATTACTATATTATTAATTAATATAATCATTATTATTTGTTATTAGTATTATAATAGTTATATATGTTTCCAAATCTGTTAGTATAATAGTAATTATTGTTGATGGTATAATTTTCTTTATATATATTATTATGTTTATTATTATTATTATTAATTTATTATTATTACTATTATTATTATAGAAACGGCTAAAGCCGTCCATATGGCAAATACGCCGAAAATAACAGGAACGGCATAATTAAAGCAGCAGTTTAACAAGAGAATTATGTATGTAAGATTTTGCCAAAGAAACAAATGTTGAAGATTATAAATTCTTTGTTTTCACTGGTCAAAGATTCTGAGACATGTTGATTTAATGTATTTTTCTACCTTTGATTGGATTTCCACCATCATGGAGAGGTTTCTTCCATTTTAGGTTACAACTTCTCTTGTCATAACTATCAATCTCAAGATCTTGTGGAGCATCTGGTGTGTCTATATTATAGAGAACAAAAAATTTAATTAACTAAGTCATGTGTCTATCTTATTTCATTATAATTATTTAGGGACTTGGTAGTCAGTTATAAATATTTTGGGTATCACTTGCACAATCGTCATGGCAACATGTAATATCAAATACAAATACTTTTTAACAATATCCTTACCTTTCCATCACTTCAATAAAATATCTCATAAAAATGTCTCATTTTCATTAGCTATTCCAAATATCTTATTAAAAGTCATTAACACAAATTTTTATTTTGTAGTGTGACTTAAAACGTATTTAAATTTCACATAATTTTCAAAGTAATTGAAACAAAATTGTACTAAAGTCAACTCACCGAATGGATTTTTGGCAAGATGTGGTTTAGTGGTCTCCAGTGGGTCTCCAACACCGTACATGTTCTCTGCACGGACACGGTACTTGTACTTCTTACCCTCGGTGAGGTTAGGTACCTTGTGAGACTCTCCCTGTACCACGCCTGGTACCTTCTCCCAGAAGTCTGAACCCTCTTCACATTTCTCAACAACATAACCTTAAGTTAAAGTATTTACATTACATTACTGATAATTTATAATTACTGATAATTTATCATTATCATTTTATTATCTTTTATTATATATCTAAATATTTTAAGACAAATTCATGAATGATTGATGAATGGGTAATTTTTCCAAAAGTAGTATTGGTTCCAGTTTCATAACACGCCATAATATACAGGTTTTCCATCTATTGAATTGTATTAGTGCTTCATGATTTTGCGTTTATTTTAAAGATAAAATAAGGTATATAATAAATCAGCAATATAATCAGTAATATTTGTAAGTGTGCAATCAAATGTTAGCAGACGACAATACTGGACAAACATAAACCAAATTAAAGCAATCAAATTATAATACTGTCTATATAGTGCTTTACTTGTAAACCATATAAATCTGCTATTAGATGAATATATGAGTACAGGAGCATTAAAGCTTTTATTTCTGAGTGACAACTGTCATTTAAAAGTAAAAACAAATCTCAAATCTTTATATGTTAAAAGTACAAAGTAACATAATGTCACGTTACTGCAATCACTGATTTTATCACACACCCGTACCGATTTTGCGACTTCGTAAAATTAAATTTAGAAGGACTTAAAATGTTATTGTACTAAGGTGATTATGTATGAAACAGCAAGAGCCTTGTGAAATGTATCTTTATCATATAACAAACAATATAGTAGGAACATACCCATGATAGGAGCATTTCCATCTTCTTTAGGTGGTTTCCATGACAACTTGCAGGAGTCAGCCATCTGGTCAGTGACCTCTAGTGGTCCTTCTGGTGCTCCTGGCTTGTCTGCAAACAACAAGTACATGTATAATAGAATTACAATAACTATGCAATGGGATATTTTTTATCAATCTTTCAAACCTTGCATTTCAAAGTATTCATCAAAAACGGTTTGGTTTCAACAAAATCGACACAAACAAATGAATATTAATCTTCAAAATTAATTAAACCTTTCTATTTAAAACACAGAAATAAATCAGGATAGAATACTAAAAAGGTAAAACTCATCAAAGTAAAGTCAGGCTAAGATAAAATTCCAAACATTTGAAGCATGTCACCATACTTAGACATGATTACCCCTTTATTTGTTGTTCTTGTGTAATGACCCAGCCTGTTTTGAATTTTGGAAAACCCTTTTCTGTATCAAAAATTTTTCAATATTAATTTTACATCATACAGTAGCAATCAATATAGAGTATGGTCAGACTGCACAGATGTGCTAGGTTGTCTGGTGATGTATTGATGGTGTACTGGTGTTGTCCTGGTGATGTACTGATGGTGTACTGGTGGTGCACTGATGGTGTACTGGTGATGTCCTGGTGATGTACTGATGGTGTACTGGTGGTGCACTGATGTTGTAAGCCTGATTTATTGACTCTATCAGTCACACAGTTAATGAATTGCTATCAATAACCTACCTAGAACAATGACAGGAACTTCAGCTGTGTCAGAACCATTCTCATTTTCCACTTTGATCTGGTATTTTCCAGTGTCACCACGTTCGGCTCTTGGAATTTCTAATTTAGCATCCTCATCAGTATTAGATGTTGTGGCCTGTAAATATAATACCCCCATACCATCACTATTTATTCTGAAGACAATTCTATAAAATTTCAATGCTGATGTAACTATTTGTATGGAGAACATATTCATCTCAACTTTTACTTTACTTTATTTATTCTTCACTGACTTGGATTGTTTCATAGCCAATTTCTGAGATCTCAAAAATTAGTATAATTTATTTAAATAAAGACATTTTTAACGATTTTAAAATAGCTTTTTAATGTCAGCTCGATCATAATACAACTCTCCTAGATGTGAGCAACTCAAAGAAGAGTCTTGTCCAACTGTTGAAGACTGAATCAGTTCTATACAGTTAAGTGTTTGTATTGGCTAATCTTTACAACAGTCAGAATCCAGAGATACTAAGAAAATTGATACAAGTGGAACAAACAATCAACACAGGATACGTTTGAAGGTTTATTTAATGATGTTTACCAACGTTTCGACTCTCACAAGACTTCAACCAGAATCTAGGGATTTTTAAAGTTTCGCTCCTAGACTGTTGTGATTTTCTGCGAAACATATAGAAATCTTTTATTTCACATAAATATAGAATGGAACCATTTTACTTAAAGGATTATGGTAAATAATTAAACAACTCACCCTGTCTATAGGTTTACCATCCTTCAGCCATGTTACAGTAGGTGTAGGAGATCCTGTTATACCGAGGGCAAGCTTCAATGGTTCACCAGCCTTAACACGCACTTCCTTAGCACCAAACAAGCTTGTTAGATCCACCTTAGGGGCCTCTGTTGGGATAGAATATCATGTTATATCATGATACATTGATAATTGAAAAGCATAAGGTACTCAGTCATTTGTATACTCATCAAAGAGTTTTGACATTTAATATTTGAATAGAAAAATGTGAACCAAAAAAAAAGGTAATATTTGTAAAAGCTGAAGAACTTTTTTCCAACATGTTGTCCGTTTCAACATAATTATAAGAATCATTGATAATGGAGTGTCAAATGGTGACTTTTGCTGTTTTCCTTTAAAGTTTGGCTTTAGAAGCCGGTGCTAGGGATGAGAGGGATGTTGCACTAATTCATTATCCCTCAAGTACAGACTCAATCAAACAGAGTCTGCAATTTTCTTGTAATTTTGTTGTGATTAATGATTCCGAGGGATCACTTTGTTTCCAGATTTCTACAATAGCATTTACAAAAGAATCTCAAATACATCATCATCTTATAAAGATTACATTAAATTTGTATAAAATATCTTGCAACATTTGTCAGACATTAGCTGTATAATGTTTCCCTACACTAGTTTAATACAAGTCAATATAGAGTGACAACATTATATCTAAGACAGATGTGTATGTGATACAAGACGATGTAATGTTTAGTTATAATACAAATAATATGAGCCGTGCCATGAGAAAACCAACATAGTGTGTTTACCTGCGCATCCGTGCAGTCTGATCAGGATCCATGCTGTTCGCTATCAGTTTCTCTACTTGTAATAGGCTGGTCTGGATCCATGCTGGTCGCAAACCTATTATGTTGGTTTTGTCATGGCGCGGCTCAATTATATACAAACCTTTCGTTGGTTTAGCCGTGATTGTTTTAGAAGGCATAGAGGGGCCAGAAGGTCCCTTCTTGTTATGGGCGATGACACGATATTCATATTCTTTGTTTGCTGTCACCTTTGTATCCTCATACTCTGGTTCTGAAACAGGGGTTCTGTTGAGCTGAAATATAACAAACAAAAATCATCAGTCATTTCCTTTGTAAACTAAACTTAACTTTGTCATACTTAAGTGTTTATATGAATTCACAACTATTTATATACAATGACAAGCAGTGGTCTATCTGTTAATAATTCAGCTTAAACAGAAATGTTTTATAATAATTTTTGTACTCACCTTGATCCATCTATTGCTCTTTGGTTCTTTACGTTCAATATCGTAACCTGTGATGGGTGCACCACCGTCGTTCTCTGGTGGTTCCCACTTGATGGTAATATGATCCCTGTCTTGTTCCTTAGCCTGAGGTTGGCCGGGAGGGAATGGCTCATCTATACAGGGGGAAAATATGGAGAGATTTGTTATAATATTCTACTTTATATTTTCAGAAATCCTAAATTGGCCTTAAAGCATGCCTCCAGATACCTGCTAATTTTCATGAAAATTTGAAATTGTATTTAAAAATAAAATACTGTGAAGTGAACAAAAGCAGTAACTGTCATTTATACATTGCAAAAGGCACTTACTATCCCAAAATTACCATAAAGAGGTAAAAAATGCAATAACAGCCTTTAATGCATTAGTCACACAGTAGAAATATGGTGACATATATGGTCAAATCAGTTACTAGTAATCAATCGCACATAGCATGTAAATTATTAACTGAATTTTGAATCTTTTTACTTTTCTAAAATTCTAAACACATATTTTCCCAAGATTGATTTTCTTGAAATATTATTTCTCATCTTATGGTATGCAGCTTTAACGTTCCATAAGATTTGACCATGTTTCATATATCTCATATAATGTAAACTGTATAAATTCAGTGACCCCTAGTACTCACTAAATGGATCTTTGGCTGTGATTGGATCTTCCAGTACTAATGGTTCACTGTCACCATTTGGACTTTCAGCAATGACACGGAACTTGGATTGATGACCCTCGACTAGTTTTGGTACATCTAGTTCAGGTTTACGTGTTGATTTAACCGGTTCCCATCTTCCCTTCTCTAAATCCATCTTCTCCACACGGTAACCCCTACAAATAATAATGTTTCTGTAAGTCCTGGGTTCAAGTTTCTTCGCATTAAGTAACAAAATGTTATAAATTGGTTCTTGCCATTTAGATGAACAAGTGTATAAACTCACTGATATAAGTATGAGGCAGTTTGTTTTCGCTTTAATTAAAGTAGGAAAACATGGATTCAAATTTAAGACATAAAGAGGAAAGAATAGTTTTGCATACTATAACCTTACACAATAAACAATTTAGCATAAAAGAGAGAGAAACGAATTCACTAAAGAACGCCCAAAATGCCAAAGTTGAAAATGTTGCAGGCTGAGTTTGCTGGGTTTGTTTATGTACGGTAGCTTCTGGATACTTATCTTCACTACAACAAATTGTAAGCAGCAAACAGTTAGCTATTTAGTTAAGTATATAAACTTACTCAATGGGCTGACCACCATCATCTTCAGGTTCTTTCCAGGCAAGTTTAGCACTGTTCTTTGTGATATCAGCAACTTCAAGGGGACCTTTAGGTCTGCCAGGTGGACCTGTAAAAATCAAACATACATATTGATTAATCAGAAAACTTACCAAGCAATGCTGACAATGTGCAATAACTTACATGGCAATTATGTATTACTGTTTAATCTCTAATAAATGTCCCTCCTCTAATAAATTACCACTTTTTTGAAAGAAAAAGAAATAAGCTACAAAGCTGGTATTTTATTTTATATCCAAAGAAATTAGCACAAATTCTAACTCAGCTTGTGTTTCCAGTGAAATATGTTATCAAGCAGGAAATATCACAAACACAGTTAACATTCTTCCTTTTTTGACAACTTTTTTTTAAGTATAATTAATATAATTAATGTCCTTCTTTTGGAAATTGTAAAACCCTCTCTATCAAAAAGTATACAGTACCAAGAAATGTACAAAGGAGAGACTATCAAGGATGCTGGTTACTTATCCAACTTATCATGAGACATAAATTTACCAAGTATAACAATCTCTAGTTCAGCATCGTCCTTGCCATGTTTGTTTTCCACGGTGATCTTATAGATACCAGTGTTCTTACGGATACAGTCTTTACCAGCAAGTTCCGACTCTTTTGGAGAATTCTTAATCTTTATGATTTCATTTGAAGTTACCACATCCTCTTTACCATCCTACAGAAAAAAACACATAAATTAATATCAGCTGTTACAATGAGAAATATCTAAAAATGACCTAGATATGTAGAATATATATTTGCGCAGAAAGTTTCAAAGCAGCTGATTCCATTGGTTAATTTTATGTTTCAGCAGCGGCACAAAGATGCCCTACAGACAAAATGATGTAGTAGCGTAATATTTAAATTAGGTCGCCAGATCTCGCCTTTTTATGATGACATTGACATGGACAACAAATATGTAGTTACGTGTATTTATAGTCATGTTTCATTGGTACACACATATTATGACAAACTTTAAATTATGTATTATAGAAATAAAAATTTACAGAAAAATATACTTCTAACTAATTTAAGTTTAGTTTTTTTATTGTCTTACAATAATTTTCAATTTCATATAAATGAAAAGTATAAAAGACTAGATATTAAACTATAACAATATAAGACATTGGTTAAGACAGAAAAAAAGTTAATCTAATAATAAATATAGTGGTAATTTACAATATATTTTGTTATTTTATAGCAAAATAAAGCAGTTAAGATCACTTACTATTGGCAAAATAAAATAATAATTGTTATAAAATGATTACCCTTTCACGGCATAGCATACATGTTTAATAAAATTTACCATATTCTTTTGCTGTTCTTTTTTTTCCTTTTTCTATCAGAAAAGCTTTTAATTATTTCATTTCACAAAATCTCTCATATGAAAAACTACAGAAATTGTCAAAAAGTCTACATCAAAATTTGACTATCAAAGTTTATTTTTCAATCAGGCAGTGAAAAGGTATTTAACTTAAAAAAAAGGCCTTAAAAACCAATAAATAATGTATTATATACAAAATAAAAAATAAAACAGCTTACACATTTTTTTTAATAACTGTAAGCATTAACCAGTTTTTAAATTCCACTCATTTGTTTGGCTTTGATATCAAGTTAACTGTATTAAAGATAGCTGCTATTTTACTATGTAGAGCAAGTAACATATACTAGCAATGCGGATGATATGTTTTTCGGTTTACACCCAACATGATCTGAGTCCATTAGGTCTTTACAATTATCTTTTTTACATTTCAATTAACATGACTAATTTTTTTTTTAAATAATTAGTACATATATATATATGGAGGCTGAACACAATATTTTCTAATATATTAGGGAAACTATGGTCAAATTCAATATTTGAGTATTACAGACAAAAAATGGATGACTGGTTAATGGAATCAAGGCAGTGATAGTGTCTTGATTACCAGTTACCTATTGTACTCATCAGATCAAACAATTTTTTTTTAAATATTGGGTTTTACATTGCACCAACACATCATAGGTCATATGGCGACTTTCCAGCTTTACTAGTAGAGGAAGACCTCAGGTGCCCCTCTGTGAGTTATTTATTGCACAGATGGCACCCAAGTATTTCCACCAACATTCTGAGTAGCTCATATGAAAGAATCTGAAGATGCTTGCTTGGCTAAATCAATCAATTTACCTTAATAAATTTGTTGTGGAACACACTGTTGATTTGTTATTGTCATATACATTGTACAAGATTTAGATATCAATTAAATTTGGTTAGTGTTGACACAATACCTAGAACTAAAATGGTAATAAAATAACAAGATTAGGCTTATACATTTGTATACATTAATATTCTACCTCTGAGCTAAACACATTTCAATTAAAAAAAGATATGTTAGAAACATAAATAATACTGTCTGGTAAAAGAATTGTCTAGAGAAGAAACAATACTAGATTAATTTAAAAGTTAATCTGTATCTAGTTTAAAGTCAAGCCCCGCAGCGCTAAATGCTGCAATAAATAGAAGCGATCGCTTTGCTTTTATTAATATTAAAAAAGTCCAAAATATGAAAAATTAAATTTTATCAATGTTCAACTTTCAGATTGACCCCAAAAAAGGGGAAAATTTATATTTTTTTAATGCTACTGTTATATACAACAATATTTTTTTTGTTTAAAGCAATTACAGGCTAAATTTTAAAGAAATTTGTCAAAGAAACATTTCTTTTCAAGTTTGAAGAAAAATCATCATCGGTTAACTTTCTATATTTTAAATATAAAGTGGATGCTGGTATCTTACACAAGCATTAAAACGGCTTGTTTGATTTATTGCCGTTTCCACTTTTCTCCTATTATAGCTGACCCTAGGTACTTTTATTTACTAAGCACAGTTTGTGTACAAGAGAACGCAGCAAGCATGTTATTGTATAAAAGCTAGCAGCTAGCACGCTAATGACAAGTTGGCCTGAACTCATCATTGTATCAAATCTTAATCCAAGATTTTAACTAGTAACAGCCTAAAATATTCAGAATCAAAATTATAACAAACATTTGTTGTTACATGATTTAAAATTCAATTAAACAAATTGAGTTGACCCTGCACAAGATAAATATTTCTTTATTTCTTTTTTTATGACAAAAAATGTGAGATTCCTTTAATCACATGATGCAGAATGCTTCGATTAAATGCAATAATCAGTTTAGACACTCTGCTCATTTCGGTAAATTGTTTCAATTTTATACTTAATGATTTTACAACATTAAATCAAAATTACCAAACCAGCTAAAAATACGTAATAAAGATTATCACATGTGATGAGATAATTTCAAAACTTACAGGAACGAAAACAAATTATTTCCCGTGTTGTGAATTTGCAATGAGAACATTTGTACGAATGTCCTGGTTTGAGACTTGTGCATTGATGAGTGGAGGCCGTAAAGCTAGATGAACATAAAGCAAGATGAACGCAGATATTTATATCAACATGATCTAATCTACTAGCCAACAACATGGTGAACTTTATACCAATACCTGACAGCATACTTACTTTGTCATCCTAAATAGGTCATAAATTATTGTTAGTTTTACTTTCAAAATAATAATTCAAAAATCCAAAATATTTGTTATATTTCAAAAATCAATGTTAAAATTAAAAGTTATTGATGGTTAAAATGTGTTCACTATTAAAGTTAGTTATATGTAAATTAATACATATATGTAATGAGTTTTTGAACTAAAATTGGTTATTTTATTAAGTAGTAAATGTATTATAGTTAGATATTTATAATTGTTATTTAAAAACCAATTAATGTACTCAAGTTAGTCAGATTTAATTACATAGTTTTTTGTCCTTCGAAAATTAATCAAAATATAACTGATTAATATAAAAAAAAATCTTAAATAAATCATACTTGTCAAAAATATTTACAGTAGATGTCAACTAAATTATGAAAATGAATCAAATTATTGACAGTGAACAATTAAGTTCACGTAAGGTATGTAAATATAACTTTAGAAACAGTTCATAAATCATAGTTCATATTTTCATCACAGTTCATATATTAACATGTCAAAAACCCAGTTTTCCCCTACTCTTCTTTTATCCCATGATGGTGTATAAAAGTAACAAATAGTTTACACATTAAAATTAACTAAAAACTAATTTCATATTAAATTAAAATTCAAAATTGACTATTTTAGTTTCACAAGAAAATGTCTGATAATGAAAAACTTTAAAAAAATGATTCTTGAAGATTTTATACTACTTGTATCTTAAGATATTTTAAATGGAAAATAGGTCATGCATTACTTCAGCAACATGTAACACTGATAAATCCTTTACATAATGCATACTAATCGTATTACCGGCATTAATAACTTTCTTCAATTACATATCAACATTGTTTTAATTTTTCTAAGGTGCTAAGTTTATGTGTTAATGTTCAATGTTATATAATTATGTTGGAAATCACAAAATGTTAATAAATCTCACATTGAAAGGTAAACAACTTTAATATAAAATAAAACTTTTTTAAAGGGACATAATTTTGTTGATTAAAGGGAAATAACTTTGATAAAGATTAGATTTTGTATTATTAAGGTAGTAAGATGAATATCTTACCACGTGTTTGATAGACCATGTGACTTCAGGAGCAGGTTCACCAATGAACTGTCCGGTGACGGAGAAAGCTTGACCGACCTTGATACGTATAGGCTTGAGGTCATTCTTGTTGGTGATTCTTGGTTTTACTGCAAAAAAACAGGATTTATAAATTACTAATTCACATGGCGCAGTAATCTAAACAGTATATAACTGTACAAAGTAAACTTATCAATAGACAACTTGTTGAATTCAAAATTATACAGACTACAAACATGATTTTTTTATGTGTTTGAACCCACACAATGAGGGGCCCCGAAAAAAAAGTTTTAGAGCAACGTTTCCTATGAAGTTTAACTACTATACAAGTATTTTTTATTAATTGTATATATAGAATAATTTTCATACCTTTTCTGGCCTTTGTCTTGACTGGTGGTGACACCATGCTGGGCTCAGAATTACCAGCCTTGTTATGGGCAATAACTCTGAATTCATAGTCCTTTCCTTCGACCAAACCTTCTACGGTTCCCTTATCCACATCACCTGGAACCTCGGTACCCTGTACATTCATGATCAATACCAGAATTAATATCAATCTACAAGCAGGGAACAAACTTGTATTGAATTTGAATCGAATTTGTGCTCCTTGGACAAACCACCCTTTTTACTAATTTTATTTGTAACAAAAAGAAACCAGGCTGATTTTGGGTATTATAAGTTGCTGCTTGCAAGGTTAAAAAAGTAATTTAAATGCAAATTATGCAGTAACAGTTAAATCATTTATGATTTTTGACTTTACTGTTTAAACTTTGACCATTTATTTATATTGAATATCACAGGTTTTCTAGAGATAAATACAACCTGTACTATATAAATCAAATTAAAAACATTTTATAAAATATAACAAACCGGTTTCCAGTCTCCCTTATCTTTTTCCCTGTATTCAATGATGTATTTATCTACTGGTGCCCCGTTATCTCTCTCTGGTGGTAACCAGCCAACTTCAACATAATCCTTGTCATAATCAATGATCTTAGGATCACGTGGAGGGTCAGCGGGATCTACAAAATACATTCATACAATCAATGAAAATTTCGTTTAGTTATTTGTTGTTGTTGTTTTTTTGTTTTTTTTAAACTAGAAACTTTATAAGCATTTTAAGGTGAAATATGACTTTGTGGTCTAAATGTCTGCCTTTCAACCAAGGAATCAGTGACATAAACACTACTAATGCTGCCATTTCTGAAATAAATTGCCCAACTTCTATTTTGAAAATGTACATCATTAATATTTGTGATTTCATGGCAACATCAGTCTGGCATGGCTATACTAGCATACAGATGGCACAGACTTTGACATTTCAGTTTCAACATTATACATGTTCATCATTATTCTATACTTACTTAAGACCAGTAATTCTTTGTTCAGTAGGTTGATACATCAGTTTTCACATTTAAGCTTACAGATTGTAAAAACAAAGAACATCTAAACAGACAATATTTTACCGTTTCCTTACAGATATGGTTAGTGAATATTTTTCAAAGGGACCTCTTTTACCTGAATACCATACTGTGTAACACTTTTGTATAATTTAACGTAAAGACAATTGAAAAATACTATACCCCATGGGTCTTTAGCAAGAATTTCCCCGTCAGCCTCGAGCCAGTCACTCTGTCCTTGTGCGTTTACGGCAGCTACACGGAATGTGTAACGATTTCCTTCCTTGAGGTCAGCTACGTCAATCTCAATGTCATCTGTGTCACAAACCTGGGAACAATAATAATAATTACATGTACAATGAATATGACCATTTAATATGTTTGGATTTCAGTACATTATGATCAACTTTAACCATGTAGACTTAACTAATGTTTATTCTCCTTGTAAAGTAATTAAGCTGTAAATTGTGCATTTGCATATAGCTACAATTATATTTATTAGGTGAGATTTATACCTTCTTCCAGTCCTTGCCGGCTTCTTTCATCTCAACAACATAACCTGTAATAGGACTGCCTCCGTCATCATCAGGACGGTCCCATAACAGGGCGGCACGGTCAGAGAAGACGTCAACAATATCAAGAGGACCCTTTGGTTTACCAGGCTTGTCTGTCAATGAAAATATATGCCATTAAATAAACCGAATCATAAATGTGTTCATAACAATTACAAATTCATGTCTGGTAATATAAATTTCATTTCAATATATTTAATCAAATGTTTGCTTGATAACTAATCTTTAAAAGAATATCAATAAAAAATCAATTAAAAACAATTAGGAAGTCTAGATATATGACAATTACACAATATCATATACATGATTACACTTAATCTTAACACTAAAATTAATGCAAAACTGAAATATGACAACAGTTAAAACATGCTCATTCAAAACACAGATTGTCACAATTATTAACTTCCACTCTGTCCTAATTGTTGTACATGTAGTTAATTCATTAAATGTTTCTCTAAACTTACCAAGTACAATAACATTGATGGGGACTTTCTCGGTTCCGACCTCGTTAGACAGAGTAACACAATACTCTCCAGTATCACCTCTCACTACACTCGGTACTACAAGATGTGTCGACTTGTCCTTTGTCTCGATGTCAGTGTCTTGATCAGATAACGGTGAGCCGTCCCTCGACCATTCAGCTACAGGCTTTGGTGTTCCTATAATATAACAGTAATATATCATTTGAATATCATGCATCATTCAACTATAAAGTTAAATTTTAAGTCAAATATTAACATCTCATACATTCTTTTTGCTTCTTTATCCAAATGATATACAAATTTCTTGGTGTTACAAAGTAAGTTTTATTACTATTTTATTGATTATAATATTACTTACACCATTCATGGGCAATGTGAAGAAATATAACGAACATTTTACATAGATATTCCTATATAAAGAATTTAATTTTGTTCCAGGGAACATTTTATAGATTTAGATACAAACGGCCAGACCCAAAATATAACATTAAATTTCATCATCAATTACATGAAGTATAGAGGGATTCATCGAGGACAATGACATTAAAAAACAGAATAAACAGTTTAAAGAATCTGAGCCACAAAACCACTCATAAGCTTACATCTTCACATAAAAAAGTCACTAGTGTATAGTAAAAGACAAGAGATAGGAAATCAGTAACCATAAGTACTGCTATGGAGGTAGGACAAAAATTCTGGTATGACTGAGATGGATATATTTTACTCACCAACAAAAGGTATATCAAGCTGCAATCTCTCTCCCTTCTTCAGGATGACTTCCTTTGGTACACGACTGAAGTCAACCTTGGGAGGTTTAGGTACTGAAAATGTATGATAAGACAGGTGTTAATAATGACACAGGTGTTTAATATTTAATATGATACATTAAAGTAAACATCATAAATAATATGTGAAATATACTGTATATTTATGTTTTATTTTCACTTACAGTCTTTTCGTTGCAATAATAAAAATACATAACCTTACTTTTATTAGAAAATGAAAGTACTTGTCCATGAATATATAATCAATAATCAATGTTTCTAATATACAAATCATAGCATAGAACTAGTGTATTTAAAAAAAAGTAGTAAATACCCAATGCAAGGTGTTTAAGGAAGTTTAAAACTTGTTCTAACTTTGTTGTGTAAAGTACATTTAACACTTACATTCTTCGATGGTGACCTGACATTTAGTGGTTCTCTCGCCCACCTGACAAGCATATTCTCCCGCATCATCTTCTGTGAGGTTCTTCACCAACATCTTCATTACCTCTCCCTTCTTCGAAATTTCAAAACGGCTGAATTAGAGAAGAAAAATAATCAGTAATATTATATATTTACGTACCCAAAATATCTTTTATGATTAATGAACCATTAAAACATTCGGCTAAGCTTCAGGCTTTCAAAATCATTTGACCATTAATTTAATAGGTATAATCAGAAATATATGTATGTTTATCTTGATTAAATCTAGAAAGTCCTAGACCCATGTGTTACATTTTCAGTATAATATTTCATAATGATTACAAAGAAACAATCACAAACATGTTATTGTTCTTATACCAAAATAAATCAACTGACACTGAATCATGTCATAACAGGTTGTATTCTTTTGTTAATAACTTACGAGTCATCTTTGTCAATAGGTTTTCCATCTTTTAACCATTTAACTGGAGCACTGTTTGGGTTAGAGGCTTTACAATCGAGCATTAACGTTCCCTTTTCCTTCTCTTTCTTATTCTCCAGCTTCTTAAAGAATTTAATATCAGCTGAAATAGATAAAAACAGTTCAAGTATTACGTATGATTGTTTCATTTGAATTTGAGAAAATCTTTGGCACATATCTAGCCATAATTCCGAAATCAATGATTGGGAAATGAAAAAAAAATTAATAACATGAGATTCTATTAACTTATCATATTCACTAATTTTTCTATTTACAGCTTAAAACTCTATTTATAACTTGCGTTCAACGAACATTTCACTGATTATTCTATTTATAGCCTAAAATTCTATTTATAACTTACGTTCAACGAAAAGTTGTGCAGCTGTTTCTTTATCCTGCATGACGCACTTGTATTTACCCTCGTCACGACTGCTACAGTTCTTGATCTGCAGACGACGTTTGTGACCGTCCTTGACAAACTCATATTTACCACCGGCTTTCAGCTCCTATATTATATAATTATATAAAAAATATCTTAAATATCTTGTTGCTGCTTTTCATTTCATTAACTGACAATTTTAAATTTGTTAAAAGGCACTCAAAATCTTGAAAGAATCATGAATATTCCTTTAAATTAATAGAAAAAATAAAAGGTGAGCACAAAAATTTAGTAAGATATGGGTGAAATCAATACTTTATAAAAAAGAAATACCAAGTTATTTTTAATAAGTTTCCTCTGGTTAAAGAAATAAGGTATTTGTAAAAGTAAAGAAAATAAGACAAATAAAACATAATAAAACATAGAATGTTTTTTTAAAGAATCAACACATAAATGATGCATTTATCTTTAAGAATAAAAGATTACTTAATCTTTGTCTAGTATTGTAACTGAAATAAACAATTGTGCAGTATAAAATTATGATCTTAAAGGAGATAACTAGTGAGCAACTTTAAACACAACTATTGGTAGATTACTTCCCTTAGATTAGGTTCGTCACAAACATTACGTCTAATACTAATGTGACTGTATTTTCAAATGATCATTTACTTAAAATTATTTCTGTGGTAAGAAAATTCATTCCTGGAAGTATTATTGTCATTTCAATACCATAAAATACAACAACTGTAGTTTTTACTTTTTTTTTCATGTAATTCTAGTCTATAATCTATAAAAGCACAATATAAAATGATGAAAATATAAGCTTGTTTTTTTAAATGTCTTGTAAATTGAAAAAATCTTATCATATATGAAATAAGACAATAAAAAATTAATAAAAAAACCCAACAGTTTTAGAAAAAAATCACGAAAAATAAATAAGAAATTATTTTTTTTAATTAAAATAATCTGTTAATTAATCAACTCTGTAACAAATACATTCCAATATATAAGTGATCATTCATAAACTTAGAATGAATGTAGAGGAAAAGAGGTAAAATTCATTTTATTATGATGAATAAAATCATTATAACTGAAAAGAAAAAGTTCATACAGTAAACTCTGTTTAGATTCACAAGGTGTTTTTTAATGTTGCTGTATTTTTGCCATGTAAAAAAAATATTTCAATCATCTTTGCAAACCATTAATTAACTTTTTTCATATTAAAATGTACAGTGAAAAAAAACCCTCTAATAAACCTTTTATTCGATGCCAAAAAGAAATATTCTTCACCGTTTCTAAAACCTTTTTAGGACACAATCATAGTTAATTGTGAATGTTTTACTCAAGTCTAAAAGTTCTTTATATTATGGGATGAGACCCATTTTGTTTTTGACTGATATTTTCAGTTCTAAGAGTATTAAGTAAGTAAGTAAAGGCTTTATTTTTCGAGGCTACACATTTGGTTTCCCAATCTTCCATGTGTTGAATTTTATTAGTAACCAAACAAGAGTTTACTGTATGTCTATAATGAAGGTACGACATGTAGAATGAATATGTTGTGATCCAATACAAGGCAACATTTAAATAAAAACAAAATTTTAAGAAGTTAAACTTTTTTATCAACCAGAATGAAAGACAAAAAGTAAAACTATCAGTAACCAAGGCAACCTTAAACATGCAAATCATGTAGTCATGATTTCTGAATCACAAATTAATGCTTGGAAAAATAATTCATACAAGGAGATTAAATTTAGTTAACCTTTAAGTTATCATTATTAAAACAAAACCTCAAGAGGTGTTTTAAAACAAACTTAAAACAAACAAAAAAATTTTTTTTTTCCTAAAACTGTTTATGTAATTTATTTAGAGACATTTTCCTCTAGTAAATGCAGACTTTCTCCCCTTTTCATACTCCTCCTTATTTTTATTCCTTAATAAGGTATGATAAAATTAGAAAATATAAAGAATACAGTAGTAACAGATCTATATTACTATGAAAATATTTGAAATGATAAATGAATGATATATATTACAGCAAATAAAAAAGAAAACCAAAATAATTGTGACAAAAACTTTAGCACTAAAAGCTCAGTAAATTACTGCCACAAGATATATTGTGAAAGTTGCTAGCTGCATGCAATGGTGTTATGGAAAAATCTGCCACAAGTGTAAGACCTGGTATCATTTATTCTACATAAATCCGGAAACCAAGCACTGACAATCACCAGATAGACTGGTACCAAATTTCATTGGTCTTTGGTATAATTAAAAATGAAGATAGCTTCAAATGTCACAATATGACATCCCAGACTCAAAGAAAGCAAAATTAAATAAGGTTAAAAAAGCAGTATGTCAATTTTGTTTTAAACCATGAATAATTATTGAATTATCAGGAAAGCAAAGCAAATAAGTTTAATTATGTTATAAAATTCTAAAGGATTACACAGTCAGATTTGACTGAATTATAATATAAATTTTTGTTCAGAAAAAGGGTATAAATAGAAGCAGAGGAAAAATTCCAGTTGTTGTTTTCTATGCTAAACAAAATGGACTTAAAGCAGTTGAGGAAAAGAAAAACATATCTTATAGGAAAATCTTAACTGATAAAAAGCATGATTGTAAACATAATAAATTATAATGCAAAACAGAAAATATAATTTTAAGCATTTTATAATTTATTTGAACATAAACGTAATTTACTAAATGATGGGAAAAATTGTTGAAAGCAATGGAAAACAAAAGTTTGGCAGGTTTCTTTGAGTGAAATCATAAAGCAAAGCTTAAAGCAGAATATACTAAAAGCAAAACTCAAAAACACAAAAATAAAAGCAATAAATGATGAATATATGAATGAAATTAACTGAAAAATCTCAAAGCCTAATTAAGAATGACTATGGTGCAGGTTTTTTCAAACATCATTAAATTATATTAAATAAATTGTAAAGAAGCTTCTTCAAGTTTTTCTAAAATAATGTTTTGGTAAACAGGCAAAATTTAAATACAACAACAGTAAACCTCAAGGTATAACTGTAATACAATCCTCAAGAAAAACTTAAATAGTAACTAAATAAAGGGTAAAATTAGAAAGTATCTGAGAAAAATAAATGAAATGGGATATGTCAAAAAATAACTGCTAGTAAGGGTATTGTAATAACTGATCAGTAAGAACAATGGATCTGGCATGATATGCATTTCAATTGAGAGCTGCATTGTCATGATTTGGTTCATTAATGTCATGATTTTTCATGATGCCATGATTTTGTTCATGAATGTCATGATTTTTCATGATGCCATGATTTTGTTCATGAATGTCATGGTTTTTCGTGGAAGTCATGATTGTTTTCATAAATGTTATGATTTTTTCATGATGACATGATTTTTCATGAATGTCATATTTATGAATTCATGATATTTTTTCATGAATATCATTATTCATTTTCATGAATGTCATGATTTATTTTCATGATATTTACCGTAAACTCGCCATCACCCTGTTAAATTGGTAAAAAAAGAGAAAACAAAACATAGAGAATAACATAGTACACACAATATATAAAGAAACTAAAACTACAAAAAAATCATTTCCCTGAAACACCTAAAAATAGAATATATGTTAATTAAGGAATTGTAAACACAGTTCTAATACAAGGGTAAATATCGATTTAGACATATTAAAATCAAGTGGCATTATGGGAATTGATGAATGGTGGACACAGGTAAGGAGCTAGGACAGGGACAGATTGGACTTCTCATGCTTGTATGACCTTGATGACAAAGGTCAAGGTTAAAATGACCTTGATGACAAAGGTCAAGGTTAAAATGACCTTGATGACAAAGGTCAATGTTAGAATGTCCTTGATGACAAAGGTCAAGGTCAATGTATGAGAAAATACTTATCGTATCAGAGTATATAAAAATTTTATTACAGATTCCTACTGGCTGTATCATAACTTATAATTATGACATTAAAAAGGGTAAGGAAATATCAATATAAATTGATAGTAATTTTTAAACACTGAGAACTCAACATTACTGCTAAGTTTGTGATATATATGATTATAAAATTGCTGAAAAGCTATCCTGTATTTTATATTCTAATTCTAAATCTGTATATATATTTAATGGTTAATCTTTTCTAATTTTTCCTTTAAACTATTAAGATTCAAAACCTATAAATTCGATATTAAGATTCAGAACCTATAAATTTGATATTAAGATTCAAAACCTATAAATTCGATATTAAGATTCAAAACCTATAAATTTGATATTAAGATTCAAAACCTATAAATTTGATATTAAGATTCAAAACCTATAAATTCGATATTAAGATTCAAAACCTATAAATTTGATATTAAGATTCAAAACCTATAAATTCGATATTAAGATTCAAAACCTATAAATTTGATATTTTATATCTATGGGAAGGGAAACAGACGGGGAAAAATTGGGAACTGGTCTAGACTACAACAATGTAAGAGGGAAAGAATTTTGTGTTCCAAGTTGTTTTTTATTTTATGAAATTTTCTAGTTTGTTAAAAAAAGTATTTTCTTTTTATACGAAACAGAAAACTCAAACTAATATCAAAGATACAAAACATATTAAGTCTTTTTTTTCTTTTTTTATTTACAAGATGTAACAGATGAAGATGTTGAAACACAAATATCTTTTTATTATCGCTAGGGAAATAGTTCATATTATTTCACAAATTCAAACACTACATTTAAAAAGCACATTTCCACTAGATCTAAGATGTTCTTACATTGATTTCACTCAACATATTCTATTGTTGAAAGAATTGTGTCTTTTTTTTGCTCATATTTCTACAAATTACGATTTCACGTCCAATGTCATTTTATTTCTACAACAATGCTGGTAAAGGTAAATTTCACAGACATATAATTTTGACATCCACCTATAAAATGCCTTTAATTAACATCAGTACATGAAAATACACTCCAAGTTGCTCTGGATCTGTACGATTGTTAAAGCAATCTGTGATAAACCATTTAATTCTGTAACCATCATAAACAAGTAAATGAAAAATTAAAAATCCTGGTATCGAGTGTGAAATGTTATATCAGGTCTAATATTATGATTTATAACCTTCACCTTTACAATACTGACCAACAATAAAATGATATTGGACATGGAATATGGACTAAATACAAAATCTAAAGCAAGCTTCTAGCTAAGGATATGTTTAACTATACACTATTTTATGTACAGTGACTGACTACAATCAAGCAATTCACAGACAACCTTTTGACCTATAATATGACCTTTGGCCATGATTTATCACTTTGACCTTGCAATATGTCCTTGACCTTACCTTTTCATCTCTAAACCAGGACACCTCTGCCTCTGGATCACTGACATCACACTCAAAGATGGCTTTCTGTCTCTCTTGACCTTCAATATCTTCCAACTTCTTCATGAACTCCCAAGCTGGTTCTGTGAATAAATTACAAACATGTGTCATATTAGATAGTATATCTTGTACATGTAACCTAATAATAATGTAATGGTAACTAACAGCTAAGGTTAAGTGTGTCACTTATATAAAACACTTTTTGGTTTTATGTTGCACCAACACTGTAAAGATCTAATGGCAACTTTCCTGCTATACTGGTGGAGGAAAACTTAAGGTCATTTGCATAAGTTCAGCCATGTACAGGCACCTGAGTAAAAGCACTAACATTCTGTAATCTAGCTGGATAAGGATCCTAAGTCCCGAACGGGATTCAAACCCAAAATCACGGGGGGCAAGTGGTTTATAGACAACTACTTTAACCACTTGGCCATGAATGGCCCATTAAGTCACTTATTCAGTCTTCAGTACATGTAATATTGTAGCAGAGGTAAATCCCCATCTCCTAATGGGGGCTCTAATTCTACCAGAGGTAAGATTCTCTTTTAGTTTTTTCAATACACTTTGGTGCAATAAGGGCCAATAACTGTTTCAGAAACCGAGAAAAAAGTCATCAGGCTATGTATAGGCCCTATGATGCATATTTGACATTTATTATTAAAAACACATGCAAAAAATAAAAAGTAATTTTAACATACGAGTGCATTTAAGATCACATTTTGTGACAGCTTCTCCAACGGTGATTTTACATTCATAGTGACCTTCAAACTCTTTACTCATGTTCGGGAAACTGAGGATGCAACGATTCTCTCTGCGACGTATCTCTGTTTTACCCTGGTCATACTGTAAATATAAAATATAACATATTACAAACCCTGGTCATACTGTAAATACAATATAAAACATATTACACCCTGGTCATACTGTAAATATAAAATATAACATATTACAAAGCCCCTGGTCATACTGTAAATACAATATAAAACATATAACACGGTCCCTGGTCATACTGTAAATAAAATATAAAACATATTACACGGTCCCTGGTCATACTGTAAATACAATATAAAACATATAACACGGTCCCTGGTCATACTGTAAATAAAATATAAAACATATTACACGGTCCCTGGTCATACTGTAAATACAATACAAGGAACATCGCAATGCGATGCAACCAGGTTTTCAGCAAAATTTTTCACAGAAGCCTTGTCATGAAGGGGCATTTGTTTTTAATTGAACTTTTAGGAGGAATTATGGCTTTTTTAATATTCCTCAAACAAAAATGATTGAGAAATTTTATGTTGTCTATTCGCCTTTTTTTCCCAAATGTTTTAGAAAGGTAAACAGTACTTTATTTTTGCTTAATTTTTGCATTTTTGCGTCTCTTGTCATTTTCTTTTGTCAACAATATTGGCGTGTGGTGTTTTGTGCGATATCAAGAAAAGTATGTTCACAATTTTAAAAAAATACTTGAATGATGTCTTGGAAGAAACATGGGAATTTAGTGAGCACCAGGGCACTTGATGACAAAGCTTCTGTGAAAGTTTGGTCAAAATCCATTGAGAAATGTAGGAGAAGTTGCGCACTGTAGAAATTGTTCACTATATATTCTGTATAAGGAAAAAATATACAAAGGGCCATAATTCGGTCAAATATTATCCAATCACAAAACCCCGACAATATGTGCCAGGCACTTGAAAACAAGCTTCTAAGAAAGTTTGGTCAAAATCCGTTGAGAAATGTAGGAGGAGTTGAGCACAGAAGAAATTGTTCTCTATGTATTCTGTATAAGGAAAAAATATACAAAGGGCCATAATTCGGTCAAATATTATCCAATCACAAAACCCCGACAATATGTGCCAGGCACTTGATAACAAAGCTTCTAAGAAAGTTTGGACAAAATCCGTTGAGAAATGTAGGAGGAGTTGCGCACAGAAGAAATTGCTCACTATATATTCTATATAAGGAAAAAAAACAAAGGGCCATAATTAGGTCAAATATATACCAATTGCAAAACCCTGGCAATATGTGGCAGGGCACTTGATGACAAAGCTTCTGAGAAAGTTTGGTCAAAATCCGTTGAGAAATGTAGGAGGAGTTGCGCACAGAAGAAATTGTTCACTATATATTCTATATAAGGAAAAAAAACAAAGGGCCATAATTAGGTCAAATATTATCTAATCGCAAAACCCCGACAATATGCGCCAGGGCACTTGATGACAAAGCTTCTAAGAAAGTTTGGTCAAAATCCGTTGAGAAATGTAGGAGGAGTTGCGCACAGAAGAAATTGTTCACTATATATTTTATATAAGGAAAAAAAAACAAAAGGGCCATAATTAGGTCAAATATTATCTAATCGCAAAACCCCGACAATATGCGCCAGGGCACTTGATGACAAAGCTTCTGTGAAAGTTTGGTCAAAATCCGTTGAGAAATGTAGGAGGAGTTGCGCACAGAAGAAATTGTTTACGCCCGCCCGCCCGCCCGTCCGCCCGCCCGCCCGCCCGCCGACATACCTCAATCTAATAACCAGTTTTTTCCTTCGGAAAACCTGGTTAATAAAACATATTACACGGTCCCTGGTCATACTGTAAATAAAATATAAAACATATTATAAGACCCCTGGTCATACTGTAAATACAATATGTAACATATTACAAGGTCAATTTGAAAATGAAGAAAATGATACATTTTAATGTAAATGTAAATAGCTATGATATGCAGTCAAACCTGTGCTAGGGGCCACCTTTAAATAAGGACCACATAATGAAACAACAGTTACTATGATTACTATAGGTCAGGGTAATATTTCCCCATTTGAATTCCTTAAAAGGCAGAATTCTCTGTTTCAAGTGACTTCCTGTCAACCAAAATATAACACATAAATAAAAGGGGGTTCATTTTTACAAAGACAAGGTTAACAGCAAACAGTCTGTGGTACTTTCGTTTCCATATCAATATTATGAACGGCATGGTGGATATGATACCAAAGTTTGTAAAGTGATACCTTTCATTACAAAATGTAAGACATTTAAAGCTTTTGATTAACCAACCAAATAAACATAAACAATAAGGTCCTCATGAAACAAAAGTTTATGTCTTTGTGTTTAAGTTTGTTCTTTTAATTGACCCTTATTTTAACAATTTAAAATAAATTTAATACAATTAATTTTTAAGTCAGAACCAGGAGAGAGTATGAAAGAGTGAGATATCATTAAATAAGAATATGCTTGAATTTAAATAAAAAAATGTTAAGAAAATCTATTGGAAATATTATAAATGTAGGAGAGTGAAAGAGTAAAACACATTATATTCAGAGAAGTGTATCATTATTGAGTAACTTGAAGAATAGAAAAATAAATAAAGAGGAGGTAATTTACATATAAAAATGGCTGAAATATATCGTCAAACGAAGGAAATGCTGTATCGTGACCTTGTTGCCCCTGGTTACAGTATGCAGGTATGTGACCTTCACCTTCTCTTAAGTTCTTTATTTAGAATAATTAGAATTTAGAACCAATAGTTTTGAAACCCTTTTAGTCTATTACATTTTTTTTATCTATCCTGTTCTATAATAGATTTTCATTTTGCTAACAAAATTTCAACACAATAGTAATCAAAATTTCATTATTTTTACACATTTTTTTAAAAGACGTGTTATAGATAAAAACTTTTAACCTCTGAAATTTTATCAAAATAAATCAACAATAATTATCTTAATTGTACTTCAGAAAATAAAATCATTTAAATCTGAAACCAAAGTCTTACATCTTCAATGACATTTGATAAACAGTATTAATTGAATAGATATTAAAATTTATCAACCAGTGAATTGGGACATCTTCAATTTTGTTACAATATCAATTAAAATCTGTAATCCACCGGGATACTTTTGTATGCCCATACCTAGTATCTCAATTCATTGTTTAAACCAGGGGTTTAAATTGAACAAAATAATCATTAACTTTTAACTGTACTGTACTAAATTTAAAGAGGGTATGTCATTGATTTGTACAGTTTACATTTCAATCTGTAATGTTTAAACTGGATGAAAAAAAATCTGGCCAAGTCCTTCTTAATAATCAATATAGTCACATGTTAACTTAAATTTAATTTGCAGTAAGATGCTCTACTTATTCTATGGTGTATAGATGTATTAGTACATGTGTATTAAGTTTAAATAATTATATATCATACATGACTGTGAACTCTCCCACTTTAAGCGGGAGACTCCCACTTTCTGCAGCCATATTTTCAAAGATTTTTCTTAAAATAAGAGGTATTTTCGCAAATTAATGAAATCTCCTTATTTTTGATGTCAGAAGTTTATTTCAAATTCTAAAATCTCCCTCTTGTTGTAAAAAAATCTCCCACTTGATCATTGAAAAAAGTTCACATGTATGATATATATTAAATAATTATTTATACAATTTTAATGAAAACATGAACAAGTGTATGCCCTACATATGAATGTATATTATCTACAAATGAAATAAATCTTAACCGGACATTTAATTAAAAAATTGATTTATAATTTAATTTGCATTCTGCACAATAAAACATGGTGACTGCCACTTTAACATAGGTTCTCTATTTAATGTAAGACATAAAGTTTATATTGGAATGTCTAGTGCATTGTCATATTAAACAGAAATCTTGGCACGGCAGCACTGTCACACATTGTTACAATTTTATTATCTTTCTTCACCACACTGATTATCTAATTTAGAGAGCTTTGTATGGGTAATTTTCAAAATGTCAAAGTGAAATTGTCATTGTTTTGGACATTTGAACATTATGTTTAAGATCCAAATTGACATTTTTCAGATAATTAGTCAAAAATTGGATTTACAAATCACTTATCATGCTGGAATTGATCTGAAGTATTGGGATTTAAATTGTAATCTTTTGAACCTCGGACAAAATTATTGAGTGATTTAATAGATAGTGGGAATCAAATTGTATAAGTTAGTATGTTGGTGAAAAACTTCAAGGATGAAATTTCTTAAAAAACCTGGTAACTTTGATATTATTCAATACTTTGTTAACATTATGTCTTTTTTTTTTTTTTTTTTTTTGTGTTGAATGATGCAACATGCATTTTTATCATAAATATAATGTATATTTCATATTAAAAATGAGAAAGTAAAATCCCTTTGGACAGTATAGATTATAAGTGTTTTTTGTTTTGTTTTTGTAAAAGAAACCATAAGAAAAAACATAAAATGCAATAGAAAATATTTTTTACATTTCAGTATGATGCTATAATGGAAAGTGCGAGTGATTCCGACTTTGATTCGGATGACTCGATAGACTTCCTATCAGAGTATACCGACATCGACGTAAACGGATTTCTTGGTCGGGCCATTGCGATCTGGACCTATAATCGTCTAGATAGTCTTACACTGTTCACACCAAAACCAGATGATACGTTGTTCCAGCTTGTAAAGTACGCTGAACAGAGGTTAAAGTTTAACAGAGAAAATGAGAAAATAATGGTAATGGATGCAGGTGAGAAAGTTCCAAGAGAAATGAAGGACGTGTACTTGCTAAAACCTGGCAGTGTAATCATGGTTTTACCTAAAAGGAATTTAAACTTAACTGTTGAAATAAATCAATTAAACACAAGGTTTCCAATTAGTGCAGATCCAATGTGTACAGCATATGATGTGAAAACTTACATCAAACGTGTTAAGGGGATTCCCATAGATCAGCAAGATGTCCTATACAGAGACAAGGTGCTTGAGAACGCAAGACGACTTTATGAATATAAAGTGAAAAACGGGACTAACATGCATGTTCTGATACAAGTTCATTTTGATGTCATAGTTCATGTTGAGACTTTCTGGGGAAAAACATATCGACTGTATGTGGACAAGTGTAGCACAAGTAGTGACCTCATTTACCGTGTATTTGGGAGAACATTTAGCAAACATGGAAAAGAACATGTGACAATGCACGAGTTATACGTGCCCATTCATGTTCTAGTCTTTCAACATAACAAACGATCCCTTAATTGGAATTACTGTCTAGGATTCTATGGTGTAAGGAATGGGGATAATCTGGTGCTAAACACTGTTGGTCGTCATAGTGATATGAATATACAAACATTGATGGTTGTTACTGAACTTGGTGAAAACTATGAAGTACGGGTCTCGCAGTTTGATCGATGGTCAGTGGTAGCATTCATTCTTCATGGACACACAGACGTTCCTGTTGACCTTATAAGATTATTCCGGAACGAAACACAACTAAACTTCACTGGAAATATTGGCTTTGTGCCAAAGAACACTTTGATAATGATGAACATAATGATGACTAATGTTGATAAGGACATGATGTTTGGAATACCCCTTAGAATCAATATTGGTAATGGAATTGTAGAAAATATCAAAGTTTCTCCAACCAAGAAAGTTAAAGATATCAAAGAAAGACTTGAAGAAATTGGGGTTCCAAATGCTACACTGGATGAACTTGCTACAGGTCAGTTCAAACTGCCTGATCATGCAAAGATCAAAGATGTGGTGACTGACATTGGGAAACTGTTGTACCTAAAAGTTGAAAGATTTCCAATGTTTATTCATGCTCCTGATGGGACAATATATAGAACAATGATTGATGTCAACCACACAATGAAAAGTCTGAAACAAAAGATTGAAATGAAATCAGGCCATGCCATATCAAGCTGCCGTTTGCTGCTAGCTGGACAAGAACTAATCCTTCAGGACAACCATGTTCTCTATGACAGCGGATTTTCTACAAGGAATTCCATTTTTGTAGAAACAGCGCAAATGTTTGAAACATTTTTCATCACAAATGGGGATCTTCTGATTAAGTTGCGTGTTCCGGCAAGACCAACGCAAGACAATATCAAACGTAGTATCTGGGGAACAAGAGATATTCCTGAGGGTTCTATTACATGTCTACAGACATTCCTCTTTTGGTTCTTTTCACCACGAAGGAATAAGAAGTTTTATCTCCCAAAAAGAAAAAGAAACCGGAAAAGAATTCCACCATCCAATGAACCACTCCACTTGTTTTCTGACAGGTATGGCAAGAAGTATGATGACAGAAATATTTCTGACTTAATGCTTGAGCTAGACCACAAGAAAGGTGAGCATTTCAAGCCTCTGATATACCCAGATGATGTGCCAGATGAATTAAAAACTCACAGAACCTGGCCCATTAGTTTAAAACGGCCAGTCCGTCCTCGCAGGAACATAGAAGACTGGATAAATTCAACTAATTATGAGCCCAGATTTGACAGAAAACATACCAGAACTCCAACAAGGAAAAAAAGCTTCAGAACATCGAGAAAACAACAAGAACAACAACAAGAACCTCGTCAATATCTTGGTAATCATCATATACAACCTCGTTGGTTGAATAATCTTTATGCAAAAGAAGGAAATCAAGGTTTGTCATCATCTGACGACACTGGCTTGGCATATCGCCAAAATACAAAACAAGGGCAGACAACTTTCTACAAAAAGAAACACAGAAGAAAGACACCAACTCATCATCAGGGTGATGCCAGTCTATCAAAATACCTCGGTCATAAACGACAAATGTTTAATAATCAGGAACTACAAAATCTAAGTTCTGATGATGACAATACAGAGACGTTTGATGAATTAGCAGACGACAGGCCATATATAGTGTTAAGGTAGATAATCCAACCATTGAAGCAGAAAGGCTGAAATTTCTGATAAGCTATTAAGTTTGGCTATAAATAAGCAAGTTGACAAACTTAGTAATAAAGTATGAATTGTTATTTTGAATAAATTATGCCTCCTGACTTCCTCTGCTGACAAAAAGAATTGGAAAGAATATCTAAAGGATTCAAACAAATAGACAATCGTAATAAAAAAGTTCAACAGACTTTATGTGAAAGTGCAACACATACCAGAGTGCTTGATAAAATTTATTAGTAAAAATGAAATTGACTTAAGTTTCCATGGTAACTTATCCTTACAAATATGATGACTAGATCTGCTCAAATTAAAGTGAAAGCTAAACTGATAGTAAAAAAGAACATTTCCTTACATTGGCAAGTACATGTACTTATTGCTGCAATTCTTGAAAGTGATATATATATATGTAGTCTATATACCTTCATATATTCATTTAACAAAATTTAGTCTTATTTTCTGAAAGATAATTTCCAAAATTACTGTCTCCAAATCAAATCCATTACACTGAATTACTGATATTTTTTCTGTTTGGTTTTTAATCCAAGCCTGCTTCAGTTCAATGCAAGACTTTCTTAACTGCCTTCTGTTTACTTATTGTATAATAATATAAGTGTAATGTCTTTGTTCTGTTATATTTTGGTTTTCTTGTTTCAATACTTTACGCATTTGTTATCTGCATTGTATATTGATCTTTAAAATCAAACATTGTTGAATTGTCATTTGTTGAAAATGTTAGAATAAAAAAAATTTAGTACATGATTCAGTATTGATTTTTTGTTATAATAAGTAACGCATTTTATCAGTTTAAACATACAATGTACATGTATTCCTTTTTACTTCAATTAAGGAGTAACATTGAAACTTATCTTGTAACAATCTCAAGAATGTTCCCTGGAAAATTCCCAGTACAAGCATCACAAGAGAAAACTGTACAAATAAAGGCTTATAGCAACACTCTCTGGACTGTGAGCCACATTTATTAATCTCACCTTTATCATGCAAGATATCAAATTTAAAATAGTGAAAATTTCTATCCACAAAAGAACAGTCTTGCGAAATGGATGACCAGTGGTCAGTTGATACACATATTCAAATTTCTTACAAATGTATTATAATGGAGCAACTACTTATTCAGACTGGAGGGCAGGCTAACCTTTCTTTCAGTTTACAAAGGCCAGTCATACCAGAACTCCAACAAGGAAAAAAAGCTTCAGAACATCAAGAAAACAACAAGAACAACAACAAGAACCTCGTCAATATCTTGGAAATCATCATATACAACCTCGTTGGTTGAATAATCTTTATGCAAAAGAAGGAAATCAAGGTTTGTCATCATCAGACGACACTGGCTTGGCATATCGCCAAAATACAAAACAAGGGCAGACAACTTTCTACAAAAAGAAACACAGAAGAAAGACACCAACTCATCATCAGGGTGATGCCAGTCTATCAAAATACCTCGGTCATAAACGACAAATGTTCAATAATCAGGAACTACAAAATCTAAGTTCTGATGATGACAATACAGAGACGTTTGATGAATTTGCAGACGACAGGCCATATATAGTGTTAAGGTAGATTCTCCAACCATTGATGCAGAAAGGCTGAAATTTCTGATAAGCTATTAAGTTTGGCTATAAATAAGCAAGTTGACAAACTTAGTAATAAAGTATGAATTGTTATTTTGAATAAATTGTGCCTCCTGACTTCCTCTGCTGACAAAAAGAATTGGAAAGAATATCTAAAGGATTAAAACAAATAGACAATTGTAATAAAAAAAGTTCCACAGACTTTATGTGAAAGTGCAACACATATCAGAGTGCTTGATAAAATTCATTAGTAAAAATGAAATTAATAAACACTTAAGTTTCTGTGGTCACTTATCCTTACAAATATGATGACTAGATCTGTTCAAATTAAAGTGAGAGCTAAACTGATAGTAAAAAAGAACATTTCCTTACATTGGCAAGTACATGTACTTATTGCTGCAATTCTTGAAAGTGATATATATATATGTAGTCTATATACCTTCATATATTCATTTAACAAAATTTAGTCTTATTTTCTGAAAGATAATTTCCAAAATTACTGTCTTCATATCAAATACATTACACTGATTTACTGATATTTTTTCTATGTTTGGTTTTTAATCCAAAACTGCTTCAGTTCAATGCAAAACTTTCTTTACTGCCTTCTGTTTACTTATTGTAATAATATAATTATAAGTGTAATGTCTTTGTTCAGTTAAATTTTTATTTTCTTGTTTCAATTCTTTATGCATTTGTTATCTGTATTGTACATTGATCTTTAAAATCAAACATTGTTGAATTGTCATTTGTTGAAAATGTTAGAATAAAAAAATTTAGTACATGATTCAGTATTGATTTTTTCGTTATAATTAGTAACTCATACAATGTACATGCATTTATTTCCTTCAATTAAGGAGTAACATTGAAACTTATTTTGTAACAATCTCAGTAATGTTCCCTGGAAAATTCCCAGTACAAGCATCACAAGAGAAAACTGTAGAAATAAAGGCTTATAGCAACACTCTCTGGACTGTGAGCCACATTTATTAATCTCACCTTTATCATGCAAGATATCAAATTTAAAATAGTGAAAATTTCTATCCACAAAAGAACAGTCTTGCGAAATGGATGACCAGTGGTCAGTTGATACACATATTCAAATTTCTTACAAATGTATTATAATGGAGCAACTACTTATTCAGACTGGAGGGCAGGCTAACCTTTCTTTCAGTTTACAAAGGCCAGTCACTACTGGTGCTAGGGGGGATAAAATGTAAACTGTACGTTACCTCAACCAATTGTCCGTCCTTGTACCATTTCACCTTGGCCTTGTTATCATTAACAAAGCATTCAAGCATGCCTTCCTTCTTTGTCTGAATACCATATTTAGCTGGTAAATTCTGCTGGAAGAAATACTCCGGAGGCTTCTCTGTAACGAGTGAGGAAAAAAATTCTAGTACTATAGTTGAACCCTATTTTATTATTGATTGACTTAATAATTATTGCTGTTATATCAGCTTGACAAAGATGATAATGATCTATATCCAAAATAAAACAATTTTAAACATTACTATGGTACAGATTTATGATGGTAGTGGGTAGCGGCATTTGTAACAGACCTTCGTATAAGGTTGACTGCTGTAATTGTCGAAAAGATACTGCAGAATATGGAGCATCAACAGCCTACCTTTACCTAAACATATATAAAAGTAACATGAATATAATGATAATAAAATATGTAACTTTAAAACCTAAGGTATACTATGAAATACCTTCAACATATAACCAAGCGTCCGTTTTGAGTGGAACTTTTCCGCACTCTAAGATGTAGCGAGCATTGTCGTCGAGTTTTATGTTCCTGATTGTACATTTGTACTCGTCATCAATAACCTCAAAATGATACTTCTCCCCCTGGAATATCTCCAGTTTATTCTTGTACCAGCGGTACTGTGCGTCCGGTTTACAGAACCTAGCGGAGAACACGACTTCCTCGATTCCTTCACGTACTTTGCGGTCTTCAAGTTCAGTGATCCATTTCTCTGGCATCTATTTTATAAACAAACCAAAATAAAAACTAAGTTTAGAATCCATTTGGTTGAAGCAATTTATTCAAAAACAGAAATTTGTGTGGAAGGGAATCGTACATGGTCGGTGTTAATCAAATTAAACTTATATGCATCAGCCATGAAAGAAAAGTTATGTTAATTTTCAGTATCTTACCTTAACTTTTTTTTAATAAGCAATGGAATTAGGAAAGACAGAAATGAAAGTGTAACATAACTCATAACTTGACAATGATTAGTAAATTAATACTTATAATTGAGCCGCATCACGACAAAACCAACATAGTGCGTTTGTGACCAGCATGGATCCAGACCAGCCTCCGCCTCCGCGCAGTCTGATCAGGATTCATGCTGTTCGCTATCAGTTTCTCTACTTGTAAGAGTTGGTAAGCGAACAGCATGGATCCTGATCAGACTGCGCGGATGCCCAGGCTGGTCTGGATCCATACTGGTCGCAAACACACTATGTTGGTTTTGTCGTGACGTGGCTCACTTAAATAATTCTTGTTTAAAGTAAATAAATATTTCAACAAAGAATAGACACATATAATTAGTTTAGATTAGATTTCATGTTTCACTTTTACCCAATGCATTCATCAAAGCAATACATTATTTGTTTGAAATACAACATGAGAATCTGTATCATCAACAAAGATGATTTTTGTTTTTAACTTTCAAATTTCAAAATCTTTGAGAATGCATTAGGCGGTTTTATGCAATAAATATGGCCACATTAAATAATAACTTTAAAACTGGGGAGATAATTATATAGTAACTGTTATTCAGTTAGTTCCCTTTTCGTCAACTGTACTTGTGCCCATATTTACTGTTACAACATCATTTAATTTCCTTTAGTTTACAACATAGAAATTATTTATAATCATTATTTAAACAATAATCAATTTGTTCAATTAAAACAATAAAAAAATAAAGAATTTTCTAAACTAATACCTCTATATTCAAGCTTGTTTTATCTACTATTTGTGCGGCTAATCTATATATAGTAACAAGCTATTGAGAGAAGTTGTATATCAAACTCTGAACATTTAACCCTTAACCGGCTAAATTTGTTAAATGGATTGATGCAGCTTTAATGTTTGGGACTTAGTTCATTATCAATTTTGATGAATTCAATTTCTCTCAATGTCTCTATTTATCTAGTCTAACAATGAATATAATATATTATATATATACCATATTTATTCAAATACATGAACTAATAATCTACTAAGAAGTTTAAAAAACAAAACAACAATTTCTTTGATTTTTTTATCAGGATTGCTTGACCTTGATGATCTTGTAGGACTTCATAACTATGCCAGTGTAAAAATATCTTACTAATGTTAAAACAAATTATTTGACAGATGTGGCTGATGTTGAAAGAATAAAATTTGATAATCCAATCTATATATAGACACAATGCCTATATTTAGATTTAGAAAGTGTTATATTTAGAACACATAATCTATTTTTAGAACATATATGGTACATAAAGAGCAATACTAAAGCAAGCATGCAGCAATATTCACCTTACAAAATACATTTAAACAAGACTTATGACATACTTATACTGTTTACTTACAAGACAATGTTACATATTCATCAAAATGCAATTATATTTACACAATTCTTCAAAATCCATGAAAATGCAGTTAAAAATTACACAAACAAACTAATACATTACAACATAATTATATAGTACCCTGTGAAATGGAAGTGTCAATTAAAATATCTAATTGAAATATTTTCCTTTCCAGACAGTGTATTCAGTAAAGTTGCCACCAATAAGCACTGACCAAACAATATCTAACATGCTTTTCTCTTTAAACACCCCTGTCCGTCTCTGTATTGCAATAAACAGCTACTACTAAGCTCTTTCTGAGGTCATCTTCTGTTGCCATGGAGACAGCTCCTCTGCATCTTAATAAGCTAGCTGCTTTAACTTCTTTAATTCCTTTATTAAAGATTAATTGACACTATGTACAAACTTACAAAATACTGGATGATACAAAATCAGTACAGGCTAATTGTCAATGAGTTGAAATCTGTAAAAATGCTTGTAATCTGCTTAATAAAATAAGGAAAAACTTTAAAAAGAAAAATATTTTCCTCAAAATGCAAATTTGAAGCTTTTCTGAACAGTATTCAGGACTTTTTTCTTTCCAAGACTTGATTATCTTCAGTGTCAATTAAGCTTTATAAAATCAAAGAGATTTATTAAAAGTGTTAGCTTATTTCCAGCTAGTATTATATATTGGGCTTATGAGTTACCAGTATCTTGTTTTTAATACTGGCCTAATATTGGCCTAATATGAATGAAAGTCAATGTAATGTCATAATTTGATAATTTAACATCCTAGTTTACACAATTGAAATGACTCGAAAGTGTCTGTCATAATCTTTGTTGACATTAGACCAATATCTTAATACTAGCTGGTTTGTTAAAAATTTCATATCAACAACAGAAAACAACAATAATCACAAATGCAAAAATGAGGATATCAAAAAAAATGAACCACTTTTAAGACAAAGCAACAAAGGAAGTGTTGGTTGTTAAAAACACCAAACAAAGCAATGACATAAAGCAACGTAAGTATACGACAATAATTTGACTGAAACAGTTTTCATGTGGATATTATACGACTGGCTATGATTTTGTTTCACGAGACGGTTCACATTTATCCACAACATGGTCTTATATACCTCGACCTCTTTTTCTGCATGTTTGAGTGCTGGCCAATCCGGAATGGCCTCTACCAATGACATTCTTCGACCTTGCATAGACGCACGTCTTTGTTGTTGTTGAGCATCAATGGCTTCCAATTTTTCGGCGGTTAATGTTTTTTTGGGAATGACGTCAAGCTTATTTGATTCATCTATTGATTGACGTCTGCTACCACTCTGAGAGTTATTTTAAAAAATGGAAGAGAAAATGTAAGTTTTCAAAAACAATGGAATTGTTTTACTTAACAGCGCAGAATTCAAAACAAATTTTTAGACAAAATGCAAATTTTGCGAATCTCATTCAAGTAAAAAAAGGAACGCATACCAAACATTTGATTTTGCGGGCAGCGTAAAAGTCAGTTCAAGCCATGAAAATGAAAAATGATGATGGTTTTTATTTAGGTTTAAAGAGTCTGCACTGTGTTTCATTTAAAGCTGTCATGTTTAGTATTAACATCTTTATAAATCATGTACTTATACTAGTTTAGTAGTTTTACTCTTTAGTAATAGTAAATGCCCATTGCAGCAGAGAGGTATCCAAAAAATTCTATAAACATGTATTGACCTTTAATAAAATCAAATTTACAAGAAATGAAGAAATGAAAATAACAAAGTTTACTGAAACATGTTAAATATTTCTATATCATGCCAATGTAAGTATTATTACTGGTAATTATCAATTTAAAATGAACAAGACAATTATTATCTTATATATAGTAAAACAGGATAATGAAATAATTGATTGACTGTGAGCAACATGATAAAATTCTGGATAATACATAGAGGATATTCAAGTTTTTTCTATAAATACATGATTTATTTTCATCGAGTGGTATGAAAATAAATATTTCATGAGTGGCGGTAGCCACGAGTGAAATATGGTAATTTTCATGCCACAAGATGAAAATAAATCATGTATTTATAGAAAAAACTTGAATTTTCTGTTTATTATATACATTTTTCTCTTTTTTTTGCAATAAAATTTGAAAGACTTTCCCTTAAATTTTGTGTACTGGCAGAATTTAAAAGAAAGTAGTCCGGCGAGACACCAGTGAAAATACGGAAAATATGTTTCACTGCAGTGAAAAATAAATTTTTACAGTGAAAATACGGAAAATGAAAATATGCATTTTATTTCATCAATATTTCTCAATATTTCATATATAAGTATATAATACATTATCATATTTATTTATTATCATAATTTTTGTAGACAAATGAGATGAATAATGTATCATGAAAAATGCAAAGTCCCAAGTCATAAATCCTGTTTTACCATATACCACAATGCATTTCTGTTTAATTACCTCCATGTTATTTCAACAAAAATTTGTTAACAATAACTAGCATTAAATTTTAATCAATGTTTAAAAAAAATGTAAATTTAAAGTTTTAATACATTTCTTGATTAATCATAAATAATAAAATAAATCAGAAAAAATCAGGACAACTTAAATGAAAAACAGATTGCAGGTCTCACATATGATAACAAAATGTAATGATAATAATGTACAGATCAACAAACATGTGACAAAATGTAATGATAATAATGTACATTAACAAACATGTGACAAAATGTAATGATAATAATGTACATAAACAAACATGTGACAAAATGGAGATATGTTAATACAATGATATAATTATTTATGGTGATGAACAAGTGGAATTTTGTTAACATAATTATATGAAAAAGAAATATCTCATACTTTAAAAGTTACCAGTGTTCTGCATGGGTTTAAGATAACAGAAAAAAATGTCCCATAATTAACACCATACTTTTAACAAATTCATAATCCCATTAGACGGATGTTGGAAGTAAATACGACAGAACAATTCTGTTGAAATATTGGACATTATAAATAGCTGAAAATGGGAAATTTAAAGCTTCGAATATCAATAAAATCTTGACAGAACACTGATATTTATAAATTTGACTCAGGGTAGAAGCTGGGCAACACATAAAACTTTTAAAAGGATTGAAAAATCAGTTTTAGCATAAAGTCATTTTAATATGAAAGTTTAATAAATATAACTTTGTAGGTGATAAATAAATTTCATTTTAAATAACATTCTAGTCTAGAGCTGCACACTGGAAACATCACTTCACAGCAGAGCCAATCTAAAGTTCTAGCAAATCTAGATATTTCTATTCCTTTACCATCAAATTAAAACCAAAACAAAACTTTACAAATCCATAAAACCTATCTAAACACTCAATGATTATCTAACCAATTCCTGTACAAGTTCATAATTCCTTTCGAATATAAACCAATCAAAAACCTCTTTACTATTCTTTTACAGATCTAAACCAATCACAGCACATTTATGATTCAAATCTAGCCAATCATATAGAATCTCTTAGCCAATCACAGCAAGTTTTATTTCTATACCGAGAACCTGCCTCTTTTCCTGCCTCTCTATGTTTAAGCTGAACTTTAAATGGAGATTCTTCAGACTGACCACTAACTTTGCGCTGTTTTTTGACCCCACTCTTGCACCTAATCTCCATATTTTCATAGCTTTCTTCTAGAGGATAAGTCCTCGAGCCCCTACGACTGAGGGGATGCTCAATATCAACAGAAGGGGTCCGAGACCTTAATGCCACAGATTCAGGCAAAGAAACACTTGACTCTGATACATTTGATCCCCTCCGTGAGCTTGGCTCAGACTCTTTATCCCTCTCAGACTTACAGAGAAAAAATAATAAACCTTTTATCAAATATCTTAAGAAATGATAACACTGTTCTTTAAATAACAACTTACAGAAAAATAGGAAATATCACAGTAACATCCATCTATATCAAAAGATCAAAATTTTCTGAATTTGAAATATATCCTATGTTACCAACTCCTATAATTACAAAAAGCTTAAAAAATATGCTCAGCAATTTTTATTAGAATGAACATTATTATGATGAGCAGTTAATATAAAAAGTTCCTCATACAAAATTACATCCATCTGATGCTTGGCAATCACAATATATAAAATATACACACAGGTATAAACAAATCAAGCAGCAAAATACATAGCCGCTGATTAGATACACGTGATTTTTATAGCATCTTTACATAATTATGTAAGTAAAGTATTCTGAAAACAAGTTAACCATTCACATAAATAAAATTGCTTAAATATTACTCAACACACTTTAACAGTTCTAAAAGAATCATTTTTTGTTGACATTAGCACATAAATAATACAAAGTGGAGTTTTTAGAAAGTAAATTTACTTGTTTAATTGGTATGCTATATGATTTAATTGGCATAATAAATGATTTTTTTATAGTTATAGGTAAAATAAAAAATTGGCATTATAATTGACTTAATTGGCATAGAATATGACTAATTGGTATATTGTGATTTAATTGGTATGACAATTAATTAATTATGGAGTCAACATTTAAACGTACCCTTTCATCTTCACTGTCAGACTCGACTTTCTTCAGTGCCATCTTTGTCATCTCAATTTGCGACATACGACGTTTCTGCTCAACTGAAACAAACATCAAATATATTTAAGTAATTTCAGTGAAAAAGATTGAAATAAAATTCTTTCACAAAGTTTTCTTCAGCAACTTATTTTGAACTGTTAAAAATTTGTGCAAAAATTAAATTTTTAATTGCATTAGTAATTATGTTAAGTAGCGCATTTTGCTTAATTTATATCAATCAATTACCATAAGCAGCATTTAGTATAATACTTTAAAAATTGCGCTTTTTTTGTTTCGCAGAGAATTAAAATTATGTAAGCTAGTTATTTTCAATAGATTATTTTGTTTATAGCAGCAATTGAACATGTCGCATCGCACTGAAGAATGGTGTTTAGGAACAAGAATGTCATTACAGTACAAACTCACTCATCTATATATCATTCTATATAACAGTGTAACAGAACACAGTTATGTCAAAATAAGATGTAAATCAGGCACATTTTTAACATAATCCATTTACCATAATCATTTTTTAATGCCAAAATAATGACTTGTGGTTTTATTTCCCTATTGCAAAATCAAATCATAAAATTCAAAACCAAAGAAAATTGAAAACTGAATTAGAAATTTATAAAAAATATTGAAAATGTTTCCATTCATTCAAGTTTTTGAAATGCCACACATCTGTTTTGTTGGTATGTTTTTTTTTTTCTTCATATTTTGCATATTTTAGAAATACATTGTGTTTTTATATTATTTATATTAAAAAAAAAAAAAAAAAAAAAAAAAAAAAAAAAAACTCAATTTAATAAATATGCTAAATTAAAACTACTTTGTTGCCTATGAGAGGTTGAGTGATTTTGTACATGACATGATGTCTAATACCTACCTATGCCGGCTAGCTAACTAATATGCACAAGCTAAAATGCAATCTAATTTATATATATATACATGTATATATATCATTTTATATGTATCTAAGGTTAATCTTTACTCAAAGAGTTACAGAAATTTTAATGTCCACACTACTATATATTATATTTCTATGGAAAATAAAAAAAATAATCTCATTTACATTGCCAGGAATTCTGCACAAAAACTTAAAAGTTTACTAGAAGCCTTTCCTAGCAGGAACTGCTCAAAAGTAAAACAAAGATCTAAAAAAGCCATTCTGATTTTTAACTTATTTCAAATCAAACATTCATGTTTTTCAAAATGTTCTGTAAAGCCATTTAAGCTAAACAGTGTTTATACTTGAAAAGAACGTAATGGGCATAAAATTGTTTTGTTTTCTTTTAGTTTTTTTTTCATATAAAAAAATAAGTAAAAAAAAAAAAGAAAAGAAAAAAAAGAATATGAATTTTGTAAGTCTAGATTTAATCATTCAAGATTTTTATTCCTTCAAAAAAAAAAGGTTGTTTGACTCGGTCTACTACAAATGGGTGGGACAATATAATTACCAGCTAGCGCTTGCTTTTATCATAAATAATACACAGACTAAACAATATGTCACTAATTGGAAAATATCAATTTAATACTTATTAACATCCTAAATTAGAATTTGAAATCTCCCAAACCTGAGATATTCATTCCCAATTTGTTTATGATATAAACATTTGTCTCTTTCTTGCAATACTTTTATTTTCATTTCTCAAAAAGCCCTCATATGCATAGCTATGCATACAATTTGTGAACTATTTTATTACAATTTTTCAATAAAAAGATAAAATATATTTTCCAATTAGTTCTTAAATCACTACAAACGGCTGTACAATACATGATCAAGGAAACTTCATTTCCCAAATTCATAGTTCTAATGCTGTGTAACATTTTAAAGTATTCCATACAATGTAAATGTAGTATTCATATGTATATGAAACTGGTTACTATAATCAAAAGCTGTAATTATATGGAACCAGAGGGATATGATTATGCTGTAATTATATAACCCCAGAGAGATATGATATTGCTGTAGTAACATGAACCCAGACAGATATGAATCTGCTGTAGTTATATAAACCCAGAGAGATATGATACTGCTGTAGTTATATAAACACAGAAAGAGATATGATACTGCTGTAGTTATATAAACTCAGAAAGAGATAATTATGATATTGCTGTAGTAATATAAACCCAGAAAGAGATATGATACTGCTGAAGTAATATTAACCCAGAAAAAGTTGATACTGTCGTAGTTATATAAACTCATAGAGATATGATACTGCTGTAGTAACATAAATCAAGAAAGATATATGATACTGCTGTAGTAATATAAACCCAAAAAGAGATATGGTACTGCTGTAGTAATTAAAACCCAGAAAGATTTGATACAGTTGTAGTAATATAAACCGAGAGAGATATGATACTGCTGTAATATGTTCACAATGATAAAAATCTTGAAACAAAGTGATCTAAGACATTTCAGCATTGTAACAAATGATGCTTCTTGCAAAATGAAGTTTCCTTGAGTGTTAATTTAGACAAGATGTAAGCTACGCAAACTGCCCAATATTTTAACTCATTGATGAACGTACTGGGAGCAGGCTCTTCTGAAACATAACATAGTTAACAACATATGAAATATACAGAAAAAAACATTAATATATATACGCAGCTCATATAATATATTTACAAATAAAAGCAAACAAGAATTGCAGTAAAATAGACAGATACTCCCTGATGTCACTTAGACACATCTATAAATATCATTTACTAACCATAAAGAAAAGAAGAAAAAATAAAATTTGTAACTTTTACTTCACTTTGCCCCAGATGACCTCAAACCCCAATGAAGTAATTTACCAATCAACTTACTTTGTAAGATATCAGTGAAGGTGCAATGAGAAATAGTAATAATAAAAAATGTCTGATAGAGAAACTAACAACTATATACGTCCTAGCAATTGCGATCAGGAAAGGTAAATTATGGAAGGAATTTTACCAGTATCCTTACTCTTTTTAGCCATCAACTTGTCACACTTGTAATATAACTTTTTTGAACAGATTCTACACTGAGTTTGCAAATCAAGGATTTTCTTCATTAATTTGCTAAATAGGTAGCAGATTTTTTAAGGATATTAAACAGTCAGGAGGCAAGTGCAAAATAAAAAACTGAACATCATAGAATTAATTTAATTTATGCCAGAGAACTTAAGTAGTCATCCCATGGGAGTAGGTACCCAATGGGAGAATTTATCCTTTTTCTTTGTTATCCCATGGGGTTTTTTAACCAAAATAATGGTAAAGAAAATCCTTATGTTTTGCAAGTTAAATCTAAAAGCTGTTCTGTAATCATTTCAGTGTTACCTGTATCCTTGAGTATACACCATGTGTATATACTCCCATATATATATATGAGATGTTAACTTTACATGATTCGAGTTTTTCAGACTTAATGTAAGACATATGATCAATATGATTGACATTGCTTCATTTTTATCATTTACAAGCTTAAAGCGGTTTTTAATAGGTTTAGATAAAGTTTTAGAAAACAATATAAAAGGGTGAAGAAAAACAAAAAGGTAAACTGATGGGACACTTTTAACAAAACATGACACTTAGAAAAGATTGTGAAAGAGTGACGGATTGAGGAATTGAAAAGAAACATTGATAAAAGGTACCAAAACATTTGAGGACAAAACAAAACAGTGCTGGTAGGACCAGAACCAATAATCCATGCAGGAAACATTAAAGTAAGTAAGTTGGGATAAGATGAAACAATGAAAGTTTACAAAACAATACATAAAATATTTTTTGCCCACTTGTTTCAAATAGAAACTTACAATGAGGAGAGATACCTCTTTGCAAGCCATTTTAATAGAATTACTCATATGGTCTTGCCAAGGAGTTTATCAATAATTAAAATGCTGCATCCAATAGACCTTACCATCCTTGGGGGGAAAAGTTAAAATGGCTGTGAATTAAGAGTAATATTGAGTGTGAGTGGCTGAAAGTGGCTGAGAGTGGCTGAAAGTCACTGGAAGAGGCTGATGATGGCACATACAGCGGAACTTTGGGTGACTAGATGTACATACCTCGCTTATCTTTCTTTACATGTTTTAATTCAACTTTTTCAATCTTGGTAACCTGTGGCACTAACATTTGTAGCAAATCAAGTTACTAGGTGTTCATATACAAAGATTTATTTTACCATGTTGATATTTATCATATAAGAATAAGACAAGAAATTTAACACTTGAATACACAGAGGGGTACGATATCAAAACAAAAAGAATAAACAAAGGTTAAGAATTGAAGCAAAGATTCAGAACTCATCTTGTGTTTGTTTGGCACATTGTATAAAGCTCGCTGCTCTTGTACTCAGCAAATTTAAAGCAGGCAGGAAAATTTAGTTATTAATAAATTCAAAATATGGAATTAAAATTGTTTATACATTTATCTAAAAATATAAATTCATAACTTTGAATCAAACTTAAATTGTATTTTTTCTTTTTTGATAAGAAAAATCTCAAAAAATCACTACCACTCACATTTTTTATATCATTTTCTTTCACAATTTTCTTTAATCATAATGACACTTTCAAAGGTTGGAAATTTCAAAGTTTTTATTGCTGGAGTTTATATGTGATGGCAGTGACATTTAAGAGATTATTATACAAGTTAAAAAATAAAACATACCTGGTTTTAGCATTCCCCAATCAATATCTTCATCATCACCTCCTTTCTTCTTTCCCTCCCTTAAAACAAATCAAAGTATAACAAATGAAGGGGAAATTCCAAAAAAGTAAAAGTTCCAATGCTTTATCTATTATCCAAATCACAAATTAGCAGCACAGATCCTATTAATATTCATAATTTCCTGAAAACAAAACAAAACAAAATCATACATCTCAATATAAAATAATAAAAACAAACATGTTTCTACAATTTGGACATCATTAAAAACACACACACAAAAAATAGAAAAAAATCTTTAAACTTAAGCTTACTGGGATTACACCTGCAGAAAGTAACCAAAAAGTATCTTTTTATAGGTATTTGTATTTTTCTCGAGTTTTCGTTCTCTAAATAAAACAAACTTGTTCAAGGCTAATCAAATAATTGAGAACAAAACAGTTTTAAGGTGAACCTTCACATTTGCTCGTTAAGATATTTCTTAGAAATTTACAATGATTCAAAGTCTCTAAACTTTATTTTTAGTGCATACAACAGAGCAGTAGTGCAAGTATAGCAGCTGGTAGAATGAAAAATTTCTATTACGATAAAAGAACACATTTGAATATGACTAAATACCTTAATTAGATTATTAAACAGTAAAAGGCTAACACTTATTTATTGGTTTCATTACAAGAAAGAAAGCCTAAAAAATTAATAAAAGATGTGCAGAACTACCTTAAAATTGATTCCAGTAACAGATTTTCACACATGAAAATCATTAAGTAGAAATACTGTGATGTTTATGTTGTAAATATTGATAAGTTTGTGTTGATAAATTAACGAATTGGAAAGAGTACACTAAGTCTTTAACAGTGGGGATAGTTCTGCCTTAATATGTAGTGGGGGTCATATGGTGACCCTCCAGCTTTACTGGTTGAGGATTTAAGTCCCAGGTGCTTCTTCATGGACTATTTCAACCACAAGCAGGCACATTAGTAGAACCACCTATGTTCTGTAAACCAGTTAACTTTTATAGGGGGGAGGGGAGGGTAGTGAAATATATAAATATTTTACATATATTTAATGTACAACATCAACAATTTTAAGGTGACAATATCTTACATAACATTTAATACATGTTACATTGAAAATAACTATAGTAAGTTGCAAATAAATGAAAATATGTGCAAAACTGAAGAATCATTTATGCTTTAAAGGACACTTCAATGCTATTATTATTTTGCAATTTAATAAAAAATATATCTACATGTAATTTTAATGCTAATAAAGTCAATATAGTCTACAATTTCCATGCTAACTTCACTTCTATTTTAACACCATTGGTTTCTACAGTTCATTGCAGCATATTAAATGGCTATAATTATATATTAAAAAAATGAAAAATTAAGAAAAGATTTACAAATACATGTTTTGTAGTTTTCTTTGTATCAAAGATTCCTTCAACCAAACTTTGGGTCCAACTGTTAAGAAGGTTTTGCACAAACTAACGTAAAGTGTCCTTCCAAGCATCAAATGATTTTACAGTAAAAGAAATCAATTAAGAACTTTGTACATGATGGTATACATACATTAAGATAGAGAAAAGATTATATGTGAATGTCAAGCAATATGGAGATTTTTTCACAACCATCTAAAGTGTTGATTTCTTAAGAAGTTGTCATATAAATATTCCAGAAGCCATAAGGCAAAGATAAAACATTTTTAGGCCAAAGAATTACAATGTATAGCAATATATAAATATATGAGCTGTGTCTGGCAATCTTGGTCTTTGAAGTCTAAAACTATAATATCCTTGTGGTCTAAATATCCCTGAGATATAAACTATCCTTGAGGTCTAAAATAAATATCCTTAAGGTTTAAAATAAAATGAGGTCTAAAACAATTTCTGTTTTTGAAGCATCACTTTGATGAACCAGCATGTATTACATGTACTAATGAACTGGTACTTAAAATATATTGATCAGATGATCTGCAAGGGTAGGTTCAAATTTTATGACACTTTCACATCATAAACAAATCAAAAATGATCATCACGCTCAAATTAAGGTGTTGATTTATGTCATCATTAAACCAATATTTTTTCTGTTTCGATCAGCAAGGACCAAAATAGCTACACACATCTGATATATAACATTACAATGACAATATATTATTTAAGATCATCATGCCTTCATGAACTGATACCTGTAGCCTCGTCTGCAAAAACAAATTGCTTAACTTTTATTCAGTGGAATAACATAATTTTGCTTTAATTTCAATCTTGAGCTGTACCATTATTGTAAATCTAATTATCACTCTTAATGGCAATTCTATGTTATACATTATAACATTATTTTGATTACACATACAGTTAGATGGTATCAGAAGGTTTAAATTGTAAATTCTTACATCAAATGTTAAAGCCAATAATTTGCACTTTTTTCAAAGACTTACAATGAAGTGATTTTAAGCATCTGTAATAAAACTATTGTTAAACAAATTAAATGGCAGATTAATGGCATCTGTGCAAAGTGATGCATGATTTATTATTCTTGGTAATTATTTATGTTGCAAACAGATGAACAGAAATGAGCAGATGAAATATTCAGTTGTTTAATACGCATGCCTACAGTTTAGAACCCAGGTGGGTTTTTTTTAATAAAAGATGAATACCTTCCTTTGAGTATATTTCAAACAATTATTGTAAATTATCTCTTGGAAGAGTAAAACAAAACACAGTTTGTTTGATTAGATCAACACTAAAAAAATTAACTTACACAGCAAAATAATTTTAACTCACACACTTAAATATACTAAGATTCAACAACAGCAAACATACCTGTGTTTAAGAAGGGACCTGAAGTCCATTGCTTGATCTTTAGGATCTGTAAAAGGATAAATTTTTGTTTAACAGTTTGCCTCATAAGAAGGCCTAAACAGGTTTCTTTTAACTAGGACATGTGCATGTTTTCTTAAATGGCCATAATTCAGGAAAAGTGTTTACTAATAAATTGGATAAAACTTGATTTGGTAATGATCTGTTTGAAAATAAGGCAAAAAATTAACTGATGTTGACTTCACATTGGGAAACATATTATTCATTTGACCTTAAGTAATTTGGGACAAACAATTGGCATTTAAGCATTAGTGCATAAAAGATCATCTTTAAAAAAGGCCTGAAATGTTTGTTTGGTCATGATTCTACTTCTAAGCTAACATGATCATTCATTTTGAAAGATAAAAAAAAAGCAGTGTAAGTTTATCTACCTTTAATAAAGACACTCCAAACAACTTTGTCAACAACGACGCCTTCCTGCTCAACTGTTAGAGAGTATTTTGCCTCGTCTGTGAATCTTGTCTTCTGCACTTGTAGCAAGGCTTGGTTGTCACGTAAACCAAAATTGGTGCGAGAGTCTTCACGGATCTCACGTCCAGCTCTCCAGAACTTGATAGACGGTGGTGGCAAGTCTGGTACTATGTCCAATGGGATCTTCATTCTTAGGGGATCACCTAGACACAAGTAATATATAAATGCCGTGAAAATCTTTAAAATATGATAAACAAGATCAACAAGGAAAGGCGGCGTTCAATGAACACAACTGTTTAATACACATGTATTTAAACTATCAACTCCTGTTCCAAAAAAATTAGACTTCTTCAAATTGTGTGAATTCTTTAGAACAGAAAAAAAAATCACAAAGACCTACCTTCTATGATACTCTGGTTTGTAGGTTTATCCTTGATCTTGTGAGTCGGTCCATCAATCTTAGCTTTCTCTGGTTCCTTGTGTTTGACCACTGAAATACGACGACCTTCTCCGTGCTGTCAAAATATACCATTGTAATAATGCTTTTTATTTGTCCTATATCGTTAAACACCCTACATCAGCAGGTGATTGTGTCAGTGATGTAGTTTTTTTTATCTTTTTGTTTACGTTACCTATCTTTTGCTTACAATTATATACTTTGTTATAAATTACTTCTTTAATCATATGAAATTGTTCTCTTCCACTTTTTCATCAAAACTAAACCAAAGTCAAAAAGATTGATTAAATTGAAGCATTAAAGTACAAAAAACAATTTTTTTCCTAGTAAATCAAGATAAATAAACCGAAATTTGAAAAAGGAAAATATTAAAACATTAGGAACACAATAAAGAAAATATCATTTGTAAAGCCAAAGATTGTGTTGGATTCTTGGGAAATAGCCAAAGGTGTAAACAAATGAAACCCACAGTGAAGGGAGTGAGAGGTAAGAACTTTGATAACATTTACATATAAAAACTAGATAAAAAGTGTAAAACAGGAATATAAAAAGTTAACTTGGGAAAGTATTGACCAATCACAATCAAAGGTAATGGTGAACATGACAATTTTGCTGAAATAGAATGATTTAGCTATATATTATATTCAATAAACAAATAAGACCATGTGAAAGAAAACATATGAATAATCTATATTAACATTTCTTTTGCATTGTTTTTTTTTTCTTGAACTACATTAAAGTTGCTATGAGATAATTTGATAAATATGACTGTACATGTGTAAATCAGCTGGAACAAGTCTGCTTTAATATTTTTTCAAAACAAATTTAAATCAGTATCTTTTATGACTCGAAATAGACAACTATTCAACTGGACCTTCATTTCTTTAACATGGTCTTGCAAAATGATAATAATATTGTTTAAGATGATACATTGAAATAGCATGTTTTATGGTGTTACATTGCGTGTCATAAAATAAAGTTAAAGGCCAGCAGTTTTCTATAGTGTATTAATTTAACATTAAAATTTTCAATAAGCTATTCTACATATAATAAATGAAAATAATAATCCTGTAATAAAAATAGATGTTAATGACAGCCAAATTAAACATGTATCATAGAAAAATAGATTTAAACATCTATAAAGCCAAAGCAGAATTTCAAAAACGTTGGACAGACGAGACAACATTGGAATAAGTATAACAAATTGCTGTACAATGTTTGATAGCTTTTATGAAATGAATGCCTAAATGAATGCCTGAAAAAAAAATGTTCCTAATCAATGCCATGTTATGATTATAATTATCATCACTGATTAACATGTAGATTCTATACCTTTTGCTTACCAATAAAAATTTACAACACTACATCACAACTGGAAAAAGTAGTTCGCAAAAAAGGTAGTTAATAAAAAAAATAGTTCTTGAAAAATAAAATCCATAATAATATAAAGTCAGATGAAGATGAAGTGATAAAACTAATGTTCATTTGCTGAAATTATTTTTATGAACAAAGCTCTAGTTAAAAAGTGTGATATTATATAATATAATATATTAATATTGGCATCACTGGACAATACAATCATATATGTCAATCTGAAACTGACTTATTTATATCTCAGACATATTTCTTCATCATGCAGAACAGATACAAATTACAGATTAATACCCCAAAAATCACCACAGGTACAAGAATGTGACTCATGTATCAAAAGAATGTAACTTCAGATGGCATTTTAGCATTTAATGAAGAGTGTTGAAAGATTCAGACAAGGTGTAGACATAAAACTCATGATGACCATTACAAGAACTTAACATTATGTTGTATAAAATTCTAAATATGCTTCACATTAACTGAAGAAGAAAAGTGTTACCTGAAATCGTTTCTTAGTAAACGCTTAAAATTAGTAAAGTATTTGAAGAAATATTAAAAGAAATATTTTATAGTTTGTTAAAAGAAATCATATTGAGATTAAATTCAATACACTGTTTGCATGTCAGCACTGTACATTTAAATTTGTGTTATAATCATTCTTGTAGCTTACTATTTAAATTTGTTTATTTTTATAACATGACTGTATGATACCCCTCAATGTATGCATTCCTATAAGTAAGAATTAATCTAGTTAAGTATTGAAACAAATTTTTATTTTTCATTTTTTATAGAAGAAAGTCTACACCAAGTCCCTCTTCCTAACACATAGGTTGTTAAGGCAGCATGTGTTATTAAATCCAAGCAGATTTTACATATTTTTTGGCTGAAGGAAAAACAACAAGAATACCTTCTTTTCTGACACTTCCAGCACAGTTTTCTTAACTAATTCATCCTCCTATATAAACATATAGACAATCACATATCACAAAATCAAATCATAATAAAATCATAAAACACTTTCATGAAAGGAAATAAAAAAAAAACAAATCAAGCTTTCAAAGAAAATAAGTAAAACAAAAAAAATCTACTCTACTGTCAACAGACAAGATGAAATTAAATCACAAAATATTCAAGGTACATGGACACACTTTATTTTGTTTTTGTCTTTGTGAAAATAACAACTTATTTTTTAGATAATTTTCCCTTGAAGTTTGAAACCAACTGTCATTATTTTTTATCAGATTATCAAAATGGACTGGAATTACATGAGTAAATTTTTCATGAATAATTATTTAAAAAGATGGAGGACAATTTTGTAATGTTTTCAACCAATTTTTTTTTTGGCAACAGGTAGTCTAATTATAATATATTTAAGTGCTCAATAGTCCATATACCTTACAGCATCTAAACTACAAATGAAAATAACTTCATCTAAAAGAAATTTGAAATATCTATTCACTGTTTTCACGCAAAATAAAAAAAATAATATACAATACAGAAGACCAAAGATAATTTACAAACATACATTTATATTGAGGAATTTGTTACATTATAACAGTGAAAGACATTTATGGAAAACGTGGAACTCGATTCTAAGAAAATGTCAAACTTAGCTCTGTAAGTTTTACAATAAGTTAACTGCAACAATATCTATAAATTTAACATTTTGTTAGCATGTTACTTGTTGAAATATTTCCTGAAGATAACGGGTTACAATGCAAGGGGGTTTATATGTATCTCTCATGTAAAAAACGCAATAAATATGCACGCATACACATTAACATGTCGTATAACACAAACAGTACATATATGCGCAAATGCTTAAAAAACGCTATGTTGCTTGCTTGCAATCCTAAAATCGCAGCGCTATATCAGAATATGTCCTAAGCAGGCAAAATATTCACATTTGAGCCGTGTCACAACAAAACCAACATAGTGCGTTTGCGACCAGCATGGATCCAGACCAGCCTGCGCATCCACGCAGTCTGATCAGGATCCATGCTGTTCGCTATCAGTTTCTCTACTTGTAAAAGAGTTGGTAAGCGAACAGCATGGATCCTGATCAGACTGAGCGGATGCGCAGGCTGGTCTGGATCCATGCTGGTCGCAAACGCATTACGTTGGTTTTGTCATGACGCGGCACATTTCTGAAAAATCATATTGTTCAAACTGAATACTCTTCAAAAAAAGAGAGAAGAATATTTTGAAGTACAAATGACAACTGTCTATTATAATATTAGACAGTTTGATGCAATTTTAATTTACAACAGAAAATGTCAAAATATTCAGCACTCTACTAGTAAAATCAAACTATTTTCAGTACAATGAAAATAATCTCCAAATGCATTATCTAACAATGGAATTATCAGGATTCAACTGTTTAATGTCTCTTTGTATATTTTTGTATCTTAATTTCATGACAGTTCTGGTTTTGATCCTTGCTGTCACACTCTGGTTCTGTCCGAAAGAAGTTGCATAGTAACTGACACACCACATCTTACAGTAAACTTTGAAGGGACAGTAAAATAAAATTAAGACATAAATTAAGAATACAAATATCAAAAGACTCAAGGAGGATACTTTAGGTATAACTTTCCAGCTTTTCTTTGAGAATATAATTTAGGAGGAAATACTTTAAAAACAAAAGGATAGTTTAATGAGTGTACAAATTCAGATTTAGGTTTGCCTGTATTTTCAAACATTAGACAAAATATGATAACTAAATCAGCTTAACTTTAAATTATGTTGTTAACATGACTTGTTCACACAATGTAGATGATCAGTGACTTGATTTAAGTAACATAAAAATAAATTGTGGATGGGGGCGGGCATAGATTTTGATTAACTGGCAACTGTATGGATACAACTATAATGATTACATATAATATTATGTGAAAAAGAGAGGAAAGACGACAAAAACAGTATGAATCCTGATGTTTCCATGTAGGTCTGGACTAATTTTCCAACCTCATCAAAATAAATATAATCATCATCATCACTATCATCAGTTGGTTTTAGTGCCTGCAAAATTAAATCATATTTCTGTTTTTTTTACAATGTATAGACAATAAATAATATAGACCACAACCATCACGATTTATTATTACAAAACTCATTAAAATGTGATAATTCGAATTCTGTTTTCATCAAAATCTCATTTCTTAATCTGACTCAAAGTTTATGTTACAAAGCTCTTGATCCATTAATAAAACATTGTTATATAAGAGACATAACAAACAACAAAATATTTTAATACCAATTAATGGTTGTAAAATGCATGATTAGAAATATTGTATTAAAATGACATCACATCATTGTAAATGAAACTAAATCATTAGTCGACATGAAACACGATGGGGGAAAATTATAGTAACACTAGAATTAGAGTTTAAGATAAGACTATACAGTTAAAATGATGAAAATTATTTCAGCAGTGTTTTCTTGACATCATTTTGTGTAGCCGCCAGCCGCTTGTAGCTGTTAATATTCGTTTACACGGCATATTATGCTGCACTTTACACATATGCGAAATTGTTTGCAGTAGATGCAGTGCGTTCAACATGTTAACATTATTATGTAGTTTTGAGAATGTAGCGAGCAGCAAAACTGGTGATTTAAGAAGCAGAGAATGATTTAAGCAGTTTTCACTGACAAAAAACGTCAGCAGCAAGTGGAGGGTGGGGGGTTAAAAGATAAGCCATATTGCCAAACATAAAATATTGCTCTAATCTAAAGTATAAAAATTCAGGGGCACTTCAGAATAAATTCCTAATGAATATTCCAAAGAAATGAATAAAACTTTTCAAACGAACAATTCCGTTACATACCTCGCCAAGTTCTGATAAACTCTCTGTTTGTAAAAATATAAAAAATCACCCATTAGAAACATTTAGTATATAATATATAAAAATATTGTGTACATACCTCAGTGAGTTCTTTCAACATTTCTGTTTTTGTAACCATGGAAATAAAGAAAAAAGAAAAACAATATTAAATCAATTATAAAGAGAGAAAACTTAAGAAAAAGGGAAGTAAAACTGAAAATCATTTAAAGAAAACAAAAAGTATGTGTCTAAAAAAAATAACCCAAGGAATAATTTAATGGAGAAATATATAAAAAAATTAAAGCAGATAGAAAATAAATATATTTTTGCAAAGTTGATATTATAAAAAGGAGGGAAAACATGAAATACAACAGTACAATATGATTTTATCAAACTTTAACATGAACATACTGTATAATTATATTAGTTCCAATTTAGAAAATTCTAGAGAAACTCCTGTTTCCACTTAACAAAACAATGATTTTTCAAAAGAAGGAATGTTATAAATTTACTCAAAGCATTGAACTGAAAGACCTAGCTGCCTATAATGATAATGTGGATATCATAAGAAGGTATGCACAATAAAGGTAATTTTGCAAATGACATAAATAGATATGAATAGACTTTTATATTGAATAACATTAATTAAGTAAATATGCATAAAGCTTTAAGAAAGCACATTTTGAAGTAGTTGTTGTTTAGTTCGTCAGTGACACTGTTTTACAGGCCGAGGAAGACATTGAATGCCCTACAAACACCAGTGTAAACCTAAATAGAACCATTAACTTATAGACTGGCATGTGTAAAAACTTACAAGTCCCTGCAGGAGGGAGTAAAACTTTAAGCATAGCAATAGGCAAGCCAATGACCTTCACCACTCATAAGCAATAAATTATATATATTGACATAGATTCCATGAAGCAGTATAAATAAAAATGGATTAAAATTTTGAAAGAATATTATTATCAAGTCAGAATAATTGTATATTACTACTAAGAAAGAAATATATCACCCCTTAAATAGAAACAAAACCTAAAGATATATTTCAAGAAAGAAAGATTACAAAATGGATATTATAAATTAAAGGGATGAAAACATCATATAATTAAGAAAGAATGAATGAATAAAAGAATAAAAAAGAAAAAAGTTAAATAAAATAAGTTACAGACGAAATTCGATATTTGATAAGGAAAAAGAGAGAAAAGCCGCTTAAAACTCAGTTGACAAATACATTAAAAGTTCTGTAAAGGAAAAATATAAATATATTAAGTACCAGAATTAAGAATGTCTTAACATTGAATATATAACAGCTTCCTGTCATCATGTACAAAATTTGAATAAATTCATCCAATAATCCAACACCCTAATAAAATCATATAAATCAATTGACATTACCAAAATATGCTTTAATATTCTTATACATGTACTGATAAAAGACATACCAGTTGATATTTATTAAGCTCATTTTACATCTTAATAAAGAATAAGAAATATCTTACATAACAAGTCGTTTGTTTTCAATAGGAAACTAATTTTTTTCAGTAATGTATCTTCAAGTTTCTAAAACTGAGTTACTCATTTTGCTAAATATGTCAATTAAACATATGTCAACAATGTCAAAATTGTGTGGGTTTTTTTTACATTTAAAGAATAGTCAAAGTAATTCTAAACAGCAAAACCATGCAGACAATTCATGCTTTTTCAGAAATTCAAGGGAATGAACTCCAGAATTTATTTTCATATTTTCAGACCTTAAATTCCCTCCCTTTACATGAAAGGAAAGTTATACAATGGTTTAAATGAAAAAAAGCAGGAAGCATTTTAACATAATAACCAACATAATATGACATGAGCTTTATACAGAAGAGTATTTTAGAAAGCAAAATTTCCATACATACCGTCAGTTTGTGGTGTCGGGGACATTCCACGACTTTCTTTGCCACTGATGTCACTCTCACTGTCATCGATGATGTCATCTTGAGAAATAGTCAGAGTTCATCACACACACGCACACAGAGAAAATTTTTGTCAGTTACTATGGATACTGCAGTTTTACCTAATTACCATACCCCTCAATATCATCATCATCTTATCCCCTCCCTTGCTGCAACACCCACCCCCTCCATCAGCCTAGCATCTAGAATCTTTTCTCTAGCCCCACCCATTTTTACGTTTTACATGTGTCTAAGATTGTCACACTTTATCTGATAAAAACATGAATTAATGAATTATCTTCTAAATAAAGATCATTCAGACAAACTAATAAAAGCATAATTCAGACAAAAAAGGAAAAGAGTCATTAAAATAGAATATCTATACTATCACAGTATGATTATTTCACAGTTCTTTCACTGTAAACCTGTCAGTACCTGTTCTTCACAAACATGTACCAGGGTTCCCAAAGTTGTCTAATACACCTTGTTCTTTGTGAATCACTGATTCCAGTAATTGAATTAAGGGCACTTTCCACTATTTTTAAGGGCAGGTGAAATTGAAATAATAATATAATTTGCTCTTTCAATTTTAGTTTTCTCTAACCTCATAGTTTCCCTTTACAGAATTCTTAACTTTTAGTCATTATATATGATATAGAAGAATTTGTTCAAACTGCAGTTATCCATGTACACCAACATATTATGATGGCAAAGCAATGAAAGAATTCCAACAGAAACTACCTGTCTATAATTCTGTTAAACAATCCTATAATAATGTCACAGTCCTGTTTAAAATGAACTAATAGATACTGATATTTCCTGATGGATTCTTTTATCACAGCCATCATAAAATCCATCAAGAAAAATGTAAGGAATCTTTTTATTTTAAATCCTCAAAGTCACTTGATGATTGCCTTATCAGCTGGACTGGTCCAGTGACCTTCCAAAAATATTTCAATTTTACAAAATAAACTCTTGTTACTTTGAACTTTTATTACAAGAAAGTTAAATTGTACCAAATTTATAAAATGTTTCCTTAAATTCTATTTCTTACATTACTTTCAGAAATATCTATTCAATTAAATCTTAGCAATTCCTCAATTAAAATAAAGCCATTGGGGCTATTAAAACGAGCCTGCCAAGCTATGAAATTCTATGAAGTCTTAATCCCTTTTCATTAAAAGCCCTAAATGCATCTTTAGTTTAATCATTTTATTTACTTAATTAAAATTAATTAAAATGTTAAAAAGGTTAAAATAGTGAGTTTCGTTACCATGTGCTATTACATTACAAATGGTACATATTGATTTGGTGAGTATAACATTTACTATATGTATTTATATTACCACTTTTACATTACATTGATTAACTTGTACAACACTGACATTATAGTTAATTTAGCAGTTATTATATAAAGATATACTGTATCATTCAGGAACTTCGAGGGCGTAATCTAAAAAGCTTTCGGTTAATATGCCTATGAATGAATGAACAATCTACAATTTTAAATTTGATAATTTGATGTGTATCTATATTTAGGAAGTTCTCTACATGATGGGGGTGTCCTAATTTTTATAGATAATGGGGATTCCTAAGCATCTAAAAAGCAGGAAAACTTGAACTTTAAAAGTGAATTTTATTGCGTAAGTTTGGACTGCATTATTATACTCTATTTGCCACTTCTACTGGTAACTGACTTTAAGCTTTCAATTAACAACAGTTGCCTAGCAACATTTATACTGACTAAAAGGTGAAGGTCATATCTAAGGAAGGCCACAGGAACATTAAAATCCCGCATAGAAAAAGTTAATGCCAAATACATGTATAAAATAAAAATAATTTTTGTTAAATTTGATTTTAATGAAAAGGAAACAAAATCAAAAAAAAAAATTTAAGTAAAATTTTGTTTATCTATGCAGGATCAGACATCAATATATAGCTCACAAATATACGGAACATGCATTTATAACCAACATTATTGAAATATCTTTAATCAAAGAGAATAAGAAAGTTTGTTTAAAAACCACTTTAAAATATTTCTTGTCATTTTTCTTTTCTTATTTTTTTAAGTAAAATTATTTGCTATCGCAAAATCAATTGACGTTTTTAAAAATTGTTTTGTCATTTAATAAAATGTTGGTTATATTTTATATGGATAATAAAAGCTTACCTTCTTCAACGATGATTGAAGGTTTCTTCATGTAAAACTTTGGTTTACGATTGTCCAATTTATTTTTAGAGTTCCCTGTTAATTAACATGTCACACTAATATGGTTACTACAAGAACACATCTATGTAATATATATGTACAAACCCCATTTATATGATAAAACAGTGTTAACCACTGGTCACCGAGTCATGATACTTTTCCTGAAAACATTCTTACCAATGTTCTAAAACTTAACATTATAAAACACACTTAAACCAAAGCACACCCTTTTGCTAAAGTAGCTCACTCAGTAAATAATACAGCACTTCAACACCATAAAAATCTTAGGTCAAGGCATTAAACATTTCTTCAAAATTCACAACAATCAAAGGCAGGCAAAAAATTTACTCCAAACTTAATGGGTTAAAAAAAGAAAATCACCAATTTTTGATGTTCCATTTAAGTAAACTGTAAAATATGTCATGTCAAATAAAATCATGATTTATGAAAAAAAGCTAGCATTCCATACAACCAAAGCTGAAAATGAAGTTAATGAAAGAAAGCAAGAAAACAGTGTTTAGAAGCAGTGAGTATGCACCAGTCCGGCCCAATCAAAATCTGTTTGTCTGTATACCTGTATGGGAAGTATCATCATCTCCAACAACTATGGAGGGTGTCTGCGATTCTTTACGTTTTGGGGGAGCTGGGGAAGGGCTCCTGGATAATTTCTGTTTGCTTTCAGGCTTTGGGGAAGGTTCTTTTACAGTTTTTGAATCAACCTTAATCTCAGGTTTTTTCTTTTCAGGTTCTTTCTCTTTGGGTTTTTCTGGCTCCTTTGGGGCCTTTTCGTCCTTTTTCTCTGCTTTGGGTTCTACTTTTTTAGGAGCAGGTTCTTTTGGCTTCTTGTCTATGAAGTGTTAGCATAATTAAATCAAAAAGAACTAAATTTCTAAAACTATATAAACTAAATAATGATTAAAAATAAAAATAATTACGATAATGCAGAGATAACACTGACATTTTTCTTTAAGAACAACATCTTCACAAGTAGTAAAAACAAATATTCATGATTTTCACCCTCCAATTTTTTTTTAAACCTTTGTTATTGTAACTACTAGTTGAAAATTATTTAAATAAGTGTTTCTGTCCAAGAAATTACTTGTTTTTAAAACAAAACTTGGTTAACTTGACCTTTTGACTGAAGTTATTAGATACCAGACTTTAATATCCATTGTACATGTTTATAACCAATGATTTATTTTGATTTCATTATAATAATGTTTTATGAAAACTGCTAAATAAGAATATAACTTCTTGTGAAAATGATGCTTTAAAAAACTAAACTCTAAAGACAGAGGCATTCAAAATATGAACTAAAATAGAGGAAAGAAATAAAGCAAATATAAAAATTAAAGAACAAAGAGACATTATATTGTTCAGCTGATTTGCAAAGGTAATTATTATACGCATTCCTTCACTCATCCAATAAGAGTCAGAATATTTATCTTGTTTATCATATTATTATAACAAAATTGTTATTATAACATAATTATATAACATTATAAGATATGAATTTCATCTAAAAGGAACCAGAACAAACCAGCTGGGAAATATATAGAAATAAATACATGTATATAGAAAATGACTACTCAAACAAACCAAAGGTTCTATACCTAACACCTAGAATGTTCTTGTTCCTAGAATGCATTCTGTAGAAATAAATCTTGCTTCATGCTAAATGGTTTGCTCAATAATTGCTCTTTACAAAATAAAATCAAAATGACTGATAACTGAGAATAAGGGTATACATTTATAGCCATATCTAATTCTTTCCATCCATTGTTACATACTCTAAACTAAAATATAATGCACTTCACTCATATAATATAACATATATATCTGGGATTTATTATAGACCATTGATATGAAAAATTGTCTCTATAATATAAAGCTATAACTTACATGTATTTTAACACAAAACTTTAACACAAAAACTTGGAGTCATGCTCTCCATGATTCATATTGGTTTTTTCCGATTTTAACTTAACTATATATAAGTGAAAATCTGGCTATTTCCCTTATGATTTTTTTTTATTTATTGCAATATCCAAAGGTACATAGTATTGGCGTCAAGTAAATGTAAGTTAGGTAACTCTATTTTAAAGACAATTTAAGTCATGCACAAGTTGTCTACCTTTCTCATCTTGAGGTTTAGATTCTGCTGGTTTAGCTTCTTTCTTTTCCTGGAAAATTAAAATCAGACATAATTTCAAGTTACAATAAAAATCTGTTTAATTAATATTAAAAATTTATATATGCAAATGAGATATTCAGAATAGTTGTCTATTGTTTTCTTGTAGTGTATTATGACAGTGACATATTTGTAAGTATACATCTTGCGGAGTTAAAATTAGGATGCAAGTATAGTCGATGTCTTGTATGTCAGTAGTTATTATATAGTATTCTGGTGGCATATGCTGCACAGGTAACCGTTAGCAAAAGCTTACAAAGGAACTAACTTCACTATGATTTGTTTAGACAGTCCGGTAATTAAACCTGCTGTAAAAAAATAGATAGGTGAAATTACTTATTTATATACATGTATATTCATTCAGACATTAAATTTTCATCATTTTTTTGATATCATAATATATAAATAATGCAAGACTTACAATCTTTTCTTCTGGTTCTGTAACCTTCAACTTGGGTTTTTCTGTAATTAAAACAAAAAGCATTTGCTGAAACACTGTTATTTTGTGGTAATATCACCTTTGCTATTGTTTTACAAATGTGCCATTATAAAAAATTAAATAAAAATTATAATATAAGTAATAAAGTATTTTTCACCTGTGCATGCAGTTTGGAAAATTGCACATAATAATCATATATAGATTTCTTTGAAGAGTAATAAACAATATATAAAAGAATTTGTATTGTCAGCAATATTTCTGTTTTTGTTTTACAGAAATATGAAAGCTTGAGAATCATATAATTCACCTATAGTACTAGTGGTATAATTATACAGTGTTATAACTGTTGCTGTACCTGAGTAGATATATATCAGGACAGGTAAGTACTTCCTGTTGTATCTGATACATACATCAAATACTTCTCCCACCTATACTCCCCCCTCCCCCCATCTTTCAACATTGTATGATATAACCTGCGTTAATATGCGGCAGTTGAACACTAGGTAATATATACTGTAACATGCTGAAACAGTTACCTTTCAAATAAATAAGTTCTAGTAAAATATGACCTATTAAACTATCACCTCAATAAAACAATTTATCTTATTTCATAAAATTTTATACAATATAAGATGTTATAAGATGTTATTTATGTGCATTTTATATCCCTAAATACAATATATTATGAACTTGATAAGGAAAACTTCATGCATTTTAGTGCTGAGAATTCTTAACTGAGATATTTATATAATGACCAATAATAAAATATGTGAAAACATTATATATCTAAAGTGTGACTGTGAAACAAGTTTTTACATCTTAAATTAATTTTTTTTCGTTTTAAATTGATTATAAAGCTTGAGATGCCATTACTTCAACAAATGCTCCCCTTTTTGGGATGCTCCCCTAATTGGGATATGTTTTACATTACACCACTTTTATTTTATATTAGTGTTTATAGTGCATGTATGTTACACGACAGGTGATACAATGTTTAAAGCATTGACATATAACTATAGCAGTGTACACAATACTTTACACGTTGCTGACATATAAATTTACAACACATTTTCTACCAACATAAACAACAAGATGTAACAAGTTAAGTATTTATGTCATTAAAACCTCATTATTTGAGAAGGTTCCATTAGAAGATATAGAAATGGTTTTGAAATAAAGTGAGGTGGTACAAAAAACTTAACCAAGCTCAATACACTTTCTAAGTCAAAAAAGGGCCATAATTCTGTCAAAAACCTTGACAGAGTTATGTACTCTTGTCTGTAGATGGAGGTTATGATGGTGAACAAGTATGGTAAGTTTCAAAGCCATACTTGTAATACTTCTGAAATAAAGTGGGGTGGTACGAAAAACTTAACCAAGGTGTGACGCCAACGCTAACGCTAACGCCGACGCCGACGCCGGGGCGAGTAGGATAGCTCCCCTTTTCATAGAAAAGTCGAGCTAAAAAGTGATAAGAGATAATATTATGAATGTAATCGATCAGATAGAACAGTCTAATGTAAATGTAAAAGTTGATGAAATCTTTAACATTACAAAATAATTTCTGATGAAATTCTGATGAAAATGCAATGCAATAATCAAGGTGTGGTAAAATTGTATGAGTTAAAGAATAGTTTTCTTGCATGTAAGTCTTGATATTGCTTTATTCTGAGAAGTAGGTATAACTGAGAATTGCATTTTTTTGCATAAGTATCTTTTCTATTTGGATTTTCCATTTATTGTGAACAAAAAAACCTAGATACACGTAAGCATTTGAAAAATCTCATTGCAGTAGAGCAATTTGGATATGCAGATATTTTTATGGAAACTTGACAACAATTTTTAGATGTACAGAGGACATTTTACTAACAAACACTATTCTATAACACATGTAAGACACTTTAACTATCTGACACAAGGACAAGTTCACATGTATGCTTTTCTTTCATTAAAAGCCAAGCATTTCATTGGTCAACAACATTTATAATGTTTGCAGCATGCTGGACAATTATTTTGTCTGCATATAAAAAATAATTTGTGTAAGCAATAATAATAATTTTAAATATTAGGTTATATATGGGTCTTAATGACATAGATTTGGAAATGACATTAATGGATTCCAGGGACAACAATATGGAGAATTCGGTTTACAAGGTTGGTTTTATGGCCTGTCTTTCGGGTCTTGTTTAAATGGTAAAATATACAATATTTACAAACATTGAAAGCTTGCAATTAGAGCAACAATGACAAATTGCTAGTTTATATGAAAACCATTTAATTATCATTAATTATGTGAAATGGTCTCCAATTAAACAAGCAGCAATTTTGATATATTCAACAGCTCTATTATATACTTAAAAATGAAATATTGAAATATATTGATGAAATAAAATGCTTATTTTCATTTTCAATATTTTCACTGAATTTTTGCAGTGAAACATATTTTCTGTATTTTCACTGGTGTCTTGCCTGACTACCTTTTACTTAATTCAGCCAATACACAAAATTAAAGGAGAAGTCTTAAGAATTGTAAGGTCAGAAAAGAGAAAAAGTATATAATAAACAGAAAATTCAAGTTTTTTCTATAAATACAGGATTTATTTTCATCTTGTGATATGAAAATATCATATGTCATGGTAGCCACTCGTGAAATATTCATTTTCATACAACTTGATGACAATAAATCCTGTATTTATAGAAAAAACTTGAATATTATTTATGATACAAGATTAATACATTGCTGTGGTGGTTTTATAAACAGTAATGCTGTAACAGTGTGGCTATATGTACATGTATATAGTTGGTGTTATTATGATAAATACTGGTGCCCGGCAACTTTTTGTAATAGACATTATCCGGAACTCGGCAAATATGGGTTTTCCCAGCTAATCTGTAGGTACAAACTAACTTTAACTGTTATAGCTTCACGGTGCACTTGCAATAGTAGTCAACCTGTTTCGCTTATTTCCGAAGCTGTAACTGTAAAAAGTTTGTTTGTACCTACGGATTAGCTGGGAAAACCCCCAAATATTCTCAATTCCAGAGTAAGTCTATTCAGATTCTATCCCTCTATATTGTGCGTTTTACTTTGTTTGTTCTCTTCGAATAATAAATTTTCAGAAACATCCATTATCTTTTTAAATGTAATATTATTCAATAGTACACACTGAAAAAAACAACTCTTCAGCAATTTTTTTACAGACAAACAGACTAGATCAAAACCCAGGCACCAATAAATATCATAATTAAATAGCAGGCCTACATTTTAGTATGATAATATTATACTTCCTTACCCAATTTTTTATCTGTAAAATTATTACACAATATATAGTTGATATAAGAGAGATTTTCAACTGAAAAACACCTGTACATCCATACTGAGATAATTTACCTTCATCAGCAAACAATCACCCTGATTCCCGCCTCAAAGTCAAGGTTTTTACAGGTAAAAAAAATACATCTGACAAACTTCCAAACTATACATTAGAGTTATATCATTTTATAGGTTAATTGATTTATTTTCATCTTATGCTCACTTTAATAGAATCATACGCAATTAGGATAATATGTAACAGAAGAAAAAAAAAACATGAAAAATTCTAGAAAATGTTTAAAATCATAACAGAACATAACATATTGTTATTATGGTTATAAATGTAATCTATTAAAATAAGAAAACTTGACATTCACTACTTTTAAAAGAAGACATCTTTAACAATGTTTGGCTATTCAATGCATACAAAATTCAAAAATCTTTCTTATTAAAACCAAAATGATAAAAAAATGGAAGCAAAATGTGATTATAACTCTTCAATCCTAGTTCCTTTTTTCTGAATAAAATAAAGATGCTAGAATGTTTGATCAAGCTACAATAACCATAATGAAATCTTAAAACAACTTTCTGCAAGTTGTGTTAAAAAAAAGACAAAAAAATAACACATTTTGTTTGGTCAATTGGAATTTCATAATTCAAACAGAAAGTAAGTATCAACCAAACTCTGTATCAAATATTAAAACTAAGCAAAGAACAATGTTATATATACATGTATACGCACCTTTTACAGTAAGAGAAGCTGAGCATGCAGCTTTTCCGTGTTGATTTTTGGCCTCGACAGAGTAACTTCCGGCATCATCTTTAGTAGCAGACGTAATACTGAGTGTAGCTGTGTTGCTGGCAAATGTCACCTTGGCATTTTTGGTACCAGTGAATAGTTTACCTCCCTTAGTCCATTTGATTTGAATAGGATCTGTACCAGTGACCTTGGCCGACATTTCCACATTTTCTCCATCGTCTACTGTCTGTAATGTGGAACAAAATTCTCAAAATCAGAAAAATCAAAAGTTTTTATTAAACCTCAAGATCATTAAAACTAAACAATTCAAAAATTTACATAAAATCCGTTTAATTTCAGAAATTTTTTAATTTTAAGTTGACTGGCACCATTATACCGGAATTATTATTTTTTATACACCGCCAGTACTTATATGTGTTCAGGCAGACTCAAAAATAATTGATACAAGTTACAAAAACTTGTTTCACAACTGATGTTACTTAAATATGTATAAATTTAACATTGACTATAAATTTAATAATGAAAGTATGGTACATTTATACTTAGAGTAAATAATAAACCATCAATATTAATATCAACCAAAACAGCTAGTATTTACTATATTTTTTTCACCAATCTTACAAAGAAGATATTATTAATGAACCCAATGTATCTTGATAAATAAGATCTTCATAAAAAGTCTGTAACATTCAAAACTTCAAATACTAAAATACCTTTCAAGTTAAGAAATAAAATTAGAGTAATATGCCTTCCTGACAATTATCTTATGTATCAAGATGGTTTTATTCCAGACAAAATTTTAAGCAATTTCAAACTTTGAATTACCTTTATTCAATAAACAAAATACCTCTTATAAGATGTTAAATAAACATTTCATTTAGTTAATTTTGTTTTACCTGTGGCGCAAGTTTAGTTGTGAACTTAGGTGGATCCCCTCTTGCTGCAGCTATCAATTCTGTAAAATAATTCAAATATAATTCAATAATATGTTTACTGATCATTACAAGAATAATCTGAAAGAATTTCATAATTACCTATAAATTCTGAACAAGGTAGGTAACACCCCTATAGAATATTGGAAACAAAGCAATTAACCAAAATTGCAAACTTGGGATTACAACTGGATTTTAGCTACTATTTGAGCTAAGAGTTCATTCTGTATCTGAAACTATTGTTACAAGCTGAACAAAAATAATAGTTTCATTTACCATTCTTAGAATCATATAACAATGAATTAAAGTAAAATTAAAGCTTTACATTATACTTTACCTTTGATGTTTATTTTGGTTTCAGCATCTAATGTTCCATTTGGTGTTTTAACAGCTGTCTTGTACAATCCAGAGTCTTTGTCACTTGGCTGAAGAAATAATAAAGATTCTAAAATAGTAACTATCCAAATATTGGTTTCCAGCAATTTGACCAATATGAATACAAAAGTCAATAAAATTGATAAATATGTCAGCAGCATTTTTAGTACAATTTCTAGGTGAATCAACTCTGAATATATCAAAGAGTTAAAAAACATTTCAGAGGCAGATAATTCAAAAAGTAGAGTGGTGACACAAAACTTTTTGTTTTTATCAATTTGTTTCTATTACATTTCTCTTAAACAGAGCATTAGTATAAGATAGTAAGTCATCTGTGCTAGAATAATTTTTTTTGCCTCCTTACTCTCAGAACCGTATACATGAAAGTAACTAGGCATTGATAAATTTGATACCATAAATATATCCAGTTATTAAAGAGGCAATGAAATTTTGATTATTTAATGTCAATTAGCATCATGGGGTTCAGAAATGCATATATAATATTGTAAAGTGTAAGTCTTCCCTTACTATGAGCTATTTAACGCAGCCAATTGTATTTAACTCCATTCAAACTTTGTTTTCCTGGTTTTTATGCACATTATAACATATTTTTGATCAAATCAGCGGTATATCAATGCAACTAGCTTTCCCAGGTAATTAAACAGTCATCACCAATTTCCTCGCAAGTAACCAACTACCAACTCACATGATTTCTGAGTCAGCAGTGAGAGACAAATGTCCATAAGACTCAATGTTCAAGGGCAGTTGTCACTGAGAAATTGTGCCCGGCCTAGGATCGTACTAACAACCCCTGAATAACTGATGCTTTCCCTATTTAGCTAAGACAGCAGACGCCATTTAAACAAGTGCAGAGGAAAAGAAAAACTGAAATAAAAACTTACAGATTTACATTCCAGTAATATAGTAAACTCTTCTTTATCTGTCTTGCTAGGTTGTACGTTCAGAAAATATCTCCCTCCACTTTTAAGTGGTATTCCACCAAATGACCATAGGGCAGTGGGTTTCACGGCTGATTTTATTACAAATCTAATAGTCAACAATTGTCCATTATTTTCAAGTTTAACAATTGGTTTATCTTTGAGAACAGGTGCAGCACCAGCTGGCTTTTCTTCTTTCTTCTCAGCAGGTTTTTCTGCTGGCTTTTCTTCTTTTTTCTCGACTGGTTTTTCTGCTGGCTTTTCTTCTTTTTTCTCGACTGGTTTTTCTGCCGGCTTTTCTTCTTTTTTCTCAGCCAGTTTTTCAATTTGAGTTTCTTCTTTCTTTTCTTCTGGTTTAGGTTTAGCACTACAATTTACAGAAAGGAATTTACATTAATATATTTATGTTTAAAAACCTCTGTTATAATTTTCAAAAAGTTTAAATATCAAATAGAAAATTGTTCTGTTATGCTCATAATTATACTACTGAAAAAAGTTAGTAAACAAGACACGTTCCTTACCCAGCATCAAGATTTATAGTAATGCTAGCTGTTCCTTCTCCACTGTCATTCTTAGCAATAACTTTATATACACCACCATCTGCTTTTGTGAAATTCTATCAATATAAAAATATATCAAATATTATTGAAATATCGCATGTTTAATGGCAGCGAAACCTTGCACACTTCGACATGGAAAACTACTGTCTCTTACCATTAATTAAAGTTGATTGATACAATAAGTTGTCATTTCACTTGTCCTATAATTGTTATTCTTGATTTCTGACACATTCGACCTAGGCTCATATGATATAAAGTGACAATAACTGTAATATATTTTATATCAAGAACTTACAAGAATATCTAGATTGATGACATATTCTTCGCCAGTTCCTGACATTCGAGATTTGACTCTATTTGTTTCTGTAAGAGGTTGATTATCTTTGAACCAGGAAAGGTTGGGTTTCGGGCTGGCAGTACATTTGCACTCAATCAAAAGGTTCTTGCCAGCACCCTCCTGGGTGACTTTGGGCTTCTCCTTGAACACAGGTGGTTTGCCTGATGTCTTTCCAGCCTGGGCTCCTGTAAAACATCATCATTTATATTAAACATTGTGTAAGTTCAATAAAACTGTGTGCTCATCATGACCCATTAATAAATCTTATTCAGTAAATGAAAATGACTTTTAAGAAAGAAAAATTTGTCAGAAACACATAAAAAAAATCTTGAAAACTGGAGAGGTTTGAAAAAAAAGTAAAACATGCAAAATTTAAGATATCAAAAAAGAAATGTGTATAATAAAATATTAAAGGTGGTTTTTAGAGCTTGCATAATATAATTATATTATTGTATATAGATATAGGTAAAATAAAAGAGATTAAAGAAAATAAATATACAATACACATACCAAAGTGAAAACAGGTCAATAAAAATGACAAAGCAAGAGGAAATAAAAGAATAAGTTATGGAAAAAGGTGTGGGTAAATGAAAAAAATTGGCAAAGTGTGGTTAAAAAAATTAATTCAAATATGAACACAAAATCATAGAAAACAAAAATGAACTGCCAGGACAAAGTAAAGATAAAAAAAAAACTGTTGGCATTGTGACACTAAATAAAAGGTAAAGAAAACAGCAAACCAAATAAGCGAAACTTAAGTTGTTGTTTTCAACCAAATATGAAGGAAAACAAAGTTAAAGGAGCAAAAAATGAAATAATGAAAAATCAAATAATCGATTTGACTTCGGACATAACTAAATACTAAAATATCTCGATGATATAGAAATGATGAACTATTCTTATACACTTGTATTTTTATAATTTATATACATCTGGCATCATATCAAAGTAATTAATTCCTTTCACAACATGTTCAGGGTGGTCTCCTTTTCCTAGACTTTGAGTATTTAATTACCAGTCCTTGGATTATAAATTAATATTTTAAATGAAACACCCATAGGGCTGATTTTAATCATATGACTTTTATTACAGAAGATCCGAAACATATTTCTAGCATGCCTATTATTCCTATCTCTTATGTTCCTTATAATTCAAAATTAATGAAATACATGTAGTACAGAATCATGAGAAAAACAAAAAATATAATAAAATAATTAAATAAGATGTTAATTACAGTAACTTAAAATCATTGTAGGCTATGAAACTAAAATTTGAATTCTTCATTATTACGGAAGCAGTGTGCCTCAAATAATTCAGAATAAGTTTCAAAGTATAAGAAAGTGAGAGAAATAAACAAAAAACAAAATACACTTACAAGTAATACTTGTTCATAACATAATTTTACTACATAAAGCTATTTCTTTTAAGTTCTTTCAGAAATGATATGCAAGTAAAAAAATAAAATAATTCATAAAAGTGAGCAGTCAACTATATGTTTTTATTGTTTTATATGGTTATCATATGAGTAAGCGTGAGGTACAGGTTTGCTGTGACATGTTCAATGCTACACATACATGTATATATACATGTTTATACATATATAAAGTGATCATAACTACACTGCAGTGTGTGATCATAATTCTGACTTCTGAGTAGCTGAATAAAACATTTTCAAATTGGAAGCTGTAAGCATCAAAAATCAGAAATACGCAGCTTTTCCATCTCATCTGTCATTCTTTATCTTCCTTACAGAGTTGTCTCCCCTGAAATCATGTCCCCCATTTGCATTCTTTAAAATTCTGGGGCTTTTATTTTAATAATTTTAAGTGCTTTACACATTTAGATAAAAAATTTGGGATATTTAAAAAAAACTTGTTAAAGTTGTTGTTTTATTCAATATTTTATCAAAGCATACAATAAGGCAGTAGCCTTAATCAGAGAGAGAAAGTATATGTAAAGGGCAACAACTCTGTAAGGAGCTTGTAAGTTGGTATTACTCTATATATGACTTATTATATGAATTCATTAGTATTTCACCTCATTTTTAAGTCTTTACAGATATCACACAACATGATATAATTTATATCTCAAAAATCATGTACATGAATTGTGATAAATGAAATATATAACATGTTTATAATTATTGTTTCTATTTTCATTCTCAGATTTGTAGATGTACATGTAATTTGAAATTGACCAATGAAAAGTCATATAATAACCATATTGTCAATGTCCTTACCTGGTTTGGCCTTAGCTGCAAGATTACTGAAAACTTAACTTTCATGCAAAAAATGAGCACACTGAATGGAAATAAGTATCTCCATTCATATGTTTTAAATATGAATATTAGTGTTCATAACTGCCTGACTATCAGATCATCCTGATAGAAAATCAACTTAATCAACAAATCATGAAATGGCATGAAAAATGTACTTTTGGTTCCGTGTATCAATCTCAGATTGTAAACCAGTCTGACATTCCAATATTGATTTTGATAGGTTTTATATTACAGAAAAGATTTGAATTTAACCAACAGCAGAAAGTAGTCTCCAATCACACATTGGGCCTAATTTAGGACAGTAGTGTGAAGATAAGTGCCCTTTTGTGCAACCTTGGCAACAAAACTGAAAGATCTTGCCAATATCTAGCAACTTGCAAGCTTATATTGACTTTTACTTGAGGTTCAACTGAAATGTTAAGATATGTCATTGGCAATGTAAGAAATTCAAGAAAAGTGTTTTTTTCCAGACATTTTGTAATAAGAAGTTTTTACCTGAGAAGTTAAGGGTGATGTTAGCGTTAGATTCTCCATTTTCATTGGTTGCTGTACATTTATATGCCCCTCCATCTTCTGGTTTAGGGTCCTGAAATCATAAACACAAAATAATCAATATATGGAGGTAGAATATAAAATAACTACATAAAATATCTATAAGGTAGAATAAAAAAATTACTACATAAATATTACAACTTTTAAACTGACTTAGATATTGTACATGGAATTAAAAACTGAATTTTGTATATTAAAAACTGAAGATTTTTTTTAAAGAAAGATTTTTTCCACAAATAAAAGATAATTAACGTATCAATAAATTTAGACAAGATAAAATAATTTCTTAAGTGTCTCCTAATGATAAGTATTAATATTACATTATTTTATACAAAGTAAACTCACTTCATAAGTTTCATAAATTACTGGAAGAAATTTCAACATTTTTGTTGGCGTACTTCAACTGGCTTATCTTCAATTATTTACTTATTGTGACATTTATAAGGATTTTCCAATTTGCAACACTTCTATTATATGCCATAGTATGACATATGATTTCAATATTTTATCAAATGGGAAGAAGTCATTAATTTTGATGCACTTGTATATCCAATTAAGGTCAATTATAACAGCAAATCTGGAATTCCCTTAATACTACATGATTGTATATGGTTATCACATTTTATCCAGTGTGTTACATTAATTCTCATTATCATTGATAATAAATAAATCTCAGTATAGCCACACAGTTTTTTAACAACTCCTGTATTTTTTACTGAGAACTCTTTTAAATAAGCAAAATCACATCACCTTAAACACACATTATTTTGCTCTCTTTTTTTTAGGAAGTCAAAAACACATAATCACCATTATTTCAACACATGTATAAAATTTTACAAACTATTCCAAATTAATCTCATTAAAAAGAAAATCCATTTTTTTACACTAATATTTTAACACATTGGACAAGCCAAAATCAGCAACTATTTTATATTCTCACTATCTCCTATATCCATGATAACCCCTCACATCACCTGCTTCTAGAAATAACTGATACATCTAACTCTCAATTTCCATCAAGGTGCTTGATTAAATTAATAGGTGAAGCTTAGTAAGGTAGAGTAAACCAAACATACATATTTCACATTCTCCGTATAATCACATTTTTATTTTCATTCAAAAAAATTTTTTTTTTAACTTCTTAATATTACTACATCTTCAGAATGCTGAGATTCGTTTACAGCACTGTCTGATATGGTCTGTTGGCTTTTTATATTATCATGCCCCCTCTCTTATACAAAGGAGAGAATCAAAATATATCAGTTAAGAATGTAAATTACATGTGTAAATCAAAAACAAAGACCAAAACGTTTCCAAAAATTGAGAGTAAGTCAGTTAGATTACATGAAATGTGAGGCTGGTGCCAAGTTTTTTTACAAAAGCTATCTGCAAGAGCATCTGACTAATTGGATCCTCTGTTATTACAGGCTATCTCTAATCATATCTTGTACATTTATCTTGATGCCAGGTACCAGTATTGTTCCTTTGGTCTGCAATTGTTTTTGTTCAGGCCTGCACTCTGTTTTTGATGCATTATTGAACAGGAATTGATTCAAAGCAAACCGGCTTATGTAATCAGCTGGATGTAGAAGAGGAAATGCACTTTTATGTTGCATTATGGGATATAAATCAAAGAACCAGTTTAACCAATATGCCTTCAGGTTTAAAGCTTTATCATTGAACAATCATATCCCAGACAAGCTGGATTTGACTTAAAGAACAAAAGATGATATCATTGTTATTATACAAAAATAAGAAAAAGAGATGGAAATGCAGCTTTCTTTGAAAAACATTTTTCAAAAAACTTGTTTTAGCCATTGGCATCAGATAGAGGTGAGTGTATTGCAATACTCCATGTTTACAGTACTATATCTTTACCATCTTAACTTATTTCATAATATATAATAAACCATAAAGCAAAGAATATCTTTTATTCATAATGTTTCATGCACCTGTACTCTCTTTGCAAAGAGTTGGCCTAAATTTTAATGCTTATCAAAGTTGCTCAAAGACCTTGTTATAGAAATGTTGGCAAGTTTTGCTTTATTCAATATTCTAGAAAAATAAAAATCCAATTAGTTTATCCCAAGAACTGATATCGTATCTACAACTACTTTAATTATTACTTTACCATAACTTTATTGATGAGTTGCCCCATATTTATCAGGTGATAGCAGCCATCATAAAGCAATTAAGCCACAGACAAATTGTTGGCAAAATCAGGAGAAGTGACCATAAAGACTGTACTACACAAATTCATTCCACATTACATCAAGTGTTTTAATATTTCAATTATTTCTATGACCTGAGCTTGAGATATTAACCTGAAAATTGTTGCCAAGCAATGTATGAAGTATGATAATTAAGATTAACTGATCTAGATTTTACCTTAGAAATTATATAAAATATGTTACCAGTCCACCTTTAAACCATTAGAACTTAATGGAGAGAATTATGAGAATTACTGTAACTCAATTACATTTTTACCATAACTTGTTACTTACAGTAATATAATGATCTAACATTGAACTTTCTAATGAATTTATCCTTCATGTACTTTTACAGATGGTAACAAATTTGAATTAATTTTGTTAACCAGTAAAAGGATTTAAGAGTCTACAGACAATGGCACCAGATGAGACCAAGGTATAATATCATAATTACTGTACCCTGTGTTAATACCAATGGAGCAGAAGTACTACTGGGTCACTTTAACCCTGCTAAATTATAGGCATTTTTTTTTTTAATTTGCAAGATAATTTATTATTATTAATAATTCATTCTAGGTTTGACTCTCATTAAAAGAAAAGAGAAAACGTCATGTTGTCAAAAATTTGTAAGAGGAAATAGATCACTTAAATAAGTCACATATTTAAAGATTGTATAGATCAGTTAAATAAATAGTTGGTAATGAAATTATTGTTTCTTTATAATAAGTTGATATAAGTGTTAACCTTTAGAAGTTTGTTAGAAGCATTTGCAAGAGCTAAAGCATTTTTCAACCCAATTCTGATTAATGTATAATTATATAATGATAAATTCCCTTAACATTATATATTAAATCTATGCCTTTTTCAATCCATTTTTTATTTTCTATAAATAATTATGATAGAACATTAAGTTTGATTTAGTATCTTACATACATGTATGGTTTTCGAAATGTATGTGAAGGAAAAAACGATTTTGAAAAAGTAAAATAATTTTTTATATAAATATCTTATGAAGAACAGAGATAAACTTTTAATTTAGATAATCATCAGTTAAAATGCAAACCACTATGAAACAAAGATCTGTAATCAGCCCTATTACTGAAGTTGAATAACCCTTATAATATAAGAACTATCACCTGAAATACAATGATATATACTATACAAGAGAGCAGTTGAATGACCGTTATACACTGTATATATAATAAAAAATTTGGGGAAAAAAACAGGGCTATCATGACTTCTTCTTTCTAAACATTTCCAAGTAAATAAGGCCAATGACATAAAAAACATCTTTATCCAACCTGTGTTGAATTCTTCTCATCTTGACATAAGTGTTTACAAGAAAGGTGAATGGTACTTTAACATGTGTTTTCCATGTAATAACCACCTGATATAAGTAATTATGCTCCAAATATATAAAAACATCTTGGTCAGATGATTTTACAGAGTAACAAAAAAATAAATGTAGTACGGGAGTACAGATTATAAGAGAATCTTTACACTTGCTGCCTTTACAGAAAAGAACATTCTGCCCGAGGGTAACGGTGGTAATGAGGGTAACATAACGATAGTAACTGTGGTAATGATAGTAACTGTGGTAATGATAGTAAATGTGGTAATATGGGTAACTGTGGTAATGAGGGTAACTTTGGTAACAATGGCAACTGCAGTAACAAGGCTCAAGTTACTGTAACTTGCAACTTGTTTCAAGATATCAAATTAAGCATGTTACAATGGCATGAACAAAATAAAAACTCAACAATAGAATATGACATGATAAAACATTTAGTGAAATATTTTAATGGAACCATGGTCAAAATTTAGTTTTACTACGAAGGCCACACACAGTCACATGAAGTTGATAAGAATTAATTTTTTGGTCAATAACCTATATTATGACCATACAAATGAATCTTGATGAGTGCCGTGCCCAATTTCAGGTAAAAAGTCAAAGTTTAATGTTGTTTTTTAATTTAAATTTGCTCTTTTTAATCTGAAAATGTGCAGTTAACTATTATCTAGCACTTAGAAAAGTGGAGCACCGTGAAAGTGTGACTGTTCCTCAAACAACCCATATTCAGAAACAGACTGCAGCAATGGATTACGCAAGTATCAATCTAAACTAATTATCCCTGCCCTGGTTTTCTCTGGTTTGTACTGACAGAATAGTGTCTACCCTCCACCCTTTTAGCCACCTGGAAATAACTATATCATTTGTAGTAGCAATTTGTAACTTACATAACTCAACAAGCCATTTTGGAAGGTAAAAAATGTTATCCTGGCAAAAATTAGCCAAGAAAGATGGGAGTAATTATTTCTGGAATGCAATTTACATCAAAACACCCCCATTATTTCTGAAAGTGTGAATGAAACTTGGAATAAACTGCCAAGTGATTTTACTATTTTAAATCTCAAACACTCCAAAATAGTCTTATGTATAGACTTTATCACTAAGAAATCTAATAAATTCAACGAAATGCCAAACATTTCAATAAACTCAGTAAGAACCTATTTACCTTTGTTTTTGTTATTGTTTTTTTGGATTGTTTTTTGCTTTTACTTCTGTTTTAATTATGTTAAAACCATAAAACTATGTTTTGTATATTTGTTTGCTGAAGGCAAACTTTAATAAGTAAACTTAACTGTTTTTATTAATTAATTACGTAGACATTAATGAAATTTTATTGTAATTAAACCCAATATGCCAATCTGAAATCACTTATACTAAATACAAAATATAATTATTACATAATGAAACTGTTGAAAAGATGAATCATATTGAACTTAATGTAATAGTAAAAAACTAGATATTAACTAGCTGAATTTCTTAATTGGACCTCAGCCCAGCTTCCATTTTTGGGAATAACCATGACAAATATGAAGATTTCAAAATCAAAATTAAAAGTTAATTAGTCAGTAGAGTGAAGCCTGGTCCGACTACACTGATGTTAAAGCTGACCTGCAGTTCTATACTGGTTACTTTCAGTTCATACAAGGTAAACATGTGAAAATGTTGATGTTAAAGCTATAATCATAACAATTTTAACAATAGCATGAATAAGTGAAGTAATTTTTTTCCTTTAAAGGCACGTTATGCCTCTAATTTTTTATTCTTTAGAAAGGTCAAATAAGTGTTTAACAATGCTTTAATATATCATTATTCATGTTGGCTTAAGCAAGTTCAATGCCATCCTTGAATCAAAGTACTGAAAGTATTGATGAAAGGTGAATTTTGCAAGATTATTTATTATTACTTTTTATTTTTACCATTAAATCCTCACTTGAAAGATCATTTCCTAAGGGTAAAATCGGTTATATAAAATTCTTTAATGGTCAATCTGACCGAACTCTCAGTTACTCACTTTGTCATGCTATATGCTACTGTACTGATCAGAGGTGTGCCTTTTCATGCGAAAAAAATGATGTCTTTTAATATTGTTATGAAACGCCAAAAATCTTCAAATAGTATATAATTATATTTTTTTGGTTTTTGTTCTGATTCACCTAAGTGGTAGCTAACTGTTTTGTTATGCTTCATTGATATTGCTGTTGCTGGCATATGCAAGATGAAATGATGACATGTGGAGGCAATTTATCACCTTCCTAAAACTAAACATTATACATAGATAGATAACAAATTACTAAACATTCATATCATAAAATATTTTGAACGTAATTTAAAAGATACATGTTCCAAGCTTACAGAGTTTATACCACTCACAATTCAACTCAGGCTGTTTAGTTCATTTAAAATAAAAGTTTAAGTGGTTATATTTTCAAGTACCTGGTTTTATAATTATAGAGGGGCAAGGATTTTTGGCATCTCTTGATGAAATAAACGCTTCATTTAAACTGCAACAGAAACTGTCAGACTAAAAATAGAGCCAGCCTATCATTGTAGCACTTCACATGTCATATTACACTATCAGACACGGGTGCACGCAGATAGCGCCAAGTAAAGTTACTGTTCACGTGCACTAAAATACAATATACCTTCTCTCTCGTGCGCTTTCTCTCTCTCATGCTCTCAGATCATAAAAACCAGGTAAGTCAAAACTCTCATATCATTCATTTGAATTTAAACAAAGAAATATCAAAATATGTATCATCATCCGAGAGTCTGTTTTAAAGGCCTACGTTACAATCGCCACTGCGTGTTGTCGTAATAAAACTTTCAAATTCTTTGAAATAAAAAACATGTAAATCTAATTTACAAAATCTCTCAATGGAACTTCAATGGTTTTTTTTACTGTTGAATTTCATTACAGCTGATAAAATAAAAAATTCTGACAAATTTTATTTTAGCTAACAAGATTTAAAACAATTATTTGAAGTATCTACCAGGTCTAAATCAGTATGTTTATTTTTGGCACAAAAAATGAGAGAGAACGAAAATAACATAAAGTTTAAAAAAAAAATGTTATTTTAAGTTTTAAATAAAGAATGAATTTAAATTCTAGCCAACTTAATCTTATTGGCCATCAAGGTGCTCTGAATAAAATCCAATTTATAAATAAAACAGAAATGTTCATATGTTTAAATCTTAACTACAGCACTAGTGAATTTCAGAAATTTGAAGAATGCAATTATTATAAACTTTTTAACAGAACTAAATATATTTCAGTTATTTGATAGAATTAACAAATTACTACTTTAAAACTTTATTTACATTTATGAAATACTTTCTATTGTAAAAACCAATATTTTATTTACATTTATGAAATATTTACAACAATTTTAATCTAGTATAAATTACTTAGATAACAGCAACTTGCCAACATTTCTACATCATTTTGTTTTGTGATTGTTCCAGTGAGCTATAAACATTAATTTAAAGTCACCACCGGAAACCCATACCAGCCACTCACTCTTACATAGTAATTTCTTATTTTTCAAGGACAGTGAAACTAATGTAGAAAATACTCCATTCCTGAAGGAACAAATGGTTCTTTGAAATTCAAGGTGTGAAGTACCATTACCCACCATTTCATTATTTAAAGAACTGTTTTTTATATTTGTAGTTTGTGTTACAACATAAACACTGTGCTTCTTATTAATCACATTTGTCATTTAGGTCTTTTAAAGTTTGATTATGAAACAATTTTAAGAACTTTTACCAGCCACTATCAACATCTTATTCCTTATCATCAGTGGTGAATCCATGTCATCTTTGTCAAGAAAATATATGACTGGTACCATTTATACATCTTTACAATGACACTGCTGGGAATCTAGACTGCTTCCACTCCAGGCAACGTTCAACCACTAGGCTATCAAAGTGGTATCAAAATTTTCAAAGTAAACTGCTAGAAATACTCACCAACTTATTAAGAAATGAGGAAACTGGATTAAAAAAGTTTTGTCTATATTTAAAACAGACTATTTGTGACATGACTTTATATAAGAAAGCCCCAGTATCTTACCTTGATTTGTAGTATAGCAGTAAAACCCTCGGGTGTTTTAGCATCACTCTCTAGTTTGATGTTGTAGCGTCCTCCCTGTGACAGCTCCTGAGTTTCACGGAACCATTTGATTTGTGGCGCGGGTTTAGCTTCAAGGATACACGTCATAACTAGCTGGTTCGCCTGCTGCTTTATCGTTGGTTTCTGAAGGAAGTGAGGAGCTTTTCCTGTTGGTACCCTGTAAACAAAAACAATGGTTAAAATAAGTTATTGCTGGTTCCTGGTAAAATGTTAACAAATACATGAAGGACAATGTTCTTGTTGGTGTTGTTTAATCCGAAAGAAAACATTGGTGAAAATAATATATATGAATATCTTATTATGACCTTGTACAGAGTCACACCCATCTCTATATTGATACCATTCTGGCAAATGCAAGATAAAGATTAAAGGTGATTCCTCAAATTTAAAAAAAATTTACATTGAATTCAACAGGAAAACAGAATGGTGTCCTAAGTTGAAGATTCCTCTGCAAGTGGTCATCATATAGATAAATATGGGTTTACTTTAAACATTACATGTATGTATAGTAAGCTCAATTGTGAAGATAACTTGTAGCTTATTTGCACTAGTTTGCTTCCTGGAACTAGCTTTACCTGTACTCAGGTGTCTTAAGAGGAATCATTGCTGTGACCCCAGTAGGGTACAAACCGTGATTGCTGAGTTGAGAGGCAAATATTTTTAATCATAAGACCACTTCTTTCCTTTACATATGAGTTTAAAAAACTAATATTGGTACATTTAGTATTAGTAAGATGTGTCAATATAATAACACTATTTCAAATGTTATAAATTGACATTTTAATTCTAGTGTAATTTTCTAAATTCTTAAGATTTGACTTTGATCTATGTCTAGTTTATGGTCGTAGGTAATACTCTATTATGTCTAATTGAAGATTTTGTCAAAGGTAAGATGTGTTCAAGTATGGAACCTCTACATTATAGAATGGATGATGTTGTAGGCAAAGCTGTCTACAGAGAGACAGGCAGGACAAAAACAATAGGTCTCTATCAATCCATGTATAAAGTCAAAGAAAAAAATCTCCCCTGATACAGAAAATAATATTATAATATATCCAAAACCAATTTAAAACATGTACATCAAATTTCATTTATGATTTCAATTATTCCAAATTTTCAAATATATATAATTATGATTTACCTGTATTGTGTGTATGCATGGTTTTTTAGGGGAAAGGAAAAGTGAGTGCAACGGCATTATCAATGATCAACTGTTGAAAACACTAAGCCTTTCAAGTATCATACTACACTCTGCCTACATTATCAGCAACATTTAAACTTAAGTAAAAACTTTTCATTCTTATCAATTTACAAAGAACTGTGAAAACATTCTCTGAGATAATACTGTTTCTATGGTAAAGAACACTGATATTTTAGTTTGAGATCGAGACAGGAATGTCTGAATCATTAATAACAAGGGAGGAAACCTGCACAGCCAAGCAGAATAGCCCATTTATCAGAACGTCAAGTTATAAATTCTTCTCTTGCACATTTGAAACAAAAACTGATGACAAATGTTTATTCAAACCAGATCTTAATTATGTATACAGTTCCAAATACCTTTAATTCTCAAGCTTATACTCTCTGGTTTTAAAATTTACGTTTAAACACTCAATGAAGCTAGATGAAGTCATATTGAAGAAATAACTAGGAAAATATGAGTTCACTTATTTTCAGATAAAATTCTATATTAAATAGAAACAGTTGCAAAGCAATGATGCTCCATGGTACAAACTCTATAATTTACCATTTTTTTCTTAACCCGAGGCATTCACTGATAATGAAATTTTACCAAGAAAAAATCTTTTAAAAGATAAGACTGAAAATTTAAGTGCAATTTAAATAAAAATTAAACCGCTATCAAGTTGGCAATTGTTGCCATATAATAATTATTGCCTCAAAGTATAAATTTTGTTGAATTTATATTTCTTATAACCAGGAGCTATTTTATATTAGAGAGAAATGTGTGGTTTATACAAAGCTTGCTACATTCAGGTATATTATATATTGATGTCAGTGTTTCACTGACATATGCTATCCTTCACCAAACATATCTTATTTAATTATCTCAGTAAAAAATTAATTAAATTTACCCAAAGATATTAAAATCTAATATACATGTTTGAGTACTAATTTTTTTTTTTTAGTTCTATTTAACAACTTTAAGTTATAAAAGTAATATAATAATTAATAAAGGTATAAGAGAATGAAATATATACTTACTGAGGCTTTTTACCTGAAAAAATAAACAGAAAAATAAGATTAATAATTGATTCATTACTGTACAATTCAAGTCAATGCCTGTTATAGTTATCTGCATATAAAATAACACTTTTATGTGTTTTAACATTTCAGTTACCTGGACAACTAATTCAGCCAATTAGTATACTAATTTTAGCATATACATAAACTTTACAACAGAATCTACTATAATTATAAATAAAGACTAAATGTTAGAAAGTTAGAAATGTCTACAACATCAAAACAAAAAACAGAAAGATGGCAGTCTTAGTTTATAAATTCATTCTGTAAGCAGTAATTTCATGCAAAATAAATTAATAAACAAGAATAAGCATCATATATAGAAGTAAAAACAGTAAATTTTGCATCATTTGAAAAATACAGTGCCTGTGGACCTTTTGTGTGGGAAAAGGTCCATGGATAAATTACTATCAAATTTTATATTAATATATCAGGAAAGTAACAAAAGTACTAAGTAGTTTGTAAGTCTTTAAATGTTGTTTCAGAGGATTTTGGACAGCAATATCCCTGCATGGTATTGACATCTTGATATTAATCTGCTGTATATAATGTTGATTGTAGGGTAGCAATAATATTACTTTCCTTTTGACAGATATGCTTTTAAAAAGTCACAACAGTTTTAATCATTGGATGATAAATCATTAGATAAATTTCATTTAAATTTAAATCTTTGTCCTTATAAAACAGAACCAAGAAACATTTTAGTTCAAAGGTGACCTGCTTGACACTTATAACAACCATTAAGTGCATGAAAAATACAACTGTACAGTGATCAGACCATTGGGAACACACTACTGACTAAAATATACAACAAAATGCTAAAAATGCAATACATTTTACAAGAAATATTTTTTTCTGATCAGTTGTTGCATTTGAATGAAGTTCAATGAAGTTATGATGAAGTTTTAAACTTTGAGCATATAGTAAATCAATTGCATCCTTTCAAAAATATGTCATATCAACATAATAATTATCACCAGGGGAGGAGATAACAATGGCCATAAAAACACAATTTTCATGTCTCTTCCATCAAAATCAGGCATTTATTATGATAAAAAGTTTGTAGTCTGTTGTAGGTAAATAGTAATCAAGACAAGAACCCGCCAGGTTACCGAGAAAAAACATCAAAAAGTTTATATTGGCATGAAAAATCAACTTTATGACTGTAACTGTCAAATTTTGACAGAATATATTCTGGTCAAAAGTTAAAAATAACAATCAAACCTGCACTAGAAAAGCTGCTGTGTTGTTACATTTGTATGAACTTTGTTTTAGCCTTGTAAAACAAAACCTATAAATATTATTCCGAGGAGGTGCCAAAACATGCGTTTCTTGCAGGAAACTTTTGCCCTCAGGTAAAAGTCTGGCATGAAAATAAAGCAATAATCTGTTCAGAAAAGCTGATAAATCGTCTGCAAACTGATCAAATTGCAGCTTTCGTGGAGTTTTCCAATAAATTTTGGCAAATCTTTATTAAAAACATTCTTTGCTGTACTTATCTAAAAATTAATCAGGCTGCAGTGTATTAATGAACAGAAAACATTGCATAAAATTTAATTTCCTTACTGATTATTTTAAATTCATTTATAAATGAATGGAGCAAATCATTCTAAAACAAAGACATTGATAATTTTATCTCTGTAAAATATGCAAACAACCAAAAGGTAAAAACACAATATCTGGTAGAAAAGATGTTGGGAGATCCTGTAGGATGGCGGGTGGAATGTGTTTGGACTGTGCACTGTTGACCGGTGTGGGGGGTGTGGATTAAGGTAGAGTATAAGGATGTGAGGAATGAACTGTGAACAGCCGACTTGGCGGATTACAGCAAACAGACTGACTATAGGGGGAAACATTGATAAATCTCTTTATATGATTATAAAGATATAATATAATAAAAATGTTACATTTATACTGACAAAAATAAATACCTTCAAGCAAAATTCAAAAGCAAATAAATTGACATTTTTCTTAGTAAAATTTTCCAGTATGTTCCTGTCTTATTTAATGATGAATGATGAATAAACAAAAGAATGTTACATGAATAAACTTGTATTGTTTTGTTTTTTTTCACTCCAAAACTTTGCAAATGCTGATATCTTTAACAAAATATCTGGGAAGATGAATCTATCTTTCCAGCAAATATTTAACGTTAATAAAGATTTAAACAACAAAGTTCATTTCATTATGTCAAGTTAAGCATCATTAAAACACCTTCATAGCTTGAAAAATGAGGATACTCTGATCTGTTGATTTAATCAATCATACTTTTGCTATACTTTAATAATTATATTAATATAATATCCATCTTATAAAATGATGTAATAATTACGTCATAACACAATAATTTTATACAGAAAGCAACATAAAAAGCATGTAGAAAGCATTGTGTGTATCGTGGAGAATTTTTACAGTGGTCAATGCCTTTATAATACCTTCCTTACCAGATTTTACTGAAAGTATTACACTCATTATGTCAATTTATCATGTTAATTGATTATGTTAATTATAATGTTAATTTATGTCAATTTATTACATGAATTCAAAATGGTAACAATTTTTATGAAAATTAAGTATAAGTATGAACTTATAGTAAAATAAAACTAAGTGTGATACAAGAAAATGAAAAGAAATCTTATCTTAAATAAAATGACACTTAAATTTGGTTGAATAGAAATTCTGCAACAGTAGTTTAATTAAATTAGAAATCTGAAATAATATATTAAATATTAGTGTTGCTTTTTAAAATATATCAGTTCACTCAAATAAAATGAAAAACAGGTACTGGTACAAATACTGTTGGTTGTTTTCAATAAATTAAATAAAACTTTCAAACTTTGAAATAAAAAAAAAATTGTATGAAAATAAGAAATAAAAAAATAAAATTAAAGGATTGTGGGTAAAGAAATAGGGCATTGTGGGTAATTTCCATCACAACATGACCAAATTACCTTCCAAATTCAAATTAATGGTAGCAACAGCCTCGCCTTTCGTGTTTTTAGCCAAAACCTTATATTCCCCTCCATCTTGTATTCCTACGCCTTGTATTTCAAGAGTCAGTATATGAATATTTTCAGCATCTTTTGTTTGCGAGATAATAATACGGCCGCCGGACTGTATAACATTAGTCCCCTGCATCCAGGTAATGGATGGGGCAGGTTCACCTTTTAACCGACATTCAAATACAATAGATTTCTGTACTTGACGTATAACCGGTTTTCCTATGAAACTTGGCGGGCTGCTAGGGGGAGCTGATCCGACTATACATGGAGACAAATACAAATGATAATAATGTGCTATTAAAAATCACAGCAAACTCTACAAATGATGCTCTAAGACACTAGAAATTATCATAACTAGGCTGAAAAATGTTTGTTTCTTTTAAGTACCTGACCAAAGAAAATAGTGAAAACAAATTTCATTTTAAAAGAAATAAATAATAATAAAAAAAACAATGAAAGTAAATGAAAAATGGTTATATGTGGTTTTATAGATAAGGAAACAAACTTTTCTCAGATGTTCTACATGTATATAACGATATACTTTCTATATGTATGATTCAAAACTAGATATAAAACTATTTACTATGTGCAGGTCATACATCTATATATGTGTGTATGGAAAACTAAATCTATGAACATAAAGTTGTTATAAATATACTATTAAAAAATATATATAATAATAATTAAAGGAAATTATGAAATAAATTTAACAAGGGTAAAAAATTCACATTCTTAAACAAAGAATGAAATTAACATTTTCAAATCATTTCTTAAAGTGACATTATGCTCATCTCTTCATTGTCAAGTTGAACTGAAATCACTTTATATTTCAAAAGATTGACTGTTATAATGGTGATTGACCAACAGTTAATATGAATAAAATATACATCTTTCTGAAAAAAATACAAAGTCCGCCCCACTCTTTTTATAAATTGAACGTTATAGGAAGATTCCAATAGCTATTTCTAGAAATTTCCTTCGTCTTCGTTATTTATCATTTATGGGAAGTAAATAAAATAATAAAATTGAAAGGAATTATAGCAAAATGTGAACCTATTTTGACTTTCACCAGTTCACCCTATACTCTAAAATGGGCATAATGTCACTTAAATATGTTATATTTCTGTATTAGAAGAACTGAAAGATATACCTTAGGTTATGCAATATTAAAAGGCTTACATTTTTAGCACGATGTTGTCAGACAAAAATTAGTTTTAAAAAGTTTATCATTCCTTGCTTGACTTAGTTTACAAATTTCATGAATACAGTAAAAACACTACATTAAGGCTATATTTTATCCAGAAGATTGCAGCACTTTCATTATAAAATTAAAAAAATTCAAAGATATTAAATTTTCAGATTTCAAACAGGAGCTTAAAATTGATTCAGTAATAACTTAAATGTTCATAGTCAGTCATTTTATCTACAGTGCTTTAACTATAGCTGTACTATGAAGCAAATTCTACAGTAGAAATGTGTGTTTGCTAAATATTGTTACTAACTAAAATGACTAATATAATTATGTACATGCATTAGTATATCAACTTGACCAATACCCTGCTAAATATCTTCAAAGCCAGACAAAGCCAGACTTGTCCATTTTTCCATCCGGACAAAACCATTTATTTTTTGAGACCATTTCAAGATATATATACATTGTACTGACTGAATAGCAAACATTGCTGATATACTGGTCAGACAGCATGGATGTGCCAGCTGATCTTGGTCACCACTAGTTGCATGGGTACATTTAGTCGCCACTAGCAGGCTAAAGGTTAAGCTTCCAATAAATTATAATGTACTATATATATTAAAAAATAATTACCAATGCACAAAAGAAAAAAAAAATCTGTGAATATATAAAACTATATAATAAAACTATTTATCAAAACAGTATAATATAATACAAAACAAGATTAACTGTGGCGAGTATTTTTACGTACCATCAAAGTTAAGTCCGATAGTTGCGTTACTTTCTCCGAGGGCATTTTTGGCAGTTACCCTATAACTACCAGCATCTTGTGGTGATACATTACTGATTTCTAATGTTATAGTGTATTCTTTTGGACCTTTCTGTTTTGTGTCCATCTTGAGACGATCTGGTTGTGCAAAAAATAAACTGAGTTTTAGAAAATGAAAATATATAAAAGAGGCAACATGAAATAAAAGTTTGCAAAAGATACATACACTCATGTGCATATGCTTACATACTTAGAGAATAAAGGACCTTTACTACTGTACATACCTTTGTTCAAATAATTTTTTGAAAAGTTTAACATTAGACTGTAAGGCACATCATCTTAAACTATACAACAACAGAACTCATAAATTCACAATTATGCAATGTTGAAATACCTGCATACTTATCTTAAGTATTTTCAATTTCATACTTATATGTAGAGTAATTTCCCTTTAATATAAAGGCCTAGAGTTATTTCCCTTTAAAACTTAGTTATGGAGTAAATGACTGTGCAATTTCCCTTAAATATTTTTAGCTAGAGAAGTTTCCCTTTTTCTATATCCACATCTTGAGAAATCCCCATTAAAATTAGATTCAAATCATCTCCCTTTTGATATTCAGTGTTGGAGTCATTTCCCTTTAATATAATGAATTCACCTCCAGCTGCAAGTTGTGCTGTGTCTCTGAACCAAGTAATGATAGGTGCCGGATCTGCTGTGAGTTGACATTCAAATAACATTCTCTTGCCTCCATCCAACTGCTTGATCAAAGGCTTCTGGGTAAAATTTGGAGCTATCCCATCTTGTCTAAAATATAATTGAGCACTGGTAAGTTTTTCTTTTCACCATTCAATATTGTATAATAAGTAAATTTTTAGCTGTGATTATTGGGAAGAATTTTGTGTACATTTTGTGTACATCAAGTATATCTAAAGGCAATAATTAACTGAGGCTGTGGAAACAAAATTAGAAAAAGCAAACATTTTAATTAATTGAAACACTCATTTCTATTTGGGATAAACTTAATTAAGTTGATGCCCCTGTGTTTTCAAATTTTACCACACACCAAATTAACATTTTGTAAAGGTATATACATCAATATCTGAAATATTACTGGAATAGGAAATTATATTTCTTTATTATATATCCATGGTTACAAGAAATGATGTTTTTCATGAAGAATGGAAGGTCTCAAGAGAATGTTTCTTTATGTAAGAGTGCAGGGAACCTGCTTGGTGCAATCAAACAAAACTATTTACATAAACTTATGACCATTCCATGATATGATTAAACCAATAATGTTTGCCAAAAATCTTTTGTGTAAATATTGGTAATATGTTTACAAGGAAAACAATTTCATGATGATTGATAGACAGTGCTAAACCTGGTCAATGAAACCTCAACATAGACTGTTGCCAATTCTAATAATTTAACATTATTAGCACCAATGAATACCCTGACAGAGAGTGTTGCATCAGTAACAACTATGATTGAGATTCTTGCCAATTCTATATTGTAAAGCTAATTTGCATCAATTACAATTGTGATTCAGGGTGTTGCCAATTCTATATTGTCAAGCTAATTTGCATCAATTACAATTGAGATTGAGGGTGTGGCAATTGAGATTGAGGGTGTGGCAATTATATATTGTCAAGCTTATTTGCATCAATTACAATTGTGATTCAGGGTGTTGCCAATTCTATATTGTCAAGCTAATTTGCATCAATTACAATTGTGACTGAGGGTGTTGCCAATTCTATATTGTCAAGCTAATTTGTATCAATTACAATTGTGACAGTCAGGGTGTTGCCAATTCCAAGCTTTTTTGCATCAATTGCAATTGCAATTGTGACTCAGGGTGTTGCCAATTCTATATTGTCAAGCTTATTTGCACCAATTACAATTGTGATTCAGGGTGTTGCCAATTCTATATTGTCAAGCTAATTTGCATCAACTACAATTGTGATCGAGGGTGTTGCCAATTGTTTATTGTCAAGCTAATTTGCATCAATTACAATTGTGATTCAGGGTGTTGCCAATTCTATATTGTCAAGCTAATTTGCATCAACTACAATTGTGATCGAGGGTGTTGCCAATTGTTTATTGTCAAGCTAATTTGCATCAATTACAATTGTGATTCAGGGTGTTGCCAATTCTATATTGTCAAGCTAATTTGCATCAACTACAATTGTGATCGAGGGTGTTGCCAATTGTTTATTGTCAAGCTAATTTGCATCAATTACAATTGTGATTCAGGGTGTTGCCAATTCTATATTGTCAAGCTAATTTGCATCAACTACAATTGTGATCAAGGGTGTTGCCAATTGTTTATTGTCAAGCTAATTTGCATCAATTACAATTGTGATTCAGGGTGTTGCCAATTCTATATTGTCAAGCTAATTTGCATCAACTACAATTGTGATCGAGGGTGTTGCCAATTGTTTATTGTCAAGCTAATTTGCATCAATTACAATTGTGATTCAGGGTGTTGCCAATTCTATATTGTCAAGCTAATTTGCATCAACTACAATTGTGATCGAGGGTGTTGCCAATTGTTTATTGTCAAGCTAATTTGCATCAATTACAATTGTGATTCAGGGTGTTGCCAATTCTATATTGTCAAGCTAATTTGCATCAATTACAATTGTGATTCAGGGTGTTGCCAATTCTATGTTGTCAAGCATATATTCAATGGCTTTAATCTCTTGACAACACTATAATTCATGCCATATAACCTATCCATAATCCTGTTGTTTCAAATAGAGTGCATGTAGTTAACTGATGGTCAGCTTAAGAATATGTAAGAATTGATCAAATACTTGCATCAACATAAAGAAAAAAAGACAACTAATATACAGAGCTGACAATGCTTAAGGTGACAACGCATGAAACTTTATCCATTTGGACAATCAGATTCCAGTCAAAGAAAAAGAAAGATTCTCTTTTTATTTTTCTTTGGTGGTTTTGGGCACCTCTTAACAGTACCCATGTTATTTGAATTTATTGCTTGGCTTAAGAATGCTCTGTAAACTAAAGAGCAGTAATGTAATGTAATAGGAATTAATCCGTTATTGCACTAAGGTGATGATATGGACCAGTTTAATATCTCAAATTGCCAGGTCTGTTTATGGTACCTATTTCCATTTATTCTTGTTAACTCTTAGTCTGGAGCTACCCATGCTACTAGTGCAGACCAAGATAAGCCAGCACATCTTAATTTGAAACTTTCCCTTAAAATGATAAATGGTTTTGTCCAGATTGAGAGATGGACAAGTCCATTAAAGATATATAGCATGGTAAGGAGTTAACAACAACAACTGAATCCAGTTTCAAAATAAAACAGAGCATTTAGCAAAATGTTGCACATATTTTGTTTATAAAACAGATATCTAGTTAAATCAGTAAACAAGAGAATGTTGGTTAAATTCTTCAATCACAGTGGTATCTCTAGACAGACAGAGCTTGCTGTTTGCCAAATCCTGTCAGTGTGTGTCAGTAAATGTCAACGTTATATCTATGTTATCTTGATTTCAGCCTTAAAGAACAAAACTTTTCCTATCTGAGCTTTAGATCTTTCAGGTGAAATTTATAGGGGAATGATCTGGAGAATACTGAACAGCACAGGGGTCTCTTCACAAGCAATGACGTAAGTATAGATGTTGGTCACATTCCACAACATCTTCTATATCTTCCTATCAATCATCATGCATGCGTTCCATTGATAACACAAAACACAAGTTATGTATTTCCTAGGATTTTTTTTTTTCAATGTAAAAGAAATTTTGCCAGAATATCAATGTCCTATGACAGTTTTATCTCATTTTTGATTAAGTACCTTATTATAGTGCAATTAAAACTTAATTATCAACTCTCTCCGTTAATTTTTTTGCTTATGAGACAAGTACTTTAACTTTAAGTTTGCTACTGGAACAATCTGGTACCAAATAAGATTGTGACCCAAATAGGGCTGAAACTCACAATCTGGGTTGAGTGGTAGACACTTTATGACCCCTAAGCTAACTTTTCCATGAATTAAATCTTTAACATAACTTGTTAAAAGTTTTGACAATGACTTAACAATAATCATTATTTTATAATTTGTGACTTTATGATTTGAAAACTGAGTTTTTATTTTACAATAAGAGGGGAAAAAAATATACTCACTGGTTTTGCGTTTGTGCTGAAAAAGAAAAAAACAATAGTTAGATTATGTAATATATGTAAAACTTGAAAAAGCAAAAACAAAACAATTCATAAATTGTACATAAAATGTTTTTTTTTGAATCACAAACATACCATGATATTGTTTATTAACAATGTTTAAGATTAAGTAACTTAATGAAAGGCCTTCTTTTTACACTACTTCTATGAAGAGACATTTGGTTATATCAGGATTTGACAGCATAGTTATACTATTTCATAGGAATTTAAGCATTTCTGTATGAAAATCATATTAAATTATAACCTTATACAAGTACTTATTATCATTTTTTTTGCATTTTATTTAAAATAATCTGTGTTCTAATTGGTAATGAAAACTTCAAAAGATACTGTTTAAAATAAAAGACTGAAATTGAATCATCTAATAAACCTCTGTCATTATTTTAAATGGTTTTATTTACAATTTTAGCTATTTTAAATTACTTTATCTTAAACTTACATTAGTCTTATCTTAATAAGATTTTTTTTATAAGAAAAGTTAATTTAAAATGAAGTCAACAAAATATTGCTTATTTTCATGATAAATAAGATGTGTAAAATATGCTTTAAATAAACTCAATTAATTCCAAACATTTTACATTTTACATAAATATTGATACAATTATCATAATAGGCCAAAACAAAATGTATAAAGAAACACGAGATTTATTAAGGTTCATATACTGAAAATTATTATAAAACTTTAAATAACTGATGAGATTAAAAGTTTTTTTTTCCTGCAAGGGGTACTATTTAATGAATGGTGAGCAATAAATGGGATTTAACTCATTAATTTGGAGGCTATTTTACATGTATGATACTTTAATACACCTAAATATTTACAACAACATTACATTTTGGATTTAGATGTCAATTTAGGTTGTGTGAGTATGCATGATAATAGTGATAACTTAAAGATAATGATAATTTTAAGTCAGTAGATTAAATTACAAATATTACAGTCATTATAGAGACCATTTTCAGTTTTTATGAATAAACCCGAGTGGCAATATGTCGGTGAGAGTTTGACCAAACAAAGGTTGTTTATTTTCATTGCATGACAAAGACTGAGTGATGTTGCAGACATTTAAGCTATCAAGCTTATAACAAGAAATGAAAGTGTCTTTAATTGCTGCTTGACCTTCTTACATTTCGAAAATAAAATGATCTGTACTGGCATGCGAGCAGTTCCCGTACAAAAATCGTAGTTACTTAAACATTATTTTTTATTACGCTCACTCACCAAAATTTTAATGTTACACATCACTATTCAGCTCGTCACACAAATCATGGAAATTCCATCATGTTCTAAACATAGAATAACCCTTAGTTATGAGGCCTCATATGGGGTACCGAAATTATCCATTATTTTGTATGAAGAGAAGTAGTTCCCGTACATAAAATTTAACCCATTATAATTATACAATTTTGTTATATCGGACCTATTTTTCAATTATAATTGTTGAACAGACCGTTTTCTAAGAGATAAATAGATGTAATTCAGGAAATAGAGCGTAGACTAAACGCTGGTATCAATTACCCGGTACCGTTACCCCAACGCATTCTCATGCAATGGCATGCTTGTATGCATGATATTTTACGCATCAAAGCCATAAAATTATTTACTATAGTAATATTGATCAAAATTCTGATAATTAAACAAGTTTTCACCACATTGCCTACTAATCTGTAAACAGGTGGTATTAGTGGAAAACCCTTTAACAGGCCTCACGTGTAAGTATTTTAGCGCATGCGCGCAAGGACGGAATCCCCCAGAGAAAACAAGGTCACGTTTTGACAACGCACAGGTGAAAGTGATTTAAAATGAGACTTTTATACGTACTGCCGAACTGACACTTAGATTTTGTCTCTTTTATGCATCTGCTTGATTTGAAATGAATTTTTGAAGTTTGCAAGTAAAAATCAAGCGTTTAAATGAAAAATACGGGTACTCAAGGCCGTCGTCGGTGGTCCGGCCGGTCCGGCCTTGGCCGGACCAATATTTTGGCCAAAAATTAGAAAAAAAAAAGAAAAAAAAAGACCCATCTGGCCCCTTATGCAATGCGCGGTAATATACAACCATCGCCAGTGTTAAAGAGAGATTTGGCCAACCGGGATATCGTGTACTTCAAAACGTGGAGAATTTACTTATAAAGGTTGCACAACCTTTGAAGACCTAGTGCACTACAGAACTTGGTTTTGTTTGTGATTTCTGTGGTAACGATATTAACCGAGACATCATAGATGTGCAGCTTCAGCTGCTACGTTCACATGTTCACAAATCAGAAAATAGTACTGTTGCTCTTTCTGACATTTTGAAATTTGCGTCAGAACAGTCAGTGCTAGAACGAGCACTGTACTCTGAGGTCGTTGTAATGTTAAAGATTTTGTTAGTAATGCCTGCTACTAATGCTTCCAGTGAAAGGACATTCTCGGCGTTCAGAAGAATGATTAAGACATACCTCAGAGATCGACAATGTCTCAGGTACGCTTGAACAATCTAATGGTGAACATTACATATTCATAAGCACAGGACAGATTCTCTCAACTTACGTGTAATTGCCGATGAGTCCATTACTACCAGAGAACGACGGCGATGTGTTTTTGGAAAATTTACATAAAATGAGACTCTGTGTTATGTAAGATTATTGTTAACAAAATACAAGTTACTGCTAAACAAAAAGTGGTTATTGTTGACTCGTAATGTACTATTCTTCCTTCATGTCATTGATTGTTATTTAAGCTTATACCATTGTGTTATTTATGCTAAACAATAATATTTCTTTTATTTTTTTGTTTATTTATAATCAATAGATAAAACTGCATCTAAAGAATTATAATAACATCAGTTATTGTTTATTTTTCATTTGCCAAATATCAATAAAATGTATTCGTCTTTTATGTACACCTGTCCGTCCGTCATGCGAACCTTAAACTTCACCCTTAAAACTTACGACGCACTTAAATCTGTAAAAAAGTGTTGACATATTACTATAACATGTACTAGCGGCAGGCTGTAAACTGTGCCAAATATACGGGAAAACGCCCCTGAGAGCATCCTAGAATAAAAAAATTTCCGGGGGAGCATGCCCCCGTACCCCCCTAGATTCTACCTAAAACCAATCAAATTGGCCGCACCAATCACAAAATCGTGACGACGGGCCTGGTACTGCTTCTGTACGGGAACTGCTCGCATGCCAGTATCCTTAATTTTATACCATTATTTATAAAAATCATCAGCAATTTGCAATGCAAAATAAGTTGATTGTATTGCAGGTTTGAGGTATCATGGTATACCAGTTAATTGTTTTATGCACATCTATATTTAGTATTTTGCTGGATCCTTCATTATTAATAAAGGGAAAATATTTCTAAAACTATTTTATCATTAATAATGATTATTATTATTATCTACCAACTAATGAGCCAATGACAATGTTTGCAATATTAACATAAAGGAAAATCATACGGTTCCATAATCTAACCTTTTGTAAATCAACAAAAATGTATATCAAGATTATTTAAGATTATTAAAACGGGAACGTCTACGAATGTCGGAAACCACGGCATCTCAAACCGACCCATTCCACGCATTCATGATGAATAAAGTTAAGAAAGTCACTAAAACTTACATTAAAACTTTATTCAGAGTTATCTGTGGCAAACGTCACGACAAAGTTTCATATTATCTGGCTTATCTTTGTAAATTAATCCTAAGTTATCATTTTTTTTAATTTTCTGCATATGATAAAAAAACGAAACAAATGGCGCAATATCAATAAGGGGAAGTAACTGTACTGTAAGAGTAGTAAAGCATAAGATTCACTTTTTGAACATCGTAAGAAAGCGGTTGTACAAAAACATAATGATTAAAACCTTTCAAGATATGATAACATTTTTTTAAAATAATCTCTGTAAAATAATCTTTTTTCACGATGAAACCAGGCAGATAACATGAGATAACTCAGTATCGTTTACGTGGTTTACGTTTTCCATTGACTGTACATTTTAAACTACAATGCTTTAAATATTTCCATGAAAGTCCTAGATTTATTTTTTCCTTGCAACTTTGAGGAAGAATGACTGGTCATAATGGAAACATCTTTAAACTGTAACCTAATTGTATCTAATAATGCAATTATATATCATTTATTTCAAAAGAAGTTATCATTGATAAATTGATTGTTCATGTAATTGGTATTTAAAAATATGCTGCCAATAAAACTAAGGGAAAAAAACAATCATAGTAAATGTAACTGACATTTTGTGCAAAAAAGCACCATACAATGTTCAACTAGGGGCTAATGTGAAAGTGAATCGGCGGGGGAATACAGTGACATAAATACAAAATATGGGGACAATACTTATAAACGTTGCCAAGTGATGAAAATGAACAGAAATTTATCAATTCTTTGTCAGAATTAAAGTGCTCACGTGATGTAAAAGAGTATTGCAATATATTCAAAGTGCGTAAACATCTAGGCTCTATGGTAAAGTACATTTAATATATACGGCTAATTAATAAGTGTTCTAAAAATAGTTAATTTTATAGGATTATAATTGCATTCAAACTATACATAGTATTAAACCAGTATTAAACGTTAAACAATGATATAGGTATGTGTGTTTTGTTACAATCGCCCAGCATACGCTGATTCTGCATTTATTTTAATGCACGGTATTCGCGAGATTATGTTTTTGTTCTGTTGCCAGAAACGCTTGATTTATTACCTGACAGCTAGTGTTCATCATTACGTCAAAAAATCAACAATTCGAACACATTAGGCCATTCTTTGTTCCATACAGTATAGTGAAAAATATAATGAATATCGAGTTTTTTGTTAAGGAAAACATAATTTTCTGAAACATTTGTAACTAATTTGTACCTTATGAAATTATCGATCATGTTATATAAGTTATTAAATGAAGGGTACGGTGCTTTGATTGTTTGTTTCATTATTTTGGAACTAAACGAAATTCTTGTTACAAGTGGTTTACTTATTCATTAGAAAAAAGTCTGTTACAAAAGAAACAATTTAAAAAAAATAGCCGCATTTTCATATGTCATGATTGTTATCCCGATTTCTTATGTAAAGATGCTTAGCTTTATTTGGTCAGGGTATTTCAAATTCTATTTGAAAGACCCTGATTCGGTATTATACAGAACTACTCACCATTAAAATTCAAATTAATGGAAGCTGACATTTCACCAAGTTTATTTTTAGCAACAACTTTATAAGATCCGCCATCTTGTTGTGTAACACCGGTTATATCCATGACAACACTGTATGTATTCCCTCCGGCATTATCAACACGCATTTTAATCCTATCAGATTCTTGAAGTGGTGTTTGCCCCCTGAACCAGTTAATTTCCGGTTTTGGGGAGGCCTCAAGGGCGCACTGAAACACGAGTTTGTTTCCATTTTCTTCCTGTTTGAGGGATGGCTTTTGTGTAAAACGTGGGGCAATATCGTCACCCACACCCATCCTGACCCGCTTCTATCTGTAATGAGAAAGTAAAAAATAAAATAGATAATGTCGCAAAACTGAACTTTTTCGAAGGATTATATTATCAGTACAAGCACACACATACTAGTGAAATCATTCCTCTTAGAGGGCACATTGTGCCAAAGAAATTCATATTTTTTTTAATTCTTTGGAAGGTGTGCTAAGTAATATTTTAACTATGTTAAACAACTGCAAACACTAGCGCCGAACGTGCAATAATGTGCCGTAAAAGGTAGCAAAATGTAAACAAAGTAGTATTTTGTCATCCATACAAAATACTAATTCATTATAACTGCACCAACTGCATGCCAACAGAGCAAAAGGAGCTAAAGGTAGTTTATTTAAATGGCAAATGAGTATTTGTGGGGAAACTGTAACATGATTTCAAGAGAAAAAAAGTTTTGGGAAATAACATTGACAGCATTTCTGAGGCACGATGGGCTTTAAGTAAGTCACACTTACAGAGCATTTCACTGCTCGATACAATGAATAATATTAAAGTAAAGCTCTTGATAGACTGTCTTTTGTGTTACAAAAATAAAATGAGACAGGGGACTTAGCAAAAAAACACCTCTGCTGAAGAATCAAAAAGGCTGACTTTCACTTTTGCAATATTGTCTAAAGTCAGATGTCAACTTTACTTAGGTGTACATTTGAAAGTAATCACCAATCGATGAAAACTTGAAACAAAAACAAGTAAGAAGATATTTGGTGAAGAGTAAAATGAATGGCTCTTACAGGGAATAACTGCAAATCGGCTCTTACTCGGCAGTAATTAGTGTAGCCGCTATTTCATGAAGAAACCAGTGCTGATATTGTGATTGGCATATTTTAATTAGCCAGGTCAGGTGTTTCTAAAAAGGCTGATAACACTGTAGCAATGTGAGGATACATTCAAATTTATTACATAGATAATGCACGTGGAGCTCAGCTCGCAGAGACAAATGTGAACACAGTAACATTTTGATATCCCTTTAAACTCTATGAAAATGTTAATTATTAATTGCTGACTGTTTTATATTTTCTAGAAAAAGTAAGCAAAACATTATTTTGTTTCATATGACAGGAATGAATTGCATTTACAATCCTAGATATTGTTGAAAACTCATTGTTTTACATGCCAGATTAAGTAATTGGACCCCATCCTTGTTTGTACGTGACTGCTGGGGAAAAACAATGTTATGCTTAATTAAAGAGGTGACACTTTCTATATTTTTATCTGATATCGAGTTGTAAGAGCCGATTTGCAGTTATATGGGTAAGAGTTCGATAAGACTCCCTACGGTCGTCTTAATACGAACTCTTACCCATACAAAAATATCGAGAAGTAATGTAGTAAGGAGATAAAAAGTTCAACATTCTCTGTATCAGAGATATGTTTGTATATATGGAGGGCGATCGTTGCCAAAATTCCAGACATGTAATGTGTTCCTTTTGAAAACTACTTTTGAAAATGCGAACATGTATGTCTAGCATTTTTGATTGCATTCGTGCACAGCAAATGATATGCCTCTTAATCCAATCTTTTAATTGAAGGCACCCGCTTTTAAATAACAAGTTTACATGTAAATCTTAACAACTGACCTAACACACATTTACAAGTTCGTATCTACCATTGCATATAATACATAAGCATGTTTACACACTTGTAGATATATATATGTACCTGAAAAACACAAATGAAATGTAAAACTCTAATGCAGAAAATATAATTTAATAAAACGTGTTTCCAGTCGTAGAACTACAACAGTACATTTACACAGTTACATGTTTAAAATGACAAAAGTAGATTCACAAAGTTAAACGATTTTAAGTCAAGCATGACGCCCCGCCCCTCTCTGAGTACTTACGATCTTCTATCACGGAAATGTACGGACAGGTATAATACCCGTCGCCTCTCTAAAGTGAAGGAAAACACGGCGTCCATTCTAACTTTTTCTTTTTTTTCTATAAAAAGTCCAATATAATTTGTATCAAATGAAAGATTACTCCATAAGCTTTCTATGAGTGCCTCGGAAATAAAAATGAATTAAATAGATGTATTGATTTTTTTGTTGTTTTTTTTTAGTCTGAAAATAACACTCTCGAATTGGTAAGAAAAACACGGCGTTCCCTCCAAACTTTTTTTTTATTTCGTAATATATTTTGATAATTTTGGATTGAAATAAAAGTGTGATTAATACGATTTATGATATATAATTATATAATGCCTCAAAATAAAAAGGAATTAAATCAAAATGAATTAACTTTTCGTTAAAAAGTTTATCATGTTATTTTCTGTAAAATAGAGAAAATAAGAATCCCTAAAGAACGCTCAAAACGACAAAATTGAGAATGTTGCAGGCCGGTTTGATTGAGCCTGCTCATGGACGGTAATGGAAAGAGCAAGTTATCGTCCACGCCCCCTAGCACCGGCTTAAGCAAAATTCAACATGAACTGGTACAATTTTGAATTTTGAAACATCCGCAGATGTGTTAATATGGTGATTATCATGGAACCTTCAATGTGACACGTAAGTGCCATACCATGAAAAACGGCATATGATCCCCAAGTAAAAAAAAACAAAACACACTCTGAAATTCAGTAAGAGAAACATGGCGCCCCCTACTTACTTTTTTTATTTCTTGGTCAATTTTGATAATTTTAGAATATTATAAACAAGATCATCAAGGAAAGGCGGCGTTGATAATTTTAGACTCAAGTAAAAAATTCTGGAAACAAAGTGATCCCTCGGAAGCATTAATCACAACAAAATTACATAAGAATTGCAGACTCGGTTTGATTGAGTCTGTACATTAGAGATAATGAATAAATGCAACATCCCTCACGCCCCTAGCACCGGATTGAGCGGTACTCAATTCTCAACACTTAATAGTGCTTAAGAATCCTTAATGAACTTTCTAGTGATGCCTTAAAAATGAAATTAATTACGTAAAAGTATTAAAAATTTGTTTCTAACTTATCGTTGTTTTTTTTCTCTTAAATCCACACTCATATATTCGGAAAAAAATAACGTCGCTTCCTTTAGATACTTTATTCAACAAGGAAAATAATATTGAATGAAGTTAAGACCATAAGTTTTGAACAAGTATATTAAAATCTGGAAAACAAGGTGATCCCTCGGAAGCATTAATCACAACAAAATTACATAAGAATTGCAGATTCGGTTTGATTGAGTCTGCACATGAGGGATGATGAACAAGTGCAACATGCCTCACGCCCCCTAGCACCGGCTTGAACGATACTCAATTCTCAACACTTAATAGCGCTGGCATCAATGATCCCGAAAGACCAGAAAAATATAACAACACTGAAGTGAAGTACGGGGCAACTTTTTACAGCTTCCTCACGGCACTTGAAACCTGCTGTTGTGAAGTATAAAAATCTGGAAACAAAGTGATCCCCGGAAGCATTAATCACTAACAAAATTACATAAGAATTGCAGACTCGGTTTGATTGAGTCTGTACATGAGGGATAATGAACAAGTGCAAAAAGTTTTTATTCATACTGAAAATACCTTATTAATGATTGTACATATGTGCTACGGATAAATATTTTCTTGATTTCGGAAAGGAAATCTCGGTGGCCGCTTTAAAAATATACTTGCATAGTTTTTGTTGAAAATGAAATTTGTGCTAATACATTTTTCAATGATACCAATAAGAATATTGGGTGGTTTTTTACATTATTAATAAAATTAATCCTTGAAGTTAGTCATTGTTTCCCATCGCCGATGTTTCTCAGGAATATATGATAAACAAGATCAACAAGGAAAGGCGGCGCTCACGCAACCCCACATGACCAGCAACAAGAACAAGTGGCAAGAAGCCAAGGCGGACCCAAAACAAAACACAGGACAGGGCACTAGGCAGAGCACGGACAGGCTAATCACTAAAATGATAAATAATTTGTAACTGATAAAAACACGATGTTAAAAATAAGGTAATGCATAAGTTATCTTCATCATAAATGGTAAAATCAGCAATTTTCAAGTGATGTTGCTACTGACAAAACTTTTGTAACAAATGTAACATATATATTTTATGAAAAATGCCGTATGTTGTCCTTCAGTTTTATTTAAAAATATGGGAGAGGCGCCGTTTTATACCTGTCCGCAATAGAAGTTCGTAAATACTCCGAGAGGGCGGGGCGTTATGCTTGACTTAAAATCGTTTAACTTTGTGAATCTACTTTTGTCATTTTAAACATGTTACTGTGTTAACGTACTCTTGTAGTTCTACAACTGGTAACACGTTTTCTTAAACTCTATTTTCCGTATTCGAGTTTTACGTTTCATTTTTATATTTCAGATCTATAAGTGTGCAAACATGCATATGTATTGCATGCAATGGAAGATACGAACTTGTAAATTTGTTGTCGTTTTAGATGTTAGGTCAGTTGTTACGATATATATGTAAACTTGTTATATAAAGGCGGTAACCTTCAAATAAAAGATTGAATTAAGAGGTTTACAATAAAAATGGTAGGCATACAAGTTCGCATTTTCAAAAGTCATTTTAAAAAGGAACACTTTACATGTCTGGAATTTTGGCAACGAACGCCCTCCATATGTATACACATTATATCTCACAGAGGCCGTTACGCCCACGAACCAAATATACAATTTATATTTTGTTTATTCTAACCACCGACTTGCAGATGGTACAACCTAATTTCAATAACCAAATGTTCGTTTTTATTTCGCATTGGAACCACTTTATGGCTTTAATCTTAGATAAAGATCGTTTAATATAGTTACACTTTGTCAAACAGAATAAGAAATGTGCTAAAATTAAGATTTTAATAGGTACTAGACCAATGTTACATTAAAAAGCATTTTCTGATAAGCTACAAATGATTAAATATTCAGGTATAACACGAGTTCCGGATTAACGTATGATAAATGTATTTCAAAAATGATATTGTTGTTTATCTCACGACTATCAATAATCTCTTGAACTTCATATAGCTGATCTAATCTGTAGATCTAACACACAAGTTAATTACAAGTTTTTAGATCATTTAATTTCTATTACCTTAAAACTATGAACTCAGTGATTATCTACTGGTAAACGTTTAGTATATATATATATATATATATGTATTAACAGATAAAGCTAGCAGATATCTGAAATAACTTGTTAATTAATGGAAGTGGAGTCATAGAGATTAAAACTTACAGTTATTAGTTCTATATCCTGCTGTTAGGGAATATCATTCGATCTATTTTGATAATATAAAACTACGAATTCCAATTATATTTTGTATAATTTACGCTGTTTTGAAGTTCCATACATTAGAATATGATATACCTATTTCCATGGCTTCTTGTTTTTTCTCATAGAATCAAACCCATAAAAATGATAAATGTATGAAATCCGCCAGGATTAAAATTTAATACCAGTCAGCCAGTTAATGGTGTTTTAATTTGATTCAGATAGTTTCAGCAGGTATACCACAACATGTCTAGATTCAAGTTACCCCATTATGGGGAGTGTCAGATGCACACTGCTTATTTTATACGCCATAAGTTTTCATATTGGCATGAATCTGTAACATAAATGCGCATAGCAGATAATGGCAATGCCATGCTGAAACAACTTCATGTATACAGTACATCTTTAGCTATGCTCTTCACCCCACGAACTTTATGAACCAAGACCCCGCTAATGGTTGGAAATTACACGACTTACATATTTAAAACATATAAACATGAAATATTGACAGCTAACATAATAAATAATCATATAATGTCATCATTATCATCATCATCATCATCATCATCATCATTATCATCAAAAACAACAACATCATCATCATCACCATCATCATCATCATCATCATTCATTCATTATCACCATCATCATACACCATCAAACCAAATTTGTATCAATAAATCATATTACTAAGAATCTGTATGAAATAATTACCTAAACAACGATTATACATCACAAGAAACACATGCGCCTATGATATACATAAACAACTAGAATCTCTGATGGTTGGCATAGATACACACGTGAAAATATATACCTTTATGTAATAAACTATTTTATATGCTTTAACCTGGCCCAATTATAATATTATACAGTATAGAGATTACACATGCTATATTCATTCTAGTTATCTAGTTATGTATGTTTCGAAATCAAAAAGAACATTTCTTAGGTTTCTTATTCAATATATTTGTGGTTAACGAAACTCAGACCGCAACAGAAATAAAATTCACCCCTACCCCTTCTATCTCTTCTAATGTCACTGACTATGATGATGATATAAGTTCACAAACAAGACACACGATTATAGTCAACCCTTCTGACCATTGTAATTCTGATACTATAGATTATAATAAGTAATTTAATATGTTTTTTTCTGGCACGAGTACTGTTATGCTAAATATTTCTTAATATACAATGTAAACAGTTTTCATTAATTTGATTGTATTGCATTCGCACATTGACAGCTTTACTACCAGTATCTGTTAAATTATTAAGAACACACAATTTCGCTACTTTAACGTCTTCAAACCTGAAAATTCAACTTCTATAATTTGATATGTCAAGGGTAACTTTCACTTGTACTATTAACTCAAAGATATCACTGAACATGTTTTCTTGGCCTCTCACTGTTCACCTTTTGCATTTCCTGTGTGTTAACGGAGTTTGATAGTTTGTTTGTTTGAACATGTCGGTACGGTATTTGAGGTATTAAATCAACACTGGTTTATGGATTCCTACCTGTTTTACATAGAACATGCCACTAACATGTAGTTTCTGTCTCAACTACATATCCGATACATGCCTAAATAATGAATAGGTGGTTCCAAGCTACTGGCAGTGAAGTAATTACAAGTGATAGTTGCCGTATGAAAAAGAAATGCTTAATTTCTAGAGCTATATTAACTCTGACACTTCTTCAAAAGTCCTTTAAAAGGTAATTTTAACCTTTATCTTTGACAGGAGTATCTTTTAAATGTTATGATAAAGATGTTTTTTGACAATACAACATCTGGTGACGCTGTAAAAAGACAAGACAAAGTTGAAAGATCAGAGTGAAAGGTTGCAAAGGCCTCATTCAAACAAAATTCGTATGAAATATCTCACACATAGACGCCAGAGAAGTCAAAAGCACAATAAATAGCATCGGTTTCCACTATACACATTGTATTACAAGGCAATACCAACGTTTGAGCTATCACATTGCAGTTTAACAGAGTGTTGCAGATTAATTACATTATATCTCGTATACCATGATAAAACTGCAGATAAGTAAATTCCATCGACTATTTTGATATGCATGCTTCAAAAGATTATAGAAATTATGAAATACCTAAGATGTCAGATATATTTAAATTGCTACGTCAGTGAAAAAATGCGTGAACTAATATTTTCATTTGTTTTTTTTTATTGTTAAAACAAAATTTTGTAAAATCTTGTTATGTAAATATAAAATACATGTAGCTTATTGAAACTATGCAAATTTTGCAATGCTATAGCCTCCCACATATGTTTTCATACATCGTTTAAGGAGCAATAAAAAGTAAAGTCACACTTACATTGTCTTAATTACGGCTACAAATTATAGAGCACGTTATTCGCGTGGTATATCATGAGATATGATGATATTATGATAGGATATAATATAGAACACATGTGATCTACAGACGTTCATACATCGAGGAATGCAAGGTTACCTATCAATCATAATAGATTTCTTAGAAAAGGTATACTGCACATCATTATAATGTAAATCTTCTCGAAAATACGCTATGAAAAGAAAATTTGAAGTTGAATAACCCCCGTATAATCTCCCTTGGTAAAAATGATATCAGAAAGTTTATTGATACTCTATATATCCGGTAATGCAGCTAACACTATCAAATGGACAATGTCATATAATTTTCCAAATTTGAAAGTTAAAGCTTTCTTACGGGTATTTCAATAAAATGCTAAAGATTACCACTGGTGTCCACATTGCACAGCAAGCCTCCATTTGTTGAAATAGGGAATCAAACGATTTGATAATTCATAGATATATTTATCTTTTGTAGGATCTTAACCTGAACATTGCTTAACATGCATATCCCAGAAATTACACATGCAGTCGTTCTCAATCCTATTTGATCTGAAACAGCCGAAGTATCGAAAAGACCTGATCTGTAGCTCGACATAAAGCTAACCGCTGACAAAACATTATAAAACTTTGAAATATAAACACAAGTAACTGTCGATGAGTGAATTTATCTCTGTTTTGTTTTCAAACCGTTTTTTATTAAAGATTGCCTTTGGTCTTATGTTCTTACTATTTTTACAAAAGGCATACATGTATGTCCTAAAGAGTATAAAAAGAATTATAATAACAATGTACAAGCAAAGATATTTGTTGATTTTGTATTTTAGCTTACTATGTTATCAGTTTCTTAAAATACTTATATTACGTGTATTATATCATGCTTGAGTATTGGAGGAATATACAATCACTTTGGCCCATAGTCAAGACTGACAAACATAACAATGACAAAAACTAACTGGATTACAGAGGTATATCCAGAATATTCATGTGTTCATATAGTTAACCAATGTAATGGTGTTTCAACATTTCTCAATAATAGAAGCCTTACAGGAATTATTACTATTAAACAACATTCTATGAGCATATGGTTTTCTACAAGAGATGTATACTGCCAAGAAGAAGTAAATGAATAGCTTTTGTCTGTCTTTGCTTGTTTTAATGACCACATCGGCATCAAAGTCATCATTTATTCTAAATTGGTTAAGAGTTGGAAAGCAATCCATAATGATTGGAAAAAAAGAATATAAATATAACATTATCAAAAGGTAAACATATTTTAGTGAATATACTCACCAATTACTTTACTGACTCTCATACCAAACATTTAAAATCATTATTTATGAAACTAGCACTTTCAGAATAAACATAGTCTAATATGTGCTTTTTAAACTATAATGACCATATAAAAATGTACTTATGTATATTCATTTTGTACAAAAATCGAAGAAGTATTTTCATGTTCGGTTGAATATTTACAACAGTGAAGTTGAAAACTACAATACTTTCATACATTAATTTTATTTATCATAATTCATGTTAGATTTAGTGACTTTATAAAAATTAGATTATTACAAAATGAAAACATAAATGAAAAAATAAGTATATAATTAACATTGAAAATCCTCTCGCATGGTACTGTAAGGAAGGAAATAAAAACACAGTATAGTAGAATCATATATTTACTTACGTTACTTTTCTTTTATTTATTCGTGTAGAATACACAATATCCGAGTATTATATGCATAAATCACTGTAGAATGAACTCTTTCTGTTTAAATTCCAAATAATTTTAATATTCTAGCTCTCTTTTGCACTTTCTTTAAATTCTCTTCGAAAAATAATCCAAAAGATGAAAAAGGATAGACTAGCAGCAGACGAAATGTATGCTAGTGAGAGAGAGGCTCGTGAGAGGCACGCGCTGATCTTCTGCAGCAGAAGATAAATCTACCGACACAAGTCTTAGAGTATTATCAGTTAATAAGATATTGTTGTAAACATATTTCTGTACCTATAGAAATGAATACGTTCTCTTAGATAATGAGATAATCATCATCGAACGCTTTCACGGGGTGAGGAGAGATTTCTATCTTGTAATTTATCAATCAACAAAATCCTTATCAACAATGAGAGATGAGTATCTATGTACGAGGGGACTTAGTACTTTCCGGGGGTGTTAGAGCCCCTACTATGAACATTGTTAATGTAACAGGGTCTAGGCGTGATTCCAGACGCGATCAACATTAGATAATGATACTAATCTCATTATAATATACATCTCAACATTTCTTATATAAAGATTATCAATAATTATCGCTATTACAGACTTCTTTGTAATACATTTAATCGGGCACCATCATAAATCAGTACAAAATAATATACGAACTATCATTACAATTTCTTAATTAATGATGTTTAAGTAACTTATTTTTAGCAAATATGAATGGTTTTTGTTATGGAATGCGCATATAATAATTATACAAAACTTATGTAACATACCGAAGTACGATTTTTATTTATTTTAAAAATTGCAAATCATCAAATCAATGTTGTGTTTTACATGCACGTACAATTGTAAAACTGATGCATACTCAGTATACATTTTTTACATCATTTAACATATTAAATATTTAACATTACGCGGATAGGTACTTTTTTTACATAATTTCTCATAATCAAAGTTACCTTTTCTTAAACAGTAATGAAATCGTATTGATAAATAATCTTAAGCTGCTGGACATAAAGCCTTCCCAACCAGTATAGAGCCAGCTGGTCAGTCTGCACACCAGACGCTATATACAGTTGATAGCTCAATTTATTTATATTAATATCTTTTGAAACATGAAATGGACTGTTACAAATTCAAAGCAAGACAAGTCTATTACACAAATGCAGCAGGTCAAATAATTAATGATCACATTTAAAACGTTGACAATAAAACCTCAATGTTAAATTGAGCATGAATTTGAATACAAAATATGTCATACTTGAAAACCCTGAATTTTAATTGGTTTTATGCTATCAAGAGCAAAAAAACAAAACAAATAAAAACAGATGTACTTCAGGCAAATGCCTGAAAACTTGTACCCATGTACTTATGTTGAACAGGACAGAATATCGTTCGTGAATAAAGTCTTCATAAAAGTTATTGAGAATGGTTCAATAAGTAAAAATTCCAGGTATTTTCTAACTTAAACAACGCCGCTACCAATGTGAAATAATTATCTAATAAATCATACTAAATACTATATGAAAATGCGAAGTGCTCTATCGGTCCGCCCTATCCCAGATTCCGCTAACAGTACATTCCCATTATATTCATGTCTTTCCTTTTTCTAAATATATTGTTTATCTATCATATCTCATGCACCGAAAATAGCATTTCTTAAAATATATGACCGAGAATAAGTACAAATTGTTACTTAAACATGCTTAAACTTATCTTAATATTTATTTCTCATATCCTAGATAGTTCTGGTGCTTCACAAAGTAATACCACCTACATTTAAAATAAGAACCACAAATATGTTTTTTTAAGAAAGAACACCTGTTGCTTGGATCATCTTTATTTTTGGCTGTTTTTGCATATTTCAGGCAGATAATTCAAATTCAACGTAAGCAATGTCCTTTTTCTGTTTTTCATGCAGCCGACTTCCTTTTGAGTGATTGTGTAAAATTTCAGGGAATTGTTACTGAGCTGTTTCCTAAACCTTTGCCAATGCCTGTTTTAAAAGAATTTCCAGTGTATACTTAGACTAAAAAAAAGGAATAAAAATATAATGGGATTCCGTTAAAAAGTGCATTGTGACTATGTATTAAATGATTAAAAAACAGAACATTCTATTATTTCTTAGACAAGGATTTCAGTAAAATAAACCAAGAGTCAGACTTATTTGTAAATAATCTGCCGTTAAAGTGACATTATGCTCATTTTTTCAAGGTCAAGGTTACATATTTCAAAAGATTGACTAGAATAATGCTGATTGACAAACAGTTGGTAACACAATATGTATAGGATATAATACAATGTACAAATTTGCTTAAAAATTTAAAATATAAAAAGACTGTCCCACTCTTTTTATAAATAGAACATTAGTTACATTACAGGGGAATTCCGATGTATATTAAATATTTACAGAATAGAATTTTCATTCGGCCATAAGCGTTATTTATCATTCACGTGAAGTTAATTATAAAATTGAAAGGAAATACAGCAAAATGTAAACTTATTTTGACTTTCATTTGTTCACTCACTACATATATACCTTTGGATATACCTATCGAATAACTCGAAAAGGAGCTAGGTGATTCTTATCAAATGTTTTTGTTATCTTATCATACAAAGTTTAAAAACAATCTACTATACAGTTTTCAATGTGCCTATATGTCTGTATGAAAACTGTAGCATACGCCTTCAACATATAACTCATGCTACAGGTTTGATGTCTTTACAAAAAGACGACTTATTAACAAGATTATGCATTCAAATGAAACGCATATTATTCAATAAATAACATACCTTTATCATGATTCATTCACATCTTACCTACAAGAACTGCCAGGTAGTGTATTATTTAAATGACACCTAGGTAAATCACGATTGGCGTGACTAAGTTTAATTGAATGCCAAGATTCCGCGATGTTGTCATAAATATCAGAAACAAAGTATCCCCCAGAACATTGAACATCAAAGAGATACGTAAATAAACAGCAAGTAGGATATATAAACACAATTTTATACAAAAATTAAAAGAAAATGACATTTCATTATCAGAAACAAGCATTAAGACATACTTAATACGTACTTTTAATTCGGAGTACATCTATCCGTTTTAGATGATAAAGCATTTGGAACGTTTAACTGTTTGCATGGCAATGATCAAATGCATGCTACCCGCCTATCCATGACTTGCATATTTATTTACGAAAGGTTGAAGATGAAGCTGATTTGGTAAGAGAAGCATGCTGATGGTCAAAAATGTTTAATTCAACAGAAACATTGCAAAACACACTGTGTGCTACATGCGCACCTGTTGTTCCATAAGTATGATATGTTTTACTGCTCGAGAAAACAGAAAACAACATGCGGATATACAGGAGACAAGAATATCGAATATGTCTTATTTTTATCGTGTACATGTCAAATCTTTATCCGTATGATTGATGTAAATGAAATTTTGAAGAAAAAATAACACATTACGCAATCTGTTTAGCAGCAAATATACCTATAAAACTGACTAAAACGTGTCAAAATTACAATAAACAGGTACATTTATAAAATGATACAAAACTGTTTCACAATTATACGTTGAAATAGATAAAAATGTAAATATCAAAGAGCGCAAAATATGTCAAAATTTGAAAAAATTGCAACAGGTTTGGTTTGATCCATCCTGTAAATACAAGCTATCTTCCACACCCTCTAGCACCGGCGTGAGCAAAATTCAAAATGAAATAATGGTAAATTTACAAATTATAACAGCGAGTTCACATCTTATGTCAATCTTTAAAAAGTCTCAGTCAATTTTCGAAATTTTGATTTTTAAACGGGAAAACCTTTGATAACATTTAAATGAAATAAATTGCCGAAAAATCACGGACTGTGTCCAGCTGTTTATTCAAAAATACAAAATTCAGTCAATAAGTAAATATATAGTTTGGGTAAAAAAACCTAATCAATTCTATGTTCGAGTATTTTATCATGTCTTATGTTATCATCTCTAGACATTCCCTGATATCACGTGAGTTTTAGCACATTGCACTACAACATTTCTGTCACGCATTATTTGGCCATTTGGTAACCCCGTATCGTATCAAATGTTACAGAATTTGAAATATTTGCATTTTATGACGAAAAACATCATGTACGTCATAAATAAACATCTGCTTCAAATCGTTTTTCAAAACACAGAACAAAAAGACAAAACAGATACATGTGCATGAAAACTACGTAATTGAAACAACCACCGGCTAGAGACTGCAATAATCGGATTCTGATTTAACGTTAAAACTTGAATCTATGGGAGATACAGCTCAATGTCGGGTGGTTTGGAGGTATAGTCTTCAACTGGCGCATCAGAAAGAACACAGCAACAAAAGCATCTGTTATTACATTGAATGATTCGCATACACCATAAAGAAATGGGCAACATGAATGTCTCGATTAAAAGAAACATATCTCTGACAACAGCTACTGCAATTTTGGTTTTGTAGCTTTTGTTATTAAAGGATTCGATATAAACAGATTTTGTATGAGGATGTTATTGTGCACTTTATTACAAAACTAAGACATACATATGGCAAATGTTTCAGTGACAAGACAATCTATGATTATTTTATAACTGTTTTCATAGAATTTAGTCACACACCTTGAACTTTAACTATAACACTTTTTTTTTCTTTTCATATAAGTGTAGTCGGGCATTTAAGTATTATAATACTCAGGATGACGTTAGTGGTCCGACAAAAAATGGTATTGCGACCGCCTGATTTGTTATATGTGCAGTATATGTGCAGTATATAAGCTGATATTTTTCAGTGCATTTCATTTGTATTGTTGATGTTACGCAATATATTTTTCTAGTAGGACTCTAGTACAATGTAGTATGGAATAAGAAATAGTACACATTAAAAGTCACTGTTATTTAAGTATGCCCTCAGTACTGTATACAATTTCTTAAATAGCCGGTGATAAAGGATGAGGACTAATGCATACAATTATAAGCAGACATATTCTGTTATGTTTCCATTTCATCAATATACTGAAAGTAATAAATTAATTATGCAAGCTTGCCTTGTTCGATAATTATAACAACAAAGTATATTCAATAAAAGGTTATTATGCTGTTTTCTGCAGCGTAAATTTACTGAAAATATGGATAATAAAACATTCGAGAAGTAAGACATAAAACAACATATTAAATTCCAATCTAACAGATAAATATTATAT